TAATAGAAAATTGTATGAAGTGCAATGTGCCCTGTGGCTAATGATGAAGCCGAGAATGCAAGACGTAGGAGGGATGATGACCTAGAATGCTATAATTAGCTCATTAAGTATTGCCATTAGCTAACCTCATTCCATCTTGCACTTGCCTCATTTGTCATATCTGGCTATGTTCATGTTTGAGTTAACCAGCACAACTGCACACCCATAATAAAATAATAATATTTATATGGCCTGCTTCTTAAAACATTTTAATGACAGTAAACAAAAGAATAAGTATAAAAGCATTAATAACAAATACACACAATCTTGAATGCACATGTAACACATGCCTTAATTAATAAAGGTATGTATTTACTAATATATTGTATAGCCATAGTATGCTAATAGGTATCATTATAGATAATACCAAACAATAAACCTTATTTAGCTGCGCTGTGCCTTTAAGACCAAAACTATTTTCAAGTGCAGCAGGTATGAATAAGTGCAATTTACATAAAGTGCATAAAGATTTATATCTCTTCACAATTGTGAGAAAAAGTGCAAAATGTGGTAAAAAAAAAAACCTGTACACTCACATTAATATTCATATGATTATACCTGTGTGGTAGCTATAAATATTCATATGCTGGTCATGTATTTAAAAAAAAACAAAAAAAAAAAAAAAAACATAAAAAATACAGATAGTGTAAATCTGTGACACCATAAAAGATTTACACTATTTGTATTTTTTCTCTCCTTTTTGTGGGTGTACAGTTTCTCTCCTTAATGTGAGTATACAGTTTTGTTACCACATTTTGCATTTTTTCTCACAATTGTGAAGAGATATAAATTTGTATGCACTTTATGTAAATTGCACTTATTCATACCTGCTGCACTTAAAATAGTTTTGGTCTTAAAGGCATAGCGCACCTATGTAAGGTTTATTGTTTTGTATTTATGGTGTGTTTTAGAGCTAGTACACAAGTATAAGGTGCTGCTTTTTAAATACATATTTATTGTGTTACCTTTTAAAGGTTACTAGAGGATTATTATTAGAGCCTTTTTTTTCACTTGATTTTTTGGGGAATTTTTATATAATACCAACATAACATGTATCGGATATTCAATTGCAACACTAGACATGTATCTGCAGGACAAATCCATTCTTTATTGCCATTGCATCTGGGATGATGCAGGCATAAAAATGGTCATGTGAATCGGTGGGTTTTGCAAGGTGTCTCTAAATGAAAATGACCAAGTTATCAAAGGACCATAAAAGTACTTAAACTAACTTATACAGTCTTAGAGAGTCACACTACTCACACATCAACAGCAACCTCATATCACCGACAAATCCAAGTGACAAATGTCATAGGAATGCCTTATTCTAATGCTTCCCCATGAAGAGCATTTTACTAGGCAATTACTGCGATCACAGCATCTGATTGGCACAATTGTGGCAATTGTTGTGCATGCACACATTTTGGGGGAAGATGAAGGGAGACTGACAGCCTCCCAGGGGCAGAGTAAAGCAGAATTGCCACTGGAGAAAGAGGTGTGTACCCAACGTACCTTGCGTTGTAAAGGAACGCTCCAAACATTAAAACCAAATAACCCTTTAAGACCAAGTTCAAAACGCTTTACAGATCATAGAGAGTTCCCTAAAGACACTATGCTAGTATGAAACGTCTCGTATTTAACATACAGCTATAGACCCCAGCATTTGTTAAATGAGTGGGATATTCTGCTTGGATAAAAGTCCTTTAGCCGACGGGGGGCAGACAGCCACTAGAGGAGGAGTTTACCCTGCAAGGTAATTATTGCAGTTTCTCAGAAACACAGGACATTGCACCCAGATCACTTCAAAAGCTAAAGTGGTCTAGGTTCCTACAATGTCCCTTTAAGTGAGCATCCCAAGTCATTGTTAACATGAGCTGGCACGCTTTGTGCTGCAGGTCTGGGTATCCTTGAACACTGTCGGGAGTTATTCACTAGAGTTCGAATGGCACTGTACCGAATGGGGCAAAACCATCCAGTTGCATAAGCAACCATTCGAACTGCAAAATCCAGACACTGTTCACACTGTGTTTTGACTGGATTTCTAACACCACTGGACAGTCGAATGCTTCAAACCCAAACTGTTTGACGACTGGCAGCACTAGCACTAGTCAGTGGCGGAGCCAGGAGGGGAGGCAACGTGGCAATTGCCCCTCATCCCACCTGAGAAAATAGTGCCTCTCTTACGGCTTTCCCTCGCTTTCCCCTGCAGGACAAGTGCTATCCGCCAGCCCTGCGATGTGCCTTCACGGACCAGAGGGGGATCAGAGATCTCCCCTCCGGCCAACAGGCACATTGCTGACAGCCGGCAGGGGAGGCAGAGAGGACCTGGGGAGCTCAGCCTGCAGCTCTGAATTTCGCGAGAGTGAACTCTAGCCGCAGGATCTGCAGGCTAGAGTTCACTCCCACCAGACAGGTGGGATATAAAATGTAATAATTATTTTATAAAAAAATAATACATTTCATTTGCTCCAACCTGCTCCTCAAAACACAATACCCACTCACACACACAGCACTCCTCACTGCACCCTTCTCACACACACACTGACCCCTCAAACACACACATACACACACACTGCATTTCTCACTCACACACACTGTCCCCCTTTACACACTGCCCCCCATACACTCACTGCACCACTCACACACACTGCCACCATACACTCCCTGCACCACTTATACACACTTCCCCCATACACTCACACACACTGCTCCCCATACACTCACTGCACCCCACACACACAACGCACCCCCATACACTCATTGCAACCCTCACAAACACTGCATCCCTCCCCACACACTGCACCCCTCACTCACTGCACCCCTCACTCACACACTGCCCCCATACACTCACTGCACCTCTCACACACAGACTTCACCCCATAAATTGCACCCCCATACACTCACTGTAACCCACACACACACTACACCCCAACACACACTGGACCCCTCACACACACTGCCCCCATACACTAACTGCACCCCATACACACTGCCCCCATACACTAACTGCACCTCTCACACACACAGACTTCAACCCCCACACACACTGCCGCAAACATACACACACTGCACCTCTCACACACTACACCACTCATAGAAACAAACTGTATCCCCCACACACACTACACCCTTCATACACACACACTGTGTCCCTCTCATACACACACACACTGTATTTCTCTCACACACTACACCCCTCATACACACACACATTGTATTCCTCACACACACTGTACTCCTCACGCACACACATTATACCCCTCACACATTGCACCACACACACTACTGCCACTGCCCCCTACTACAGGTCCTTACACCTACCCCTACAGACCCCAGCTAAGTTGTCAAACTGTTCTTTAACGATTTGACTACTTACTCTGGGAAGGTGCCACGACACTCCTGGCACCATGACCACAATAGTAAGCTGTAGTGGTTATTGTGCCTAGATTGTTTCTATAAATCACTATGTGCCACTACAGAGATTGGGTTCTGGATCCGCCCCTGAGTAGCGTCAATCAGTCAAATAGTTATAACCCCTCAGCAATATGAGGGTTAATTATATGGCGGCAGGCCAGAGCTTGCTAGCAACAGGTCCAATTACTTAGTTAAAATATAAAAAGCCTGTGCAGGCTAATAAGTCCCCCATAACCTCCCAATGTCCCCACTTGCCATGAGGCACGTGTGGCATGTCTACTCATTGTTTAAAACTAGTGTGGGCATCAGGTGGTGGACATTAGAAAAAATAATGGATGTTGTACAGATCACTGTTCCTATGCCTGCCCCCAACCATGGTCAGTGGGTGGGAGCTATTATAATACAAGAGGGAACCTAGTGTCCCCAACAATTAGTGGCAGGTGGAGCCCCAAATATTAAAATTCAGAGGGCAGGACCAAGTTGCATATCCACTCCCAGTGGCTAGGGTACCACAAACCCCTATCCACATCCCATGAAAAAGAAATACCCACCCCTGAAACTAATAATAGTCAAAGGGGGCCTATGAAACTAATAACTGTTATTTATATATATATATACTTTTCTGCAGACCACAAAAAAAGCCAAAATACAAATCTATTAATCCAAAAATCCTGATGCAACTAATGAAAAACAAAAAACAATAAAGTGGAAACATTGAAAAATGCGACACACTAAAAATAATCCATCTCACTCCCCCCCCTCCCCCCAGACTTATTATTATGGTAATTATGGACTTTTATTTGATCCTATTTGGGGCTGAAGAAAAAAAAGAGTTGGAAAATGAAGACTTGAGATGGGTAAGTATAATTTAGATTTTACAGATATTAGTTTTATTGGCTCATTTGAGCAGGGTCCTCATCAATCTATCATTCCTGTCAAAATTTGTAATAGTTTATCTCATTTGTCCATATTTCCCCCTTTATAATATTGTAAAGTGCTGCAGAATATATTGGCACTATGTAAATGCCGATAATAATATTAATAATAGCTGACAAAACTTTTATTTTCAGTTATGTTACCTTAAAATATGTAACTCAGATCACGTTTTTTTCATCACAGTTTGAGATGGTTAAACGGAGCCCAAAGTGAATTTTACATTTCAGGCAATAATGGCCAAATTGGAAAAAATCTCCAAGTCAGACATGATTTCAATTAGATTTAGCCTAAAACTACAAGCGTCTTTACATTTGTGACAATTCACACTATATTAAATAACACAGTGTGTGTCCTTCATTGTTCTTCAAACTATCTTTTCCCGTGTGTAAAACAGTGTGTATTGTCAGGTGTGGAGATAAATACACAGTGGACATACAAAAAACTGGCATGAGAGAGATATAAAAAAAAAACAAAAAAAAACAACAACTCTACATACATGAAATTTTCAGTATGCAGCATGCTGACATTATGATGTCACTCAAAGTTGTAGTCATCATAAAGGTAGACACTGTGAGAGCTTATTCATAGCTAGTCCTGGGTTGGATGCAGACATGGCACAGATTGTTTCTCATGGTGACACTGGTTCCTATAGGACCAAAGCTCTAAATTATAGCAATAGAGCTCTTAACTCACAGGTAGATAAGAGTTTTGCTGTTTTTGGCATAAAGCTACCAAATGACTGCGCCGTTGCGCTCAGAGATAGAGGTAGAAGAGGTAAAGTAGCAGCTTTGCCATCACTGAGTCACAAATTTGACTCCAAGCAAACGGTCAGAAGTGATCTGGGTCCTAAACCTATAGTTCCTCCTAAGGATCCTTCTGGAAAATCCATAATTACTTCAGCCAGTGACTTCCAGAGAATCCTGTCCGCTGCAAGGATCAGGACTGATAAGGGACGTGAGAAGCACAAGATGGCAGTACAGGCCTCAAGAGGTGAGAAAGATATGCTTGTTCTAGTAGCGGAGGCAAAAAAGGACAAGGCAGAATTTGAGAGGGTGAGAAGGGTGCAGAAGGATATGGTTGAGAAGCAGAGGAGTCAGATAATGGAGAGGACTTCTCAAGTGAAGAAAGAAGTGGGACATCTGAGGCAGGAGTTTCAGGGGAACAGACTGAAATGTCTCAATCCTACTATGAAGGCCATGCAAAGGGAGAAAAATCCCTGTCTAGTCAGGGAATATCTGCATGAACTCAAGGAGAAGCAGCTGGAGCAGCTAAAAATCATTGGGTCTCCAATCAAGTATGCATCAGTGGTGACACGGAAAGCTGGGGTTCCACAAATGGTGATTAATCCATAGAGGCAGCTTGAGGCAGTGCCAGCAGATATTGCATATTGATATTTCAAAAATGTTAAATAAAGTTTTATTCTAAATTATTAAATGATTGAAGTTATGGTGAAGTTATTTGTGAAATTAATGGCCATTCTCATGGGGAAGGAAGTTAGCTGGTAAATTGATAAAAAGAAAAAAAAAATTACTTTATGTTGTTAAGTATACCAACAAGCCACGAGGGATAGAGGGGAGGACAATAGAGAGCACAAAGAGCCTGACCAGACTTCCATTACACTCAGCCAGATGCCACTGGATCTTCAGGGAAGCCACCCTCCTGCACCAAAAAGGTATGGAGATGCTGGGTGTGGGGGGAGGAAGTGGCTAAAAATATGTAATGTGATGTTTGTGTGTATGTGTTATCTGTGTCTGTTACCCGCTTGTACAGTGCCTTGCAAAAGTATTCACCCCCCATTGGAGTTTTTCGTGTTTTGTTGCCTCACAACCTGGAATTAACATGGATTGTTTAAGGATTTGCATCATTTAATTTACAGAACATGCCCACAACTTTGAAGATTTTTTTTTTTTATTGTTAAGAAAACAACAAATAGGACAAAATAACAGAAAAAGTCAATGTGCATAACTATTCACCCCTCTAAAGTCAATACTTTGTAGAGCCACCTTTTGCGGCAATCACAGCTCCAAGTCACTTTGGATAAGTCTCTATGAGCTTGCCACATCTTACCACTGGGATTTTTGGGTTTGTTTTGATGGCTGAAAAGTTAAATTTTAGTCTCATCAGACCAGAGCACCTTCCTCCATACATTTTGGGAGTCTCCCACATGCTTTTTCGCAAACTCAAAACGTGCTATTTTGTTTTTTGCTGAAAGTAATGGCTTTCTTCTGACCGTACGGCTTGTCGTCCTATGTACAGATACGCCAGTCTCTGCTGTGGAACTCTGCAGCTCCTCCAGGATTACCTTAGTTCTCTGTGCTGCCTCTCTGATTAATGCCCTCCTTGCCCAGTTCGTGAGTTTTGGTGGACGGCCGTCTCTTGGCAGGTTTGCTGTTGTGCCATGTTCTTTCCATTTGGTTATGATAGATTTGATGGTGCTCCTGGGGATCATCAAAGATTTGGATATTTTTTTATTACCTAACCCTGATTTGTACTTCTCAACAACATTGTCCCTTACTTGTTTGGAGAGTTCCTTGGTCTCCATGGCAGTGTTTGGTTAGTGGTGCCTCTTGCTTAGGTGTTGCAGCCTCTGGGGCCTTTCAAAAAAGGTGTGTATATGTAATGACAGATCATGTGACACTTAGATTGCACACAGGTGGACATCATTTAACTAATTGTGTGACTCCTGAAGGTAGTTGGTTGCACCAGAGCTTTTTATGGGTTTCATAACAAAGGGGGTAAATAAATATGCACATGCCAATTTTCTGTTTTATATTTCTAAAAAATAGTTTTATGTATATATTTTTCTCGTTTCACTTCACCAACTTAGACTATTGTGTTCTGATCCATCACATAAAATTCAGAATAATAAAACATTGAACTTAAGGCTCTAATGTTACAAAATAGGTAAAATGTCAAGGGGGAGGGAGGGGGTGTGAATACTTTTGCAAGGCATTGTATTTCTTGTCTCTGTGTGTGTATTGTCTGTGTGGATGTATTATCTGTGCATGTATATGTTATCTGTGTGTGTATGGCTAATTTGTGTGTGGACATGAGTGCATATGTGTGTGTATTTATGCATCTGTGTGTCAGTGTAAGTGTCAGTGTATATGTGCGGTGCAGTGTATGTGCATGCATCTCAGCAATCAAATGTCAACTCTACATACACAGGTATACACTGCATACACAAGTACACCAGTGCTTTCAAGTAGCAACAGTACATACAAACAAAGAACTGCATTCAAATGTCAACACTACACACACATACACAAAAACATTCAAACACAAACACTGCTCACAAATACAGCTCTGCAAGCATGGCCAAACGGTGGTAGTTCCCTAGATGGAAAAGCATTGTGGGAGTTGTACGACAAATGTCTAAAAAACTTTCAAGTGTTACATTTAATGGTTAAAAGGACGGGGTCACTGCACCCAGACCATTTTATTGTGGATGGATTGGTCTGGGTGATTTTAGGGTCCCTTTAAAAGAGCCACACTGTGCGCCTGTGACTATATCTTGAGACTACTTTCCCAGATCAGCTATTTTAACCATTTTGCAATGCACATTTAAATCCTGTTTAATTCAGAGCTTTGTAAATAGCCCTGTCCATTCTAGTATATATATATATAAAAAAAAAACTGAGCTGCAAACTGTAGGTGGAAAGGTATGTATACCTAGCTGTTGGAGTTTGTTACAATTTAGTTTTCATGTACCTATAATTCAGTGTTTAGTGAATAAAGCCCATTTGTGGTTCCATATACAGATTAGAGAAGTTAATGTAAACCCTATGCTATTGGCCAGCAATTCCCAGCCAGCTAAATATAGCCCATCTCCTCCTATACCTCCCATTCCCAGCCTCTGTAGTTACAAGCCACAGCAGACAGCCAATGACAAATAGGACTGAACTGGCTTCCGAGGCCCCGCCCATTCTCCCCGCGCCAGCCAATCCGCGCGCAGCTCCGCGCAAGAAGGCGGGGAAAGAGGCGCACGAGGGAGGCTCCGCCCCCGCTACCTCCCTCTTTCCCTTTACTAACCCACCGGGTCGATATTATTATTGTTGTTGTTGCTGTTGCGGCTGGGATGAGGGGTCCGTGACGTCATCCGGCCTGGCCTTACCGCTCACACTGTGGTTGCTCTTGGTAGCAGTGCGCGCCCTCGGCTGCGGGAGCGCGCCTCAGCGTCCCGCCCCGGAGCTGTGTGTGCCGGACACTTTACGGTGACGGAAGAGAAGAACTTTTTTTTTTTTTTTCTTGGTGTCCCCCTCCCCTCCCCTCTACCCCCAGTGTCTCACCTGTCACCGTGTCCGGGAGGGAACGCCGAGAGCTCCGGTAGGAAGTTTACTGGTTTCTACTTCCGGTCGCCTGCCCCAGCCTGGAGTTTGCTCGGGGTGCCGGGTGATCCCCGGGTGATCCCCGGGCTGGGCCGCGGGTACAGGGGGGGAGGCGGTCCTCATAGTGCGCTGACTGTGTCTGCTTTCTCCCCCTGACAGGCGCTGTGCTGTCCGAGGAGACATGGATTACCCTATGCCCAGGGGGGAGGTCATGACAGCTATCCTCCATGACAGGTAAGTGGCTGGGGCCCCTCTGGGACCCAACGGGCAACTTATAGTGAGTGCCCACTCCACTCACTCCCATAGTCCCATGCTGTGTTATCCTGCCATTTATCTGTGTTACTCTCCACATATCAGCTGGGGTACAGAGGGAGGAAGCAAGCTTGCACACTCAAGGTGTTCTGGGCTGCAGCTTGCCTGCATTATGGCTTTAGGGGCATTGTGGGAGATGTAGTCCAACACACCTGGAGTGCCGAAGCTCGCCTACCCCTGAGTGCTAGGATCAAGACTGGTCAAAAAGTAGACCACCCCAGCTTTTGTAAAACCTAAAACTCCCTTGATGCGTTGCTAGGTACACTCAGCCTCATGGGGGTTGTTCTACAGCGGCAGGTGTCAACATGTCCTGTCACCATGACATCTGTGGTCCATCTCTCAAGATGCTTAACCTGTCTCTAGCTCAAGAGGTTGCGTAAGATTGTAGAAATTAAAAAATATATATTTCAGAGTTTCTTAAATATTCTATTTAAATTAATTTTTTTAATTTTTTTTAAATGCCGGCTTGAAATGGTGGAAAATTCTGTGGTATTAATGATGCTAAGGGTTATTCCACAAACTGTATTTTAATATCTACAGTAGACCCTCTTAGTAGGCATCTATTACTGCAAGATAAAATTAAAAAAAATTAAAATATATATATAATTTTTATTTTTTTAAAAACAAAACAATTTTTAACATCTTGCTGTCCTTTTTAGTTCTGCAACAGCTTGGGGAATTGCCTCATGGGCCACCCCGACCTATATCTCTTGAGACATCTGTTATGTTTCTCAAGATTCTCAGCATCTGTGTCGAAAAAGGATGTGTGGACAACTGAGCATTTTTGTTGATAAAGTATAGAAAACGTAGTTGCTGGTATGAATGACACAAGGTTGTTTACAGAAGTTAGTATTTATTATTTCAAATGTATTTTCCATGTAGCTGAACTAGAAAAATTCTCAACTCTTTCAGTTTGGCTACTCTAACTTAAAATTTGAAATTCACTTTGCACTCCCTTTTGAGTTTTAATTTTAATACATAACCCTCATTTACCAAAATGAGAATTCAAAGGGAATTGCAGATCTAAGACTAGAGTAGCTGAACTGAAAGCATAGTTACTTAGATAATTATTCTAGTTTAGCTTTTTCGACCTTACATTTGAATTTCACTTTGAGTTCTCATTTTGGTCAGTAACCATGTGAATGAGACTGTCAACATTAAAGTGATATTCCACTAAACTTTCAAAGCACATGTGTGTTCTGGAGTTTACATAGTTGTCTCATAGGTGTCAGTGTGTACATGTTTCTCATTACAAATTGCTATTGTGGCAGCAATAAAACATTGACTGTGCAAACCACCTATTACCCTGTCTTTCTAATTTCGAGCAATTCTATTTTTTTCATAATAACCATCAAGATAATATAATGGAGATTTATGGACCTGTTAAAGGCAATCTGCATCAGGGCTTGATCATCTAGCTTTGATTGGCTACCTTTCACACTGGGTGATAATTTTTTGTTAATTCTTCTATTGTGATTGAAGTAAGTCCTGTGATGCTCAGCATTCATATCAAAATAAGGTGAATGTGACTTATAATCACAGGAGTAGTTGTTGTTAAGGAATTGCTTGAGGTACATAAATAAATACATACAATAGTAGGTAGATCACACTTCTGGGTATGTCTGAAAAGGATATATGCAAAACACAAAAGTATAAGTATTATACAGTATAAGATTTGAGTGAAGTACTCACAAGCCTAGAGCCAAATATATGTGGCTCTCACTGATGTCGCCTTGGGACTTTTTCAAGGATGTCCCTCTCCTATTACCACGTGGCTGGATCGCTGTTCCCACTTGGCTTGAAGGGGTTCCAGAGTGAATGGCTATTCTCACTTGGTTTGCCAGAATTCCCAAGAAGATCCCACTTAGCTTGACAGACTTCTCAAAAGAAGATTCAATATGGGATGATAAGCAAAATATTCAAATAAATATTAAAAATACATTAATAAAAACAATCAATAAAAAAATTCCATAAAAAATAAATAAAACAATATAATCAAAAGTCTATAGCTAAAGTGCTATAGTATCAAGTCCTGCCAATTGGCTAGTGCAAAGTCCAAGACGTGTTTCGCCCCTTCCAGGGGCTTTTTCAATCGGTATTTCTGTTTTCCTATAGTGCCGGCGTTTTTTTGTGGTAATTCGCCGGTTTACTTCCGGGTTCCGGCCAGTCTTGATTTGGAACGCAACGTGCGTTCCAAATTGCTTCCGGGTTCCGGCTGCCTTCTATTTGGAACGCAGCGTGTGTTCCATTCCGCCGAAATTCGTCTCCCACATACTTCCAGGTTCTGGTTTCCTCCTATTTGGGACGCAAATATGCGTTTTTTTTGTCATAGTCCATCATTGATGCACTTAAGATATAGACTTTTGATTATATTGTTTTTTATTTTTTTTATGGCATTTTTTATTGATTTTATTAATGTATTTTTAATATTTTTTTTTTGAGTAAATATTTTGCTTATCATCCCATATTGAATCTTCTTTTGAGAAGTCTGTCAAGCTAAGTGGGATCTTCTTGGGAATTCTGGCAAACCAAGTGAGAATAGCCATTCACTCTGGAACCCCTTCAAGCCAAGTGGGAACAGCGATCCAGCTACGTGGTAATAGGAAAGGGACATCCTTGAAAAAGTCCCATGGCGACATCAGTGAGAGCCACATATATTTGGCTCTAGGCTTGTGAGTACTTCACTCAAATCTTATACTGCCTATTTGCATAGACTTTATTACACTATTTTGTGTTTTGCATATATCTTTTTCAGACATACCCAGAAGTGTGATCTACCTACTATTGTATATATTTATTTGTGTTTATATTGAGTGGTGTAAGGGGTTTCCCACTCAGGTGGTTTGTGGCATTCTAGCTACCACATTTAGTCCCATTGCTCTGTTGTATACATCCCCATTTTTTGTTGTATTGCTTGAGGTACATGTTTGCTATTACCGGCGAACGAAATATTTGATACATCCCTACGTGCATGACTTTTTGTAATATTTGAGTACTATGTCACATGAGCAAACCTATACTATGGGTTTTTGATGGTGTAACAAAATTAGTGCCAACTACTCAATTGATTCTATAGTCTTAAAGCCTTAGGTTCTACTCTCAAAATACTTGTGATCATTCCGGAGCCCAAAATGAGTAGTGCTGCCCTGTTAACTTTTGGATCAATACTAAAAAAATGTGACTGATCCTTGAGTTAATAAACCCTCACAACACTGATGTTTATGGCATCATGCATGCGGGAGAATACAACACTGAGGTCAATGGTGGATCCAGTAAGATATTCCATATTGAGAGCCTAAATCTCTCAGCGATCATTTGATGGTTGATGGGATTGGACCAATGTTAAAGCCGTAGCTCTGACTTTTGTCGACTTTTTTTTTTTTTCAATGAAATTCCATCGCAGTCTTGATCAATATTTCATACAGAATGTATTTTTATTCAATGCTGAAAAGTGACAGATATGTTTTATGTACCTTTGATAAGGTTTGACCTATTATACTTTATTTAGGGAATTGTTAAAGGACCACTATAGTGCCAAGAAAACAAACTTATTTTCCTGGCACTATATAGTCCTTAGGTCCCCTCCCGCTGGGCTGAAGGGGTTAAAACCCCTTCAGCCACTTACCTTAATCCACCGCCGGGCTTCCTCAGCACTGTTGCCCACTCCTCCCCCTCCGCAGAGCCGCGCGCGCATTCAAGCCGCCCATAGGGAAGCATTACTCAATGCTTTACTATGGACGTTCTGCGTGTTCAATGAGATTTTCGCATTGAGCGTCGGGGAAGGTCTTCTAGGGTATGTCAGGAAGACAGCCACTAGAGGCTGGATTAACCCTGCAATGTAAACATAGCAGTTTCTCTGATTCTTTCTTAAAACCTGGAGGTCATGGCACCCAGACCACTTCATTGAGCTCAAGTGGTCTGGGTGACATTAGTGGTCCTTTAATTTTGGTTTGAGTAGGTTTACTTACTGCTCCTTGCCACCAGCATACTTCATGTTAATACAAAAAGAAAAGTCCTGCACTCACTCCCATCACTCCTGGGCTGCAGCAACGACCACCGTACACATACGCTCCAATACATATAGTAAAAACCTGTGTGCCTTTTACTAATACATTATACAGACCGTTTCATTATTGAATAGGATTAGGGCCAAAGGAAAATATGATAGCTGTTAAAGTTTTTACGTTATCAGAACAGTGTTTATATTCTTAGCTAAGGCTCTGTTACCAAATTCGTTTTAGAAATAATTCTAAACGATAATCTGTTTGTGAAAAAAAAAAAAAATATATAGTAACCTGAACAGCAATGAGTAGCCTACTTAGTTTACATGTGAAATACATACATTTTATGACTGTATTTTCTAAAATTCATTTATCTTTAAATGCTCCCCTATTTCAATCCTTGATATTAATGTTAAAATTCTTCTAGCCCAGAGACATAGCAGATGTACAGTATCAGTCTTTAAACAACTTACTTTGATCATGCACTCAGTACAAAAAACTAAATGCTTAAACTCTTCAGCAGCCAAGGGCTGCTTAGCACTGTGATTTAAACAATGATTTTTGAATGACTTCACCACAAGAAAATGTCACTGCTCATGTTCCATCCAGCCATTTGAAATATTTCTATCAGTGGCATGTGATGCCTACCAGAGATTTTTGGTTGCATTTAAGAAGTCATCTTAAAGAAACACTCCACTTGAGAAAAGAGAAAAAAAAATCATTTTAATATTTATACCCCCAATAAAAACATGCATTTGTCAGTGAGGGTATATCTAAAATCAGAATGCAAAAGCTGCATGTCTTATGTCAGCCCCCTTTTCACCAGCCCGTGCTGAGGATATAACAATCAGAGGTTCCTCATTGAGAACCTTCGGATTCTGAGCCACAAGCGGGCGCACACACCTTTTTGAGCATGCGACTAGGATGGATTGAGGATGACGCTGGCGCAAGGGGAGAAAAGGGTCTCACTAAGACTTGGGCCTATGCAGTGACAGGCTCACTATAGCAGAGAAAACCACCTCTGCTGTTTGATAGATGGGAGATGTTTCTTAATCTATTTACAAAAGTGCTGATTTCTCATTGAAATAGGCACTTTTATAAAGTGCAAAGAACGTACTTAAATATAAAGCACTTTGCTTTATGTGTGCAGAGTGGTGCTTTAATAACTGTACTGTTGAGTTTTTTTTACATTTCTATTTATTTTAAAGTTTGTCTAATGATTACATCTCTAAACCAGGTATGGAGTGTCTCTTCTTGAGTTTCTAAAGTTTTGCCACCTGTAACTATAAAAAAAGTACCTTCCTGTCCATATAAAATATTTCCGCTTTTGTCATGTATGGTATGTTGCATTGCTAGCAGAAACAGTGTCACATTAGTAATGTTACCTTTTGAGACTGTGTGGTAGCCCAGGAATGAGAATTACCCCCATAATGGTATAACATTTGAAAAAGTAGACAACCCAAGGTATTGAAAGTGGGCTATGTTTAGTCTTTTATAGTAGCCACTTAGTCACAAACACTGGCCAAAGTTAGCGTTCATATTTGTTTTTGTGTGAAAAAAGCAAACTAATATTTGGCAAGTGTTTGTGACTAAGTGGCTACTAAGAAAGACTGGACATATCCCACTTGCAATACCTTGGGTTGTCTACTTTTGCAAATGGTATGCCGTCATGGGGGTAATTTTCATTCCTGGGCTACCATACGCTCTCAAAGGCAACATAACCAATCTGGCAAATTTCAATGTCAAAAAAATGAAATGCAAGCCTTCTATGTGACTCTCTAATTTTCCAAAACACCATAAAATCTGTACATACTGTTATTCTCTGGAGACTTCACTAAACACAAATATTAGTGTTTTAAAACAGTAAAACATATTACAACAATAATATAGTCCATAAAAGTGACGTTTGTTTGTAAAAAAAAAAAAAAAAAAAATTTCACTTTTAATTAAAATATAATTTTCCAGTTTGAAACACTAATATTTGAGTTCAGTGAAGTCTCCTGAGTAAAACAGTACCCCTATGTACAGGTTTTATGGTGTTTTGGAGAGTTACAGGGTCAAATATAGTGCTTGCGAATTAAACTCTCTGCACTTTCTCCCTGTGTTGTCAGACATGTCAATCAAATTTTAATTAAAGGACCACTCTAGGCACCCAGACCACTTCAGCTTAATGAAGTGGTCTGGGTGCCAGGTCCAGCTAGGGTTAACCCATTTTTTTTTTATAAACATACCAGTTTCAGAGAAACTGCTATGTTTAGAAATGGGTTAAGCCTTCCCCCAAATCCTCTAGTGGCTGTCTCATTGACAGCCGCTAGAGGCGCTTATGTGATTCTCACTGTGAAAATCAGTGAAAGCACGCAAGCGTCCATAGGAAAGCATTGATAATGCTTTCCTATGCGATTGGCTGAATGCGCGCGCATTCAGCCGACGGGGAGGAACGGAGGAGAATCAGAGGCAGAGAGCTCCCCGCCCAGCGCTGGAAAAAGGTAATTTTTAACCCCTTTCCCCTTTCCCCTTTCCAGAGCCGGGCGGGAGGGGGTCCCTGAGGGTGGGGGCACCCTCAGGGCACTATAGTGCCAGGAAAACGAGTGTGTTTTCCTGGCACTGTAGTGGTCCTTTAATCAAATAACATCATTATGTTAAAAGATTACTTAAATATACATGTAGAATTTTAATATACATACATTTATAGGTATTTAAATTCTCTGTGTATACTAATGTAATCTTTTATGTAATTCTCTCTCTCTCTCTCTCTCTCTCTCTCTCTCTCTCTCTCTCTCTCTCTAATTAGAATAAAATTACTTATGAATATAGAATTTATATTAAATTTTGTTTCAATATACTTATTTATAGTAATTATATGTGTGTGTGTGTATATATATATATATATATATATATATATATATATATATATATAATATATGTGTGTAACGTCATTCTAAGTGAATTTTAATACTAATATATGTACTTATATTAATATTAAAACACTTTGTATGACGTTGTATGTATATATATTCTATTAAAAAAAAAATTCTGTTTTAATTTTACACGTTTAAATTTTTTTTTTTTTAACTTTCCCACCAGCAGGGGGACTGTCTGATATTTCAGACAGTCCCCTTGCTGGCAGATCCACAGCCAGCTATAGGGGGCCTGATTAGCCGTGGGATGGCTGCCTGGGCTGTCAAGCAGCCCTCCAGAAGAGGATCACGGCGGAGGTGAGTAAATCGGAGCACCAGGGACTGAAAGCCGTTACGGTGTTCGGTGTTCTATGCCGCCGCAACGGCTTTAAAGCCCTTTTAATACGGGACGGCATAGAACGCTGTTAAGGGGTTAAGACAAAACTGGCAAAGTGCAATATTTTTTTTAATAGGATATTGGTAAACCAATCAGCAATTGGCCATTGTGTAATATTTGCTGTCAGGATCCACTTGTATTTTCATATATCGTAACCTTCTTTATTGCACTCAGGGTTATTTACTAAAGTCTGAGTGACTCATGGAGTAGCTTGGAGCATAGCGGCTAAAGAATTAAAATTAGCACTTACCTGTAAAATAATAAGAGCACATGTGCCCCTCTCCTACTTTCCCGCATGAATCATGTTTTTCTTTTAGTTCAGGTGGATGGCTTGGTGCTTGTGTATCGTTTACTTAAGGGACACTGTAGTCACTATAACCATTTCATCTCTTTGAATTGGTTATGGTGCCTGGAGTGCCCTGACACTGTCCCTCCATTCAGTGTTGCACCATGTTTGTGCAGTATGCCACAAAATAGGAGTCCCTGGCCACCCACAGTCCAGCCCCTTCTGTATGTGTAGCTAAGGCAGAGATTACACACTTCCTTGTTTTCATACCCATTCATACCGTCAGTTGGAGCTCTGACAGGCTAAAAGCAGTCAGCTGACACTCTCAGCCAATCACAGCTGCACATTGCTGCTCAGGCTAATACTTCCTTATTAGCCAAAGCAGCACAGAGGGGATGGACTGCCAGGGACTCTTGTTTAGCATTTAAACATTAAAAACTGTTTAATCCTGAAAGAAATGATGGTACCAGGGGACTCCAGACACTATAACCAGTTTAATGAGATGTAGCAGATACAGTGCCTACGGTGTCCCTTTAGGGAAGAGATGGCAGCAGGATACACTATGTTGTGAAAAAGGAAGGCAGTGTAGATGTTACGTTGACACTTCCTAACTACCTACCTGGAGATTGTTGCGGACAACATCCACTTTTCATGGCAATAGTGTTCACAGTTTGCAGTGGCCTCTATTTCAGCAGGGTAATGTACCATGCCACACTGCAAAAAATGTTCACAAATGGTTTGAGGAACATGACCAAGAGACCAAGTTGTTGCCTTGGCCTCCAATCTGATCTGTTGCTAATGTCTTGGCGTCAGATACAACAGGGCTGGGAGTACCTACACAATATTAGAAGGTGGTTTTAATGTTTGTTTGTTTTTTTTTTTTGTGTGTGTGTGTGTGTATATGTATGTCTATCTATCTGTCTGTCTGTTCAGGTGGATTAGTAGCTCTTGTAATATGTAGCCTTTTTTTTTTTTTTTAAAGAAACCCCTCCCCCTTCATACCTGAAATACCGGCGTGTGATCCCACAGCCTCAGTTCTTACTTGTCCCACATGTGGGACGGATGGGAGCCTCTTCTGATCTTGGTGAAGTACACTGGTTGCTACTTGGAAAAGAAGCCTGATATTTCCCTAGGTGGAGAACTGCAAGGCAGCTGGCTGGGAGACCAGCGTAATTATGGAACGGTCAATGAAGCTCTTTTTTTAATGTCTAAGGCACACAGGAATTGCTGGTAGAATTGGAGGCGGTCCCAGGAGCAATGCCTAAGATCGAGCAGGGGTGGGGATTCTCATCATGGTACTGCTCATGCGCGATCAGAATTCCTTTCTTGCGCCAAATTTGAAATGTGGAGAGCCTATGTAAGCTTCAGTGAGCACACTGCCATCCAGTGTCTCCACCCTCTGCATGGAGACACTGAAATTTCCTCAGAGATTCATTGATTCAAAACATCTCATGAGGAGATGCTGACTGGCCAGGGCTGTGTTTGACTTGTGTTGGCTCTGCCCCTGATCTGCCCGCTTGACAATTTCAGCCAATTCAATGCTTTCTCATGAGAAAGCATGGTGATTTGCTCAGAGAATCACTTATGATGATGTCAGCCAAGCAGGCAGATCAGGGGCAGAGGCAGCAGCTGCAGACTTGAATACAAGTAAGATTTAACTATATTTAGGGAGGCAACGGGGGTAAATAATGTTTTTAACACTATGGGGTCAAGAATACATGTTTGTGTTCCTGAACTATAGAGTTCGTTTATTCAGTGTAGTATATTGTTTTTTCAATCCCTATCTCTCTGCAGATTTTTCTTACTGTGTGAACTTGAGAAAAGTGTCTCCTAATTTGTAGAGATTGAGTTACTCCATAGATTACATTAGTATAGTCATGCCCGTGTCTCTTTTTCCTTTATCTTCCTGTTCTTGACACCATTAATAAACTTGCAGTTCATTTCCAGATATCCCCTTTCATCTTTGCAGCTAATTGTGCCAAGTTATTTTCCCCTTGTAGAAAACTATGGTTTGTGAAGCAGTCACTATTTTTAACACAACTTGTCATATGATACATGCTATTCATGTCACACATACTAGAGAGGTGTGAGTTGTTGTCAAAATCAGATTTCTCCAATTCATATCCTCAAGAGCTGCAGACTTAACAGGTTTTAAGGGTGATCGCTGAGCTATGCAGAAATAATTACATGAGGTGAAAAAAATTGGAATCTACAGGGGTAATGGAAGTAAAAGAAAACTAAATAGTGGAGTTTTTCTTTTCATTTTATGTGTTTATGGGCATTAGCCTATTCCAAGCATTGTAATGGGTAAACAAACCTCACTGCTTTAATTTACCCCGAGCCATTCTATTGTGGATGGCGTAAGTTACGCTAAACTATATATACAATTGCAGTTGAGATGTTCACTTAGCTAGATATTAATCAGATATTCTCTTCTTTTAGATAGAGCCCGCAAAATGTTGTTTTGTTCCCCACCCCCCGTTAAACTATGTTGTTTGAGTAGATTACTGATAATTGCAACAACAAATATATTTGTAATGTGGATTTAAGAGTTAGTTTCTAGAATTTTACCCTGCGTTTTTATGCATTGTATAGGTTATACATTAAAACCTTGAGTGGAGGGTGGGGGCCCTAAATGAAAATCGGGGGAGTGGACCTTGTCTCTCCCACCCCCCTCCCTCCATGGGTGACGGGTGTGGGCTAAGTGTAAATACCCCCCTCCCCCCATTGTGACTAAAGGTCCCCAAGCCCCTAGTCACCCTCTCCACCCAAAATTATTTTAATAAAGACCTACCCCCCCCCCCCAAAAATAGTGAGTGGGAACCATAAAACTAAATCTGTGTGGTTTTTTTTTTGGTTTTTTTTTTTTTATGCTATTTTTATTTTGAACAAATCCTTGCAATTTTTAAGAGCTTTACAGACATGAGTGGGCTTATTGTACTCTAAGGTGCTGATCTAGTTTTCTTGTTTAACCCCTTAAGGACACATGACATGTCATGATTTCCTTTTATTCCAGAAGTTTGGTCCTTAAGGGGTTAAAACACAAGATAAAATAGGGACTACTTTGTCTTATCTATTTTTCCTACGCCTGAGTTTCTTTGACCCAAGGAGGAGCTTAAGTCTGTTCCATTTCCTGTGTCAAGAAGAAAGGTGAGTACTCTTCTGACTCCGGAAATGGAACGGACTTAAAGGGACACTATAATCACTAAAACAACTTTAGCTTAATGTAACAGCTTTGGTGTATAGATCATGCCCCTGCAGTCTCACTGCTCAATTCTCTGCCATTTAGGAGTTAAATCCCTTTGTTTATGCACCCTAGTCACACCTCCCTGCATGTGACTTGCACATCCTTCCTAAAAACCTCCTGTAAAGAGTCATCTAATGTTAATCCTTCCTTTATTGCAAGTTCTGTTTAGTTCATAGCTTGCTAGACCCTGCAAGAGACTCCTGTGTGTAAATAAAGTTTAATTTACAGAGCAGGAGATAAAATAGTTTAAGGTAAGTTACATCATTGAAAGTGAAACCACTTTTTTTGTTTCATGGAGGCTGTCAATCAGATCCAGGGGAGATATGGCCAGGGCTGCATACATAGAAACAAAGTGATCGAATTCCTAAATGGCAGTAAAACATCAGAGGCATCATCTATACACTAAAACTGCTTCCTTGAGCTAAAGTTGTTTAGGTCACTATAGTGTTCTTCCTTGGGTCAAAAAAAGTAAAGCATAAGACAAAGTAGTCCTTACTTTGTCTTATGTTTTAAAGAAAACTAGATCAGAAATAAAGAAAATAACATTATGTGAGAGGAAACAATAAGATAAAGGTAAGTTTGGTGTAACAGTGCCGCCTTAACTCAGACAATTGAGCAGCAAGATGACAGAGGTATGATCTAGACATCAAAACCACTTTTTTTTTTTTTTTTTAAAGCTAAATTTGTTTTGGTATTTAGAATCTTCCTTTAATTCCAAGACCGTAAATTCTGTTATTTATCCTTTCGAAACGTGATACAATTGTGAGATTCTTACCTCCTAATTATATAATACATTTCTCACATCCTGAATACGTGTAGGTTACTATATAAAATATACAACAACCTGATGGAAAGTGAAATCCGTATGAATTCTGTATAAAAATCAGAAATTTGACATAGCGTGATACAGTTAAGTAATTCAACTTTATGAATAAAAATGATTATAGATGCACTCACAAACGCACGTGAAATAGAGCTTCTCGCCCACCCAGGGGCAGTATGTAATCCGATGGATGAATTAGAGAATTACCTCATAGGATATATAAAAATAAAGGAAAAAACAGAATAGTGAAGTTTGTTATAAAAAGTACAAAATCACATTTATTGGTCACACTTACATGTGTGTAAATCACAAAGAGCGTATCTCTCAATAACTTGGAACTCCATGCAATGTTGTTATCAATCCAGGAATAGGGATGAACAGGAGTAGTTATAAATGAGTAGCCAAAAATACAAATAAAACAATTAAAACAATATAAAATAAGTCCAATATAGAAATCCAACGCGTTTCGTCCTGTAGGGTGTAGGACTTCATCAGGGATACTTATTTTATATTGTTTTAATTGTTTTATTTGTATTTTTGGCTACTCATTTATAACTACTCCTGTTCATCCCTATTCCTGGATTGATAACAACATTGCATGGAGTTCCAAGTTATTGAGAGATACGCTCTTTGTGATTTACACACATGTAAGTGTGACCAATAAATGTGATTTTGTACTTTTTATAACAAACTTCACTATTCTGTTTTTCCTTTATTTTTATATATCCTATGAGGTAATTCTCTAATTCATCCATCGGATTACATACTGCCCCTGGGTGGGCGAGAAGCTCTATTTCACGCGCGTTTGTGAGTGCATCTATAATCATTTTTATTCATAAAGTTGAATTACTTAACTGTATCACGCTATGTCAAATTTCTGATTTTTATACAGAATTCATACGGATTTCACTTTCCATCAGGTTGTTGTATATTTTATATAGTAACCTACACGTATTCTGGGTGTTTTCCACTTTTTCATTATTTCACATTGTTTCTTGGGTGTCTGTGAGGTACACCTAGGAATTCTTCCAGTTATACGTTTTTGTAGTGTATATACTATTTTCTGTTTATATTTCTCACATCCTGCCTACATTTACTACAAATCAGACTTTCCAGATGCAGCAGTGAGTTCTGATTAGACAAGGAAATATTTGAAAAGCTCTCAGCCAATTCCAGCACTCCAACTATTCTCAATTGTAGAGTTTGAACATAGCCCACAAACGCCTCCCAACAGGGTTTATGTAGTCGGCACTGGCTGCACTTTCATTTGCGCTTAGACCCAAATTGTTACTTAAGCTGGCAAAAGCGATGTTTTGAAATATTGAGTGAACGAACGTGTAGTTTTCTTTCTAAAGTGGTCATTGCCTCTATGCAGTTACTGCTCACAGAAATTAGAACATTTGCTGACACTTGCTTGAACCCTATTGTAAACAGTAAAACTATTGTTTTACAGTAAAAAATGTGCGTCAGTTAATCTTGTGATATAAGAAGTTCTGTGGCCCATGGGCTACTAATGTGAATATAGCCTTTCAAAAAGTATCCCAGTGAATGCTGTGCCTGTAAGGAATGCTTCATTGCAATATCTTCTTAAATGTTTTGTGAGCTCACGTCTGTCTTTATGTAAGGAGAAAGACTGACCGCCTCATCAACAGCTCCTTTGCATTGTTCTACTACATCCCTATATCTTCCATAGTTGTCTAGCATGCTATAGATTGATAAACATATCCATTATTATTGAGCTTAAGAAAAAAGACCTTGTTTTCTTTTTAGCTATAAATCTTAACTGTATGCTTGACTGACTTGTATGGCATTTCTCTACAACTGCCAAAGCATGCATCAGCATGCCTGGAGGATCATATTGAAATTTCCCTGTATGGAAATGCAGCAGAGGTAAAATATTTTAATGGCTTCTTTTTTTTTTTTTCTTTTTTTTTTATATTATTATTATTATTATTATTATTGTTGTTGTTGTTGTTGTTGTTATTGGAGCCCTATAGTGTTTAGACCACCATCTAGCACCCCTGCTGAGATTGTAAAAGAGGCAGATCAGGAACAGGGCCAGTACAATTCAAACACAGCCCTGGCCAATCAGCATCTCATCATAGAGATGAATTGAATTAATACATCTCTATGAGGAAAGTTCAGTGTCTGCATGCACAGGGTGGAGACACTGAATGTCAGTGCTGCTTACTCTCCAGTACTGCCCCAGGAAGCACCTCTAGCATCCATCCGAAGAGTGGCCAGTGGAGTTATCTCTAGGCTGTAATGTAAAACCTGCATTTTCTCTGAAAAGACCTTGTTTACTGCAAAGAGCCTGAAGGGAATGATTATACTCACTAGAACAAATACATTAAGCTGTAGTTGTTGTGGTGACTATAGTGTCCATACTCTCTATTTATTGTAGGCAGTGATGGTTTTGTTATAAGAATTAAGTGACATGAGCACTTGAACAGAGAAGTAAGCTAATGTGTACTCTATATTCTCCTAGTGTCCATTTTCACCAGTGATTTACAATCTTATGCACAAACCAATGTGAAGCATCTAGGGCTAGGGAATAAATCAAAGGCAGTCCAATTTATTAAGCATTGTATGTGTATATAAAGTGCAAGCTCTATCTTTTATGTATAACTTATCCTTATTTTTCATGCACTTGATTACTTTTAGACAGATGTTTTTGACATATTTCAAATGGATTTTATATCTTGCGAATGTGTTGCCAGGATTAAATAATGAGCCTATCATGCTTTTATCTTAGAACAAAAACAAAACATGCATGAGTAAAGATATAATAGCGGGGTAAAAAGCTAGAGAAATCCTTTGAGCTAGGTAGTAATTTCCTTTACAACTTACTGTAGGTGCCTACATTTCTCTTAATTTTGAGATTTTCTAGATGTAATCTTTCCTGGCTTTTCAGTTGATCCTTTACTAAGTAGAACTGATATTTTCAAATTGGGGCTGGAAATAATTAAAATTATTCAAATTTTAAGTTGTTTGATATAGTCAATACGGCAAGTTAAATTACACTTCGCACATGCGCTTTTCTGTTGAATTTAAAGTGGTTGATTATTTTGCCTACTTAACTGAAATTATGCCAATTATAGTTTAGCTGCAATTCAAACAGTTGTTTTGATCACTATTGACAATCCAGCAAAGTAAATTTGTTCCGAGACTTGGAATATTTACTGAACAGATATGTAAGATTTCTTTTGTAAAGAGTTTATTCTCCTGATTATACCACTTTAAAGTGAAAATGCTGAAGTAAAATTAAGAAGCATATCTTCTTAGTTGATAAGATCCAGTTTTGATTCTTTATAACACAGGAGTGTAGGAAGAGCCCCATAGGCCAATTCCTCAATCTCCCTCATAACTTGTAAAGGGTAAATAAATCCAGTGATAATAGGGTCCCTTGCCACAGCTCTGCTCCGCACACTGAGTTGATCGGTACTGAAGATGTCACGGCCAGTAGAATGCTTTTTTGTTTTGTTTTGTTTTTTTGAATAGGATACAACAAACAAATAGACAAAAATTAGTCCTGTGCTCAAACTCCCACTACTCCTGGGCAGCAGCAACGACCATAGCACATATCAGCCCCAAGACATACAAAACAAGCAAATAAAAAATGTTTTTTTTAAAGAAATCGCCTTTGCAAAGTCCTGCAAGCGTGAGTGTGCGAGGAGTGGACAGGGACATACCTACGAATCAGTGAAGAAATGGCAACAGGGGGCTTGAATTGTTCAGTGCTTTATATGTATGGGTTAGCACTTTGGATTGACTTCTATAGGATACAGGGAGCCAATGCAAGGACTGGCAGAGGGGTGAGGTGTGAGAGGACCGACTAGAGAGTAAAATCAGTCTGGCGGCGGCATTCATTACAGACTGTAGTGAGGCAATACGGCTTCTGGGGAGACCAGTTAGGAGAGAATTACAGTTATCCATGTGAGAAATTACCAGAGCATGATCAAGCTCATTGGCAGCATCTTTCATAAGAAAGGGGCAAATGTGGGCAATGTTTTTAAGGTGGAATCTACAGGTTTTAGCAAAAAAATGGACCAGTATAAGGCACAAAGGTGAGGCCAGGATCAACGATATCACCAAAACAGCGAGCTTGCAGGCATGGGATGATGCCGGAACCATCAACCTGCAGGTAAAGCAAAAGAGGAGGATCTGTATTATGAGGAGGAAAAACAAGAAGCTCTGTTAGGCTCATAGGCCGCTTTCTGCTAAAAGGTGAAATGTCTGAGACATGTTTATTTTTATAAACCCCTAAACAACCTATAAAGGGTTAAGTCTGCACGGTTTATAAAAATACCTCTTTGTCTCTCTTTGACACTCCAATATTGTGACATATGTCAAAGAGTAGTAAAAAAAAGTACTACTTGGCTAAAATTGAAATAAATGTATAGATTAAGGAAACACAATAGGGTAAGGAACACAAACCTGTATTCCTGACACCATAGTGTTAAAAACACCATCTTGCACCCCTTGCTTGCATGAATATAGTTACATCTTACCTTTATTCCAGTCTTCTGCTACTGGCTCTGCCACTGATCTTTCTGCTTGTCTAACATCAGAAGTGGTGATTTGAGCCAATCACAATGCTTTCTCACAGGAAAGCATGGGATTGGCTGAGAGTGTAAAGTAGGTAGATCAGGGGTAGAGCCAGCACAAGTTGAACACAGCACTGCCTAATCAGAATCTCCTCATAGAGATGCATTGACGCAATACATCTCTACAAGTAAAGCTCTGTGTCTCTATGCAGAGGCCTGAGCTGCACACTGTGCAGCACTGCCCCAGGATGCAACTCTAGTTGCCATCTGAGGAGTGGCCACTGGAGGTATCTAAAAGACCATGTCCCTGAAGGGACTGATTATACGCACCAGAAAAATACAATAAGACCTCGTGATCTTAACAAGGAATTTATGTGAATTAAGAGACGAAGAGATTGTCGCTGTGCATGCACACTTGCCTACCGATGATTTTCTGTTGGAAAGCATTGGATTGATTGAGATCGTCGATCTCAGCCAAGTACGCAGGATGGTAGTGCAGAGACCACCGCTGTGACAGGCAAAAGGTTTACCCAAACCAAAAGAGTGTATATTCAGTAAGTTTGCTATACTGAAAGCCAGTTAACAGACTCTATAAACCTTTTCACTGTCCTACTTCATATTTCACTTAGAAAATAAAATAAAGTATACGATATTGACTTTCTTCTTCTTAACTAAAGGTTGCTGAGCAATTGTTAATCTTGCAGTCAGAAATAGAGGAAAAAAATCTGAGGCAAACATTTCTCTCCCACCTGTGCTGTTTTCTTGTCCTTTATTTTGCAAGCAGCATGACCATTCACAGCCTTGACCTATGCACTTTGTGCAAAGTGTGGTTTTATTGTGAAGTAAGCGTGGATGTTTTAATAACACAATAATGCAATATTAGAAATAGGGCTGTAAAATGATCAGATCATACATCAGTGTCATTATACAGCTCTGCGGGATTTGTTGGCGCTTTATAATATTCTAATGCATATTCAGAAGTTTGTTCCTTGTGTATAAGATGTACATCATCATAGTGAAAATATAGGCAACACATTCATGGAAAATGGGGATTGCAGCATAAAAATAGTGAGTGAAGCAGTAACGGCTCACTAAAAATTCCATTTGCATTTTAATTAAACGATTTGAAATTGTATTTATTGTAACGTTTACTGTAGCTCTTTTCAGCCATGGACACTTCTGTACCATTCCCTCTTCTGTCCCCACTTTTGCTTTTATCTCTAAAATACAATTCGAAGTTCTGTTATATGGGTCTTTCGTTTGTGCTGAAAAGTGATTGTCAGGATTTTGTATAAATATTTTTTAAATGTGACTCCTAAGGTTGTACAGTTCATATTGTAAATTATCTTTGTTTCTCTATTAGAATTGACCTGTGTTGGTTGGTTTCTTGTACAGACTACCACATTATTCAATATTCACTCTTTTGGTCCTATGCTCAGATCTGTTACCTGAGCCTATCGTTTTCTAGTTCTGCAACACGTTCTTATTTGTAGATACCGTATATACTCGACTATAAGCAGAGGTTTTTTTGCACATTTATTGTGCTGAAAAAGCCCCACCTGGCATATACTCGAGTCACTGTCTGTATTATGGCAACTTACATTGTATTACAGTGTAAATCTCGCGACACCCGCGGCCGTCAGAGCGTTGCCATGGCAGAGCGGGTTACCGTGGCAACGCTCCGCGCGGCACACAGGCCGCGAGACTTACACTGGGAGCTGACCGGAACTGCTACAAAGGTAAGCAACAGCTTGCTCCGGCCTCCCCTGCACAGCCCATCCACTGGACCACCAGGGAATGTAACAGCCCCCCTCCCTGGCCAGGCAACAAGTAGGGAGGGGGGCCAAAAAATAAATATTAAAATAAAAATGCACCCCAGTGTGTGTGTGTGTGTGTATATATATATATATATATATATGTGTATATGTGTGTGTGTGTATGTATATGTATGTGTGTATATATATATATATATATATATATATATATATGTGTGTATGTATATATATATATTCACACACTCACTCTGCATTATCTACACACACACTCACTCTGCATTATCTACACACTCACTCTGCATTATCTACACACTCACTCTGCATTATCTACACACTCACTCTGCATTATCTACACACTCTGTAAATAAATATTCAAGTAATGTAATTTTATTGGGATCTAATTTTATTTAGAAATTTACCAGTAGCTGCTATATTTCCCACCCTAGGCTTATACTCGAGTCAATAAGTTTTTTCCCAGTTTTTTTGTGTTTAAAATTAGGGGGGTCGACTTATACTCGAGTATATACGGGAATCATTTAAAAAAAAAAAAAAGGAAATAGAAACATAGAATGTGACGGCAGATAAGAACCATTCGTCCCATCTAGTCTGCCCAATTTTCTAAATACTTTCATTAATCCCTGGCCTTATCTTATAGTTAGGATAGCCTTATGCCTATCCCACGCGTGCTTAAACTCTTTTACTGTGTTAATATTAACAAGAAAAATAAGGTGGTTCAACGGACAAATAGATATACAAAACTTCACATTTCAATAAAAAAATTAATACAGCCAAAAGAACAGCTTGTTGTGTTTTGAACTGTAGACAGACCTTACTCATAAGCAAATAAGACAGGAAATGGCATTAGATACAAGATATTACTTACCTAAGATTTAAACCACATTAAATTAGACACTTAAAAGAGAGAACCACACACAAATAATTTGTGTGTGTGTATGTGTGATATATATATATTTATCACAAATGCCAATTATTTTTTAACCCCTTCAGGACCGGACTGTTTTTGCGATGTTTGTACGTTAATGACCAGAGCTATTTGAACACTTTTGTGGTGTTTGTGTTTAGCTGTAATTTTCCGCTCTCATTTACTGTTCCGATACAAATTTATATATTGTTTCTTTTCAGGACAAAAAGGGCTTTCTTTACATACTATTATTTTTATCATGTCATATAATTTAATTTAAAAAAATTATGGTAAAATCTTTTTTTTTTTTTTTAAACTATTTTTTTGACTTTTACTTAAAATCTTTTACTGATCTACAAAATCGAATGAAACAAACTGCTAAATAGATTCAAAATGTTGTCCTGAGTTTAAAAACACCCAATGTTTGTGTTTTTTTGCTTTTATTTGCAAGTTATAGGGCTATAAGTACAAGTAGGAAATTGCTGTTTCAAAATGTACATTTTTCAAATGTATCAATAGTGACATTGTAACACTGTTATGTCATAAATCTCCAAAAACACCCCACATGTATATATTTTTCTTAAACTAGATAACCCAGGGTATTCATCTAAGAATATTTTGATACTTTCTATGCAGCCATTTTACCACAAACCTTTGCCAAACTTTGTATAGGTATTTTTTATTTTTTTTTTTCACATACATTGCAATTCAGGTATAAATTCACAGATTCTGTTAGGTGTCACTGCCAAACAACACCCCAATATTTTTCTGTTTTTTTTTCTGTTTTTTTTCAAACACATTGTTTTTTAGGCATGAATTAACATATCCTGTTTTGTGTCACTGCCAAACACCCCAATATGTTCAGCAACATCTCCCGAGTACAGTGATACCCCCCATGTATAGGGTTGCTGGGTTGTTTGGGGGCCAAAAGGCAACAATCAGAACTTGTACATGTCAGTTTTTCAACTTGATATATAGGTATGCTTGGTCTATCTTCAGTTTGACATATTTTTGCACCCCCCAAGTTAATGTTACCATCATGACAGTATATATAGTGTATATTTTTATAAAGTAGACCTCAAAGGTTATAGAAGATGTGATGTTTTGACTTCTTTCCCCCAACCATTTTGCCCCCCAAAGAAAGTGTAGTGGTATTTTTTTAATTCTGGTTTTTATGCACACGTCATCTGGTTTTGGCCAGCTGGTTATGTGTTACTGCCAGAAAACTTGTTACACCAAATGTGCAGGTAGCAAACGTACAATTAGCAGCAATCTTTAAACTGATTCCTGCAAATAGAATCTAGCTGGAGATTTGGGGGAAGGAAACTAACAAAAAATGGCTGCTTTCCAAAGAAACAAAAAATAAAAATTCAGGAACACTTCTTACACCTGTTCTGTGTGGTACAGCTTGAAACATGTTCCTACACACAGTCCTGGTTTCGAAGTGCAATCAGGACAGTGAAAAGGGGTGTCTGTCCTTTTTTTTGTTTCTGGGGGGGTGAGTGGGGGTTCTAGCACTTAAAAAAACATTTTTTTTTAAAAAAATTTTTTTTAATTACTAAAACAGACTAAACAGCAATCCCTAAACTAACTCCTGTCACACAAATCTAATGGAGATTTGGGGGAAGGAAATTGACAGACCAAGACACAGATTTTTAAAACAAATTTAGCCATTTAAGGGCAAAAATAAAATAAAATATACAGACAGTACAAATGCACTGCTGTAACAGATCTGGCAGGGAAGGGGTTAACAAGGATTTTTTATTCACTTTAAATACTGTATAAAGCTCTGGAACACTTCTGCTGCAACAAACTATCACGATCTTTGTCTCTCTCGCCTCACAAAACGCTACAGAGGAGAGAGGGGCAGAGATCACTGTCAAAGTGAGTGTTTGTAACACCCACTTTGACAGCAGCCAATGCTCACACGCCGCACTTGGCAGTTACTATCTGCCTGGGATGTCTGGCAGATAGTTACAGTGTTATACCGGCGGGAGCGATCTTTGATCACTTCCCGCAGCCCGTTTTTCGCTGACGGTTCAGGACCGTCAGCGGTCCAAACGCACGTTTTACAGCTGACGGTCCTGAAGGGGTTAAATATATTGCCCATCTAGAAGTGCGATACAATCACATGGTCTAAATAATGCATGACAAGAAAATCCACAAAAATAATCTCGCCAAAAAATCTTAAGAAAAGCTGAGAAAAGTTTCATCATACTATTGGAAATACGTCATAGACTGAACAACAGTAAAAAATAGTCAAAAGAATGAAGTGGCCAAAGTAAAATGGAACACTTACAGAATCACTAACATTAGGGATATAAATATGTATTCCAAATGCTATAGTGCCCTGTCAATGTTAAGGTGGCTCCCCCATCTTCCTGGCTGCAAGTATTAAAAAGGTAGTTTACTTGCCTTTCTCCCTTGCAGTGCAGGTCTCCTCTGTGAAGCTCCTCCTCTTTAGCTAAGGCCATAGAGATCGATGATCTTATCCAGTTCATAAGAAAAGCAGTGAGAAAAGTGTGCGCTTGCGTGCTCTGCCCCATTACATGGTCCCTCTGAGACAATCTGAAAGCAATAGTGTAATTTACTTCACTATTTCACTGTGATTTCAGCTGAAGGGCTAAAAGGGGAGACTTAGCACCCAGACTTCTTGAGAAGTGGTTTGGGTGCCTAGTGTTCATTTAATTATGAAATATTCAATTTATAACAGGCTCCATCTTAATTGTGGTAGAAAATTCATATTTGCTAGGTAACTTGCTACATTCTTTCATTCTTTCTTTCCTTATCCAAGAAATGTTCTCAGATACACCTTAGGCAGTTTGTCTTGTTTTAACAACATTTTGTTCTGTGTTATTTCAATTAATAAAACGATTCATTTTGCAATCTCTTTCAGTCAGGATGGGAAACAATATACAAAATAGCAACAGTATGTATTTTCAATAAGTTTTGACACTTTTATTGGTGTTGAGCAACATTTTGTTATTTTTCAAGTATATAGAAAATGTGTTTTGGAGATTTAGATTTTTCTTCAAATGGATACTGTAGGCATGAAAGCAACTTTAGCTTAAAGGACCAGCTTAATGAAGTGGTCTGGGTGCCAGGTCCAGATAGGATTATCCCTTTTTTTTTAAACATGGCAGTTTCAGAGAAACTGCTATGTTTACACTGAGGGTTAATCCAGCCTCTAAAGCCTCTAGTGGCTGTCTCATTGACAGCCACTTGAGGCGCTTGCGTGCTTCACGCCAGCGTCTATAGGAAAGCATTATGAATGCTTTCCTATGAGACTGGCTGCGCGCTGCTCCTGCCGCGCAAGCGCATTCAGTCGATGACGTCGTTGGAAGAAGGAGAGGAGGAGGAAAGCTCCCCGTCCGGCGCTGGAGAAAGGTAAGTGTTTAACCCCTTCCTCTCCCCCAGAGCCCGGCGGGAGGGGGACAAACAAACGAGTGTGTTTTCCTGGCACTATAGTGGTCCTTTAATGAATTAGATTGTGTATAGATCATGCCTCTTCAGTCTCAATCCTAAGCCATTTAGGAGTTAAATCACTTTTGTTTATGCAGCCCTAGTCACATGTCACTTGGCAGTGACTTACATAGCCTGCATGAAATTAAAAAGATTTAATATCCACCTGCTTTAGAATTTTCTAGCCCCTGTTCTGTAAATTAAACTTTAATTTAGAATGTTCTATCATCTGCTGTTAACCCCCTTGTGTGTGTGTGATTAAACACACTTGAAAGTTCAAGTCACATGCATGGAGGTGTGACTAGGGCTGTATAAACAGTAATTTAACACCTAAAAGGCAGATAATTGAGTAGTGAGACTGCAGGGGCATGATCTATACCAGGGATTAACAAATTTGTTCGGAATCTAGGAGCAATTTTTTTTAAAGGGACTCTATAGTCACCAGAACCACCACAGATTAATGTAGTGGTTCTGGTGTGTATAGCCTGTCCCTGTAGCCTTTTAAATGTAAATGCTGCCTTTTCAGAGAAACAGACAAACACTCTGACAGACATACGCACACACTGACCGAGACAGACCTACACACACACAGACAAACATTTTATATTTCTTTAGAACACTAGGTGTGTCTATTTTGTACACTACCTTTTATACAGTGCTTATTTGCTGTAGAAGATGGATGTCCTCTAATACCATACTAACTTGAATGAATGCCTCAATAAAAGGTTTTCTTGGACACGTAGTGGTCGATGGAGACCTTTGCTAATATAGAATGATCAACTCATTTAGCATCTAGGTGACAGCATTTCCATGCCACATTTGTAAGCGCACAAAGGTACAAGAGTATGAAATGGTAGCTTCTCAATGTTGGTGTCTCATGCCTATTGATAAGAAAAGGCAACAGAGGTTAAAAATTGAACAATGCTATGTCTATGGGTTTTTATATTGTAAATATTGGAAGTAACATATTTGCTTTAAGTATTTTCATTCAAATACAGCAGCTTTCTTTCCATGGTGTGCATATCCTGTCCCTGCCTTTTCAATGTAAATGCTGCCTTTTCAGAGAAAAGGCATTGTTTACATTGCTGCCTACAGTAGAGTCCTGTGTCAGTGCTCTGCATGGAGGTGCTGAATGTTGCCCATAGAGAACATGCGTAATATCCTCACACTTATTTCTTATTGGAAAGCATTGGCGTAGCGGAGATCATTAAGATCTCTGCTATGGAGGCGGGACAAGCATGGGGAAGAGGGTAAGTAAAAACACCAATCATGTGATCGGAGGATGGACACACACACACACACACACCCTTACACTCTCTCTCTTGTTATGGAAAGCTAATTAAAAGTTAAGTTGTATATTTTCACAAGTCCTGAGAGTGCTATCTGGAGTATCTTCCAGACATATACACACACATTTTCTCTAACACTTACATATTTATATTTTTAATTCTAATCCACCCAGCCTCCCTACCTTTGGGAGAACTAAGTGGACTTTCCTTGGGGTCCAGTGGGGCTGCTATTCCTGCGTGTGAGGGAGCCGTGATCTTCCTGCAATTCCTCTCTGCAGTGATGCCAGGGACGGAATCACGTCATATTCCGGCTCCCGGCATCACTGTGCGAGTGAGCAGAGAGGAGCTGCAGGAAGATCACTGCTCCCTCACGCGCTGCCCCAGCCTGTCGCCTCTGTGCTGTCCAGGGCGGTCGGCTAAATGCTCACAGCCCTGGGTGGCTGGCTACAAAGCTTACTAAGCTGGCCACCTCCATGCCTCCCAGGGCAGCCGGCTACAAAGCTCCCTGAGCTGGCCGAATCCATATCTTCCAGGGCGGCTGTGGCGGGACACCACCAGTAAGTGCAATGCCCACTGAATATTTAATGTTTTGGTTCTGCATTTTGTGTCTCTTATGATTTTCCCTTGTTGAATGTGTTTCCCCTTGTATTTTGACACTGTACAATGCATTCTTCTTTTCAACCACGCGGCGGTGCTCGGGACCACCCCGATACTCCATTTAGAATGTTTGGTAAAAATGTTCATACCTCACTAACGAAGTGTGAAAACCACAGACCGCAAGGGAACAAGTGGCGCGTGCGTCCCCTGGGTGGCCACCGGTTTGTATCACTGAACGCTCACCAAAGGCAGCACTCTCATCCCGAACCCGCATTCGCACCCTGTCTTCGGTTCCCTGTCGGGGACCATCCTACCCGCTCTCAACAGAGCTATCGTCACTAATTTTCCCCTACCTGGGAGCTATGAGGCTAGGCTCGTGACTGCCCAGGAGAGCGCTCTCTCCGGTGGTACCTGCTTGGGGATATCCACCGGAGAGAGGGACGCGTGACAGCAGGGAATCTCTGGGGCTATGAGTCGGTCTCACGGCCGCAGAGTCCCGCTGGACGCATGGAAGTACGTGCTGACCAATAGGAGAGGGATTCAAACTGGGATTGCGCCATTCTCCTGGTTGGTCGGCGTGAGTGCTCATTGGTCGCCTGCGCCCGCAGCTACCAATCACAGAAGGAACGCTTGTTTAAACGGGTTTCGTGCCCTTTCTTCTGCTTGGGCGGCAAAACCCCTCTCCACCCCGAGCGCTGATTGGCGCAAACTGGCTTCGTGCCTTTCAGCGGATTGGCCTTTGCTTGCTTTGGGTGCGAAGTTTGAATTCACCAGACCAAACCAAGCGATGCTGTGGAACTGATTTCGGGGATGTATAGAGCATCGAGCCCCAAACTTTAGACGCTGGTATCTCGGACTCTGTACACCCGATAGACCCGCTATTTGCAGGGATCCCAGATGGGACCCGGGGCTATCTAATGATATGTTTTACCTGTGTGACTCCTTGCCTTCCCGGGGTGCCGAGCCCCAAAGTTTACCCCCCCCGTATGTAATGTGTCTTAAGGTGTAACCCTGGGTGCTGTTGATATCTCTCAGAGCGGGAGATGGTTATCTGTAACCCAGCCCCCTCCTGCCTGGGATTGTGTTATGTTGAAGGGAGACCCACTGTGGGGGTCTGTGCATAAAAAAAAGCCTGTTTGCAATAAAGAGGAGTCAGTGCTTAAACCTCCAAAATTGTGTGTCATCCTATTATTGGAGGCAAGGAACATTTAACTCCTGTGTCTGCTGTTCCGCTTGCAGGCGATGCAACGGGGAAAAGTCCTTGTACAGATTAAGCGCTTCCTGGGCTGAGTGTCGTCTCTGCTTGGGAGCGCATAGAGCCAAGTCCCCTAACCATGTGAGCGTTCCTGTTCGGCTGAAGGGAGGGAACTAGCGGGAGCAACCGTTCGGGTTACTGAGGCGTTCCGTTACAGCGTCCGTCTACAACCAGGGACACATTAGCCGCGAGGCAAACCAGGTATTTACCTTGGGCGGCACGTTCCAGGGGGTGGCAAAAAAAGCCGGTGCTGGCGAGGGAGCACTGATTAGTGAGATCTCTGCTCGGCTCCCACGCACGCCGCAGAGTGATGCCGGGAGCCGCAATATGACGTCATGTGATTAGTGCTCCCTTGCCTACTGCAGTCACCGGCAATTTGCCGTTTGGGATTTGTCGAGTCCTGATCTATACACCAAAAATGCTTCATTAACTCCTTAAGGACACATGACGTGTGACATGTCATGATTCCCTTTTATTCCAGAAGTTTGGTCCTTAAGGGGTTAAGCTAAAGTTGCTCGGGTGCCTTTAGTGTCCCTTTTAATATGATAATTTATACAAGGTTTACAGTTTTTATTTTACTTTTGTCAACAGTATTTATTACATGCATTCGCTATAATTTATAGCTTATTTAGCACTTTGTGATTTTTATTCTTGTTCCTGTAGGGTTTTTTTCTTTCCATATCATTTAGAACCTTATGTAATTTTGTGACTGTCCTGTGACCATCATCTTTAATCACATGTCATTATCATGTGACTTATTGACACGTCCTGTTTAAATTCCGTATGTAAAGGCATATGTCACTGAGTGATATTAGACTTGACAAAGAACATTTCGACTGTCTCGGTATTATGTTGCTTTGCAGTACACCAATAAGTCATGTTACACCTTTTGAAGAGTGCCGACATTTTCATGCTTGTTGAAACTGGAGTTTCATAGTGCCCTATTGTGGAGTAAATTATCATTCTTTATACCATGGCATGCATCCATTTATAAATGTGTCCCACTGTATCAGAACAAGTCACAAGGAGCAGTTCTGGGTCAAAGTTCTAAAACAATATTCCACTTGTTTCCGTGGTGTTTGCTCAACTGAAAGTGTATCTTGAAGCGAATAGTGTTTGTTTCTACCAAAACTTGAATGCGTCTGGCTATGAATTTTACTGTATGATTTCATCAGCCTTGTTACTTTTCAAATCATTCTAGAAAACCCTTGCTTTTAAAATGTAAAGTAAACCACATGGGTATTGAAAACTTTCACCCTTGGTTATATGTATTTACATTCAGGTTAATTCACTAAAGTTTTATTTCTCAGGCATTGAAACTGAATTTCCAATTTCAGACCCAAATGATAACCATAGCTGACTTGGATTAATTTTCTATTTTGGCTGCGTTGAACTTAAAATTGAAACTCTTTGATTTCCACAAAAATAGAACTTTAGTAATACTTACAGTATACCCGGTACTTCAGATGTATTTTTATTGTTAAATTATATCTTTAGTATACAATATGAATTATTTCTTCCTCTAGGTGGCACCTTACTTCTATCTGTGAAAACTGGATCAAGTCAAGATTCATGTCACACCAGTTATTGTTGTCTGCTGAATTTAGCTTATTGAAAGGTAGCTGCACAATGCTTGTGTGTGTGTGTGCTCATAACAATTTAGGCATCTACATAGTGTTTTGCATTATGATAAATATTTAAATGTTTTGACGTATCTTTGCACTGATCCCGTTCTTGTGAATCTATTTAATGTGCTCTTTATCTTTTATTTTGGCACAAATATCAGTTGACAAGTTATCATGTTAAATGGCATCTGGCATCAGTATTTTAATGTTACTTTTTGTATGTGCATTATATTTCTTTAGAACACTAGGTGTATCGATTTTGTACACTACCTTTTATGCAGTGCTTATTTGCTGTAGAAAATAAAGATGTCCTCTAATACCATACTAACATGAATGAATGCCTCAATAAATTGTTTTCTTGGACACGTAGTGGTCGATGGAGACCTTTGCTAATATAGAATGATCAACTCATTTAGCATCTAGGTGACAGCATTTCCATGCCACATTTGTAAGCGCACAAAGGTGCAAGAGTATGAAATGGTAGCTTCTCAATGTTGGTGTCTCATGCCTATTGATAAGAAAAGGCAACAGCGGTTAAAAATTGAACAATGCTATAATGCCATGTCTATGGATTTTTAAGGTAAAATATTGTCTCGTGAAAATATTGGAAGTAACATATTTGCTTTAAGTATTCTCATTCAAATGCAGCAGCTTTTTTTCCATTGAAGGCTCAATATCAACAGCCCTATGGGACAAGCACTGTTCCTATAATGCTTTATTTGCTTGTGCAGACCTTCATTCATCTTTAATATGGAAAAACTCACACATTGTACTTGTATTCTGTTTATACCACTTGCCCTTTTACATGATATGCAAATAGTTTGAACTGCATATTGTTCCCAAAATATATAGTTGATTCAGTTTGGAGGTATAATTACACACGTGTTGTACATTAAAACTAGTATTCTGTGTCGGGCATTAATGATCTTCCTTTTACTAAATACATCTTATTTCCACTAGTGTCTATATAGGCTTTATTATTTAAGGAAAGCCATGACTGTGTTATGTTATCGCTTCTGATGTTGCTGCATTATATGAACCCACATGGCAGCAATTGACTGTGTAAAATTGATCATTAAGGGTGCAGTTGTATATTAAACTATTTCACTGGTTCAGAACCTGATATTTTGAGTTCTGAGATCTAATGCACCTCACACCCAGGAATAGCAGCCCCACTGGACCCCAGGGAAAGTCCACTCAGTTCTCCCAAAGGTAGGGAGGCTAGGTGGATTAGAATTTAAAAATATAAATGTGTGTGTTAGAGAAAGTGTGTATGTATGTCTTTGTCTGTCAGTGTATTCGTGTGTGTCTGTCCCCCTCCAATCATATGATTGGTGTTTTTACTCTCCATTTTTCCCACGCCATGCTGGTTTTGCTGTTGCTTGTCCCGCCTCCATAGCCGAGATCTTAATCTCCGCTAAGCCAGTGCTTTCCCACAGGAACGCATTGGGAGGATATTACGCATGTTCTCTATGGGTAACATTTACTGCCTTCATGTAGAGCACTGATGCAGGACTCTAGTGACTGTCTGAGTGACTGTCACTAGAGGTCTTAGTATGCAGCAATGTAACCACTGCCTTTTCTTTGAAAAGGCTACAGAGACAGGCTGTAGGCACCAGAAAAACTACATTAATCTGAAGTGGTTCTAGTGACTATAGTGTCCCTTAAAAAAAAAAAAAAAACACTCTCTCTTAATGTTTTTTTTAGCTGGCTCCTAGATCCCAAACAAATTTGCCAAGCCCTCTCTTACAGCCATTTTGCTGGCACAGCATCAGAGGAGATATAGATCACAACATCTATAGAGTTGAAGGTTGCCTACCCCGTCATAGAAAGTATGTGTCAAATATTTGTAGATAATGATGTCCATTTTTAAATATTACAAACTTGTTCGAGGTTAAATAATCTGAAATTTGGCCATCTAACAAGACCGTAACATACTTTCTAAAATAAAACCAAGAATTCTAAACACCATTTCCTATTGGCTGCCAATGTGTCAGTGCAGACCACACATTAAGCATGTTTTCGATACATGCATATAGATGTGCCGCACACAACCTTGCATTTGTTATCTGAATGGCACAAAGCATGCATGTGATGTAGATGACACAAGGGATGCAATCCTTTGTAAATGAAAAAGGTGTTCTTTTGTTCACTGAAGTATTTACCAAGCTTTCCTGATTAAGTGCCTGGAATGCTTTTTTTTGGCTGCTCCCGTTTTTGAAATCTTACTGTCAGTCCGTAGCCTCTGGAGGTCAGCAAACAGACCAAAGAGCTGCAGAGTGGTCCCAGATGGACACCTGCATGGCTGGCTTCTCTGTCGGTACTTTAGGCAATTTGTGATCTATTCGGTGGGGGGAGGGGGAGCATTGAATTAGATTGTTGATAACATCCCTGCAAGGACTGCTATTAAGAGCACGCTTCTCTGCTGCAGAAGACAGAGAGAGATCCATGAATTCACAGCATTTTAACCATATGAAAATTTGCTCTTCCAGTATGGGGAAAAAGACTAGGGATATAAGAGCCACTGGCATCCTATTTAACACAGAAATATACAGCTGTTCATCTTTATTTTTATCCATCTCAGTGAAGGATTAAAGAACTGTGGGGTTTTTTTATTTTTAGTTTTTTTTAGTTTTTATTCCTTTTTCTTTTTCTCCACCTTCATAATGGCAGTCTTGCATTGTTTGACCAGAGCTTGCTCCCGGGGAAGACAGGCTGCTGAATTAAGCCACTGATCACTTATTAGCCCTGGCCTAAGGCTATGCTGAGATTTATATCCAATTTGTATTGTTGCAGCTCAAAAGAAGAATGTTCAGAGGATGACAAGTGTATTCTGAGTAGGTATGTTTTATATCATGCAAATCCTCTTTGAAATGGCCAGCAATCAAGCTTTAGGTCGGATGAAAGTGCTGCAGTCTCTGTTAGCAGAAATACTCTAGTGTCAGAATTGTTCTCCATTTATTTTCATTTGATATCATTTTAGCTGCTCAGAAATATAGCTGCATTGTACTGTTTGTGCAGTGCAGATTTTTTTTTTTACTTTTTTTTTTTTTTTTCTACTCTCCTCTCTCTCCCTTTACCATTCACTGCAGTCAATGCTTCCCTAACGAGGTGGCACTATTGTTGAGGTAGAACGATAGACTCATCATATGGCTTTAGGGGACAGGAGGATTTAAAAGGCGATGCCAGGCAACCTTATTTTACAGATTGGAAGCATCGGTTTGAGGGCATTGGCAGAGTCATTTGCTTGTTTGCAGAGCAGCAGCAGCAGCATCCACTGCTATGTCAGTAGTGTGTGGGATGGAATACCTAGTTGGTAGTCTGTTATGGAAACGCTGTTTACTGTTATTGTAGTACCGTGGTGACAACATGCCATTGAAATGGAAAACGAGCTCTCCTGCTATCTGGAAATTCCCCGTTCCCGTGCTTAAAACATCCAGGTCATCTCTACTTTCTCCAGCATACATGTAAGTGAGAGATATGAGGCTACCTAAGGTGGGCTTTCATTCAAGAGAATACCCTCTGTCAAAATGCAGCAACAACATTTTGCAATCGAGCAAAAAACATTTTCTTAACCCTCAAATGCACCATCTAAATAAATCAACATTTTAGTGTTCTCTGCCCACTCCACATTCGTGACCACATGTTTAACTAATTTGAATTGATACAATTTGATTTACAAGCATTGGTTATGTGTATGCTTTTTCTAAAAGAATAAATGCTTTAATTTGTTGCAACTACTGGGTATTCTGCATTGGAAAAAGGTCCAACCTTAAGATTAGTGGTTTCTGTAAGTTTCCCTAAACACCACCTTTTCTGGTGTGTTTTTAATTTACCAGTTGATCTGTGTAAGGTGGAAGCCTATTCTAATTGTATGGTGTTCAGCAAACCATAATTGCTAGTGTTTGAACAATTATGTGTCTAATCTGTGTACAGTGTCATTAAACATTCATAAATCATGTCTTCTCATGATTTATAAGATGTGATGAGGTTGATGGACCTTAGACCTTCCAAATCTGCGTCAGCATGTGTATATGTAACGTATATTGTTTGTGTTCCCAGTTTGTGTTTATACATAGTATCTTATGAACGTTTGAAGTTCTTGTAAAATTATGATAAAGAAAAACTCAGACTCTGGTTTGCACATCTATTTCATTATGAATTAAATAGTGTAGATCTTTTGTTCTGAATAGCGTAACTAGAGGTTCTATATTTTTGTGCCACCCATATGACTTGTGACCTATGATTGTAAATATCAAACGCAACATGTTAAAATAATTATCAAATTGTAATCTTGCTTGAATCCGCCTTGATACATGTATTTTGAAATGTTGCATTTCTGTTGCTGCTACAAAAGCCTCGTTCATAGCTTCCATTTCTGTTTCTTGCTTTACTGTGGAGTTCCTGAATGAGTCCTATGTTGAGATTTCCTATCAAGCATTGCAAATCGAGGGGCTCCTTCATAATGGACGTATTGTAGTCCCGTTTGATTTAATTTTTTAGCATTTTGGATGACTGACTACACATAATGACCCCTTTCAGATTTACATTGAAAGGTACTTAATCCTCTGTACAAACTAGCATGATTTTTTATTTTTTTAAAATCTATTTTAAATAAACATTTTAAAGCACCCTTTGAGTACCTAAAAACATGGCTATTAAAACACGGTTATCTATATCTCGATCTCAAAAAAAAATAAAAAATCCTGGTGTCTGTGACACAACTGTTCAGAAATCACATGTAGACGTGTAAGACAGTTGCATAATGCAAGGAGTATCTAAATTAATGACCAGGTTCATGAATGTCCTCATAAGTATAATGTGTATTCTTGAAAACAGTTGAAACTTTGTTTTTCGAATATATTTTATGTCAGGTGGGTTTGTTGTGCTTTCTTTGTCTTTTTAATTTAGAAATGTAGCTATAATAACAGCTTATTTGGTTCGGTAATGTGACTCGACATGCTAATGTATTCTTGCTTTTCTTCATGTTTTAAGAATGTTTAGTTTTCTGTTACTACTATCCCAATTTTGCCTCATTTCAACTCACCTGTATTGCTAATATAACTTGTTTTTTTTACTGCTTTGGTTATATCCGTTCATAGTGGATGATGAATATTTACATTGTTCTTTATTTCATGAAGATAAGAGGTTGTCAATTTATTTACAATGTGATTCAAAACTGGTCAGATCTGTAAAGTGACTTAATTTCAAACATTTTGTACAATATGTTCTGTAGACCAGGACCTAGATAAAATTTATATAGATATTCATATAAGTAGGCAAATTAACTTATATAGTGATCTGTGTAACCTGCCATTAAAATCCGCAATATGTTTGGTGAAATAATAGGAAGCACGGCTGAAATATAATTCCAATATAAGATGGGTTTTACTAGGGCTGTAGACATTAAGTAAACTTTGCAATTTATTTTTATGGAGGCTTTAGAAATGGTCTGTTCTGTCCCAGGGTTTTCAAGACCAAGTGGGAAGGTACACAGTCATTTTTGTAAATATCACTACCCTGCCATTGGTAAAACTTCAGCCTAGCATATTTCTTATTTTATAAAGAGCGCCTCCTTTTCTTGTGCAGGGCAGTTCTCTGCTGCAACATGTACATCCGAAGTCTATGTCAGAAATGCTACTTGCTAAAATTATGTTTTCACATCACACTGGGTCTTCGATGGATAAATTACTTTGGTCTGAGTCATCAAACAATACAATTTGCATCATGTTGTTTGAGCATTTACACTAGTGGCTGACACATTTTGTAAGCCCAGCAGCCACAATGTCTAGGTATTCTGATATTTCTCTCCCTGGCAGTTGTCAGTCACTGACATTTTCTGAATAGCATTATTTACCTCTTTCCGGCTAATACACATTCGTTGGATCATGCAATGCTAAATTAGAATAATTTTGCTTCCATATTTATTGATGGAGAAAAAAAACGCGTGATCAGATATTTCTTGGTTTATCTGAATCTATAAATGCTTTTTCACCATAAATCTTCCCCCCCACCCCATTTTTTTCTTTTCTTTTAAATAAAATTCAAACAAAAGAATATATATCACCTGGTATATAAAGAGACATTTTAACTGTTCTGTTGAAAATGATGTAAATCGCATAGGATTACATGCGCCTATTATTGTGCAGTGGAGCTGTATGTTAATATTGCTATGTGACTATAACTTTAATATTTAACTTTTAAATGTCTAATATTGCCATATGAATGCAATCACACAAATGAAGTCCTATATTTAAATCTTTTTGCACTTACCAGTTATTAATTGAACTTCTCTGCATATCCCACTTTTCCAATATAGCCATTCTAGTTTTTCAAGTTGATTTGGCCCAGTAATGGCTCAAAAGGGGCAGACCTTATGTAATCGGGGACATGAAACTTTTTCTTTTAAAAGGAATTTTGAAAAATAGTACCTTTTGTGTCATGTTCATCTTAAATAGTATTATACTACTGTGTAACTGCTGTGCCAGCAGTTTTATTAATTTTATTTTTGTGCTTTCTATCATGATGGGATTACTACCACTCATCTTTGTTTATATTTTGTGCACCCCTTAAGGACACATGACATGTCATGATTCCCTTTTATTCTGGAAGTTTGGTCCTTAAGGGGTTAAGTAAGACATTTAATCCCTTAAAGGGACACACTATAGGCACCCAGACTACCTACTCTCAATAAAGTGGTCTGGGTCTCTATACTGTGCCCACCTTGCAGCTGAAAGCCCTAGACAGCCACAAGAGGTGCTTCCGATGAAATAAGAGTAAAACTCTATTTCAGTCAGGTGGCCTCATTTTGCCATACATGCTCCCTAGCCTCCCAAAGCATTCTTATGGCCTTGTTGATCTCAGCCAAGAAGGCTGGGCCAGCTACTGAAAATGGCACTGCGAGGGAAAAGGTAGGTCACCTAAACAGCCACTAGAGCACTATAAGGTTAGGAAAACATATTTGTATTCCGAACGTTACAGTGTTCTTTTAAGTTTAAGTCATTAAACTGTTGTATGAAAAGTGGGTGAGTTGCATAAACCATTTCCACCAGTGCATCAATTCACTAGTTTTGGCAGCTTCTTTGTCTTTCTTATGTTATTTTCCAATACAATTACTTTTTCAGTGTGCAATCCCTCTGCAAAGTTTCAAAGGGAGAGAATGAAACCCTGGCATAGATATTCATTTCTCTGGAGAGTGAAACCATTTTCTGGGGCAATAGGAAATACAAGTACTATGTATAAGGAAAACAGCACGTGCATACACGCAATGTAAGAAAATAGAACATTATTTAGTGCTTAATCTAATTCGAAAATACTATTTCAACATATACACTGAGCAGTACAGTTCCAGATCATATGAAGACAGAAAGCAACATATTATTTATTGAACTGAACATAACATCTCTAGCCTCTAACTTATGAATTGTAGCTGAAACTTTGGGTGTTTCCCTTTTTTTTTTTTTTGTGTGTTCGTTTAAAGAAGAAAAAAGTCACATTTACTGTACGTGACAAAAGGCTACTTCTGCTTTTGAAGGGATATCACATAATCTATTATCTATCAAATACATCTGAAAAGGATGAACCCTAACAGGTCTATTTCAAAATTTAGGCCAAATTAGAAAAAAATTGACAGTTAAACCCTGCTTTCGGTTTGGCTGCTTGGGCCTTAAATTTGAAATTCACCTTTTTTTGTCATTAATCTATCAACCAATATGGAGATTTATGAAGAAGTCAGCTCGCTAAAGTAAGCATTGTTGGATATTCAGTGTGCTTTTTTTTGTATTGGTTGAATATCGGCACAGGCCCCCTTATAAGGATGTGAGTTTATGAGAGAAAACATGGCACTTTAATTTTCCCTGAAGATGTTGGCGCAGTGCTGGCAAAACACCTCTGGCTGTGTGGGATATCCAGGAACGTGTTATTGAAATGGACACGGTTATAAACTGTCAGAAAGAGGGGGAAAAAATACAGATTCCAGGCACACAAAGCCTTTTAGCAAACTGAAGTGTTTTATGTGTCTGGAGTGTTGCTTTAACCCCTTAAGGACCAAACTTTTGGAATAAAAGGGAATCATGACATGTCACACATGTCATGTGTCCTTAAGGGGTTAAATAAAGTTTTTTTTGTTTTTTTTTTAAGCTGCCTTAGGGCCATTCATGACTATGCATTTCCCTCTCCTGTAACACTTTTACACTCTCATTCACACCTGCCTCTTACAGACTTGCATGTAATGGATGTGATTACATGTATGTTTCTTTTAATATTTGTGTGAATGTATATGTATACAAATGGCCATTTACAATGCTAATGTTAATTGCATTTCTTGCTGTCTGACAAGGCGGGGGAGCCTTAGCATCACTAAGTGTAGAATATAACTGGTGACTCATTCAGCCAAATCTTTGTTTTATGTGACATGCCCCATAATAGAAATGTATGCTAACTGAATCAACTCCTACATCTTCTAGTCCCTCAACTTTCTTGCAGAAATATTCATGCGTTTAAACATTCATATTTGTGTACTAGAAAAATTCTTTACAGGTTCTTCACCATATTGATTTCATTTTTTAAATGAACTTTCGAGTCCATTGGTCTCAAGTCTTTACATACAGGTGTTACATAATATCTGTATAATTCCATTGGCCTCAAGTCTTTACATACAGGTGTTACATAATATCTTAAAATATTAAAATAATAAAAATCCAGTGAACAAAAAGTATTTTTTAACAATCTAGTAGATATACCCCAATTAAAACATTGCATGCAATTAATTATGTATTTCCATTTGGGATATATCTAAAATGGCCTTTGTAAGCCATTCTTTTCTTCCTCAGCCCAGACTCTGTTACTATCTGACTACCTGATCAGACTTACCATGAGAGGTCTTTGCAAGGCAGGTGCTCTGGGCTATTGGGATTTACTCAATTGAGCCAAAATACTGGATTGTATGCATTTGTGAATAGGGCTATGTTACCTACTGACCCTGTATGTCATACATGTTTTGTTACAATTAAATGTTTCTTTAATTTTGTTCAAAATATGTTGGCACTGTATAAATAATTGTAATTGGTTGACAGCCAGGAGGGGTTGTAACAAGACTAATTTAAAAGGATCACTATAGGGTCAGGAACACAAACACGTATTCCTGACCCTATAGTGTTAAAACCACCATCTAGCCCCCCTGGTCCCCACATGCCTCCATAAATATAGCAACATCTTACTGTATTCAAGCCAGAAGCTGTAGATCTACATGCTGTTTGCTTTTTTTTTTTCTTTTTTTTTTTTAGGCAGTCTGCTGACATCAGTAGTGGTAGCCTGATCCAATCACAATGCTTCCCCATAGGATTGGCTGAGACTGACACAGGGGCAGAGCCAGCACAATTCAAACAGCCCTGGCCAATCAGCATCTCCTCATAGAGATGAATTGAATCAATGAATATCTATGAGGAAAGTTCAGTGCATGCAGAGGGAGGAGACACTGAATGTTTGGATGCATTTTAGGCAGCCATGACCCAGGAAGAATCTCCCAACAGCCATCTGATGAGTGGCTAGTGAAGTTATCACTAGGCTGTAATGTAAACTCTGCATTTTCTCTGAAAAGACCATGTTTACAGCAAAAGGCCTGAAGTAATGATTCTACTCACCAGAACAAATTCAATAAGCTGTAGTTGTTCTGGTGACTATATAGTGCCCCTTTAAAGTGCCAATTTCTATTGAAATAGTTTTGTAAAATGAAAGAGGACACACTTTCTTCACACATAAAACACTTAAAGGACCGCTATAGTCACCCAGACCACTTCAGGTAAATGAAGTGGTCTGGGTGCCAGGTCCTCCAGGTTTTAACCCTACAGCCGAAAACAGTTTCAGAGGAACGGGTATGTTTACACTGAGGGTTAATCCAGCCTCTAGTGGCTGTCTCACTAGAGCCCACTTTCGCAATTCTCACTGATTTTCAGTGAGAAGAAACTGATGTCCATAAGAAAGCATTGAGTAATGCTTTCCTATGGGCGGTTTGAATGCGCGTGCGGCTCTTGCCGCGCATGCACATTTTGCGCTGACGTCAGCAGGAGGTGGAGAGTTCCCCAATGCCGAGGGAGCCCGGCGCTGGAGAAAAGTAAGGGACTACATAGTGCCAGGAAAACAAGTTTGTTTTCCTGGCACTATAGCAGTCCTTTAAGCACGCTAAAGTGGCGATGTCACTGGAGGTTTGCCCTGCTTTGAGGATGCATCCCCAAGCAGAGCAAATCCGAGAAGACAGGAGATGGAGCAGAAAACAGCCTGCAGGTAACATTCACAATGCTTGAAGATGGCAGTACTGGAATGGAGGACAGCCGAGTGAATATATTTTACATTCAAAACATCATGTATGTTTGGGATATATGGTGTATGAAATGTATATGGGAGCGATTTTAAGGTAAGTTGATTTTATTTTTTCTAAACAGGTTCATTTTAATGTGACGTGACTGAGTAGAGTCCTGAAACCGCCCACTACAATGATATAGCCTCCCAAGCATACATTGTAACCAGAACTGTCTCTCTTCCCAAATGGCCCAGCCTGTAATCATCAATATCAATGTGACCACCATGCAAACTGTTTTAAAAGGTTTATTAACCTACACAGCCACATTCCCCCCCACCCCATCTCTGGTAATTTAAGAAGGGTGGGTAGTGAGCATAACCTTAACTTAACCTTAGATCTATCATATAGAATCAAGCATATTTAATAAATCTAAAGACCAGTTTCAAAGCAAAACACCTGACTTAATGGGAATCTTGTTACAGTATATGATCCTGCATTGCATAATCCTGGCACAGCAAAAATGTACCCCATTTTTGGCAGGTTCTATTCTAGCTAACTAATGCCTGCTCTTTTTAGATTAACCCACTTACTTGGAAAGAAAACTTCATCCTAGAGCTCTCTGCATTGCAAAGTTGAAATACGGCCCTGGAATGAGGCAATTAGATTTTCTTATACTTACTGATGCCAAGGCTCCTCCACTCCACACCAACAATAATTTGGACTTTGCACGTTGTTCGTGCGCGTCTATCTATACGCGACTGTGGTTATGTTGGAATGGCTTGTCCCAGAGTGCCTTTATGCCGCATACAAATGAAGTCATGAATGATGCCATATCGGCAATCTGCCAGTTTCGAGTCTATTGGCAATCTCCTATGACGTGGCCCAATCCAAATAAAGCCACTAGTATTGTCCCAATTGCCCTATTATTGTTTAGTCAAATACTGTGTTTGTGATATTTCTGATTTCCTGTTACTGACTGACTTTATAACTGCTTATTCTGTTCTCCTGAATTTTGGCTAGTCTAACATACTCTATTTTCTCATACCCTTGACCTTGGCCATCTCTCAGACCATTCTTATGTTAAGCATGGTCACAAGTTAATATGGATTATAATATTTTCTGTTGTCAATTAAGTTCTGTGTGTTTGGGGTCCCTTACACATATCTGTGGTGCAACACCAAGGGAGTTGTTCAGACTTCCAAGTATATATGAATCCAGGAGGCTGCACTTACCTAAGCATGCATACATTAGAAGGGCACTGCAGGGACCAGTTAATACAACAAAAATAGAATCCAATGAACTCAATCTTAGATATACTTTTTATTTTTTTGACACAGTAGTTTATTTTAACATATGCACTGTTTATATCTTGCACTTGATTTATAACTTCCCTTTAAGAAACTTTTATTATACCTTTCTTCAGGACGATACTGTATGTTTTGTACGTTTAATTTCTATTTAGTAAATTATCATTTTGTGTTTCTAAATATATAATTGGGTTAAACTTTGAAATATAATGCTGTTCATTGGTGAAATAGGTGTAATTTATTCCAAATACCATGGTTAATTAAAATCCCAATTAATAATCACATTATCCTATAAGTTCACATTAATAATTGTAATTACATCTAAATATAGTAATTAAAGTGAACAGGAGCTTTTTGTTATTTAGATCACGAGAAATTTGTAGTTCGGTGAATAAAGCAATTTTATGAATTCTTAAATTTCTTAAAGGAACACTCAAAGGACCATAACCACTACAGTGCATTGTAGTGGTTTCGGTGCCAGGAGTGCCCTTAAGCCTCTCTAATGTAATTTGTTAAAGAGACACGATAGCCACTGGTCTACATAGTCTCTTAATATATTTGTTTTGGTGAGTATAGTCAGTCCTTGCAGGCATGTTTGTGTAAAAACTGCCTTTTCTGAGAAAAGGCTGTGCTTACATAGTTGTCTAGGGACACCTCCAGTGGCAGTCATTCAGGTGGCCACTAAAGGTGCTTCCTGAGTTATGCAGCACTGATGTTCAGTGTCTCCATGTTCTGCATGGAGACGTTGAATTTTCCCTAGAGAACTGCCTCAATTCTATGCATCTCTATGAGGAGATGCTGATTGGCCAGTATGATGTTTGGTTCTGCCCCACCCTGACTCCTCGGCGGAGATCATCAGAATTGACTATCCTATGGGAATACATTGGATTGGCTGAGAGAGTCAATTCTCACGATCTCCGCCAAAGGGGCGGATTGAGGCAGGGCCTGTGTCGGCAAAACCGTGAGGGTCTGCAATAAAGGTGTTTTACAGCTTTTTAAGAGGGGCAAGGGAAGAGGGGCAGCCACCTAAATAGTGTTTTTAATACTATAGGGTAGGGAATACACATTTTGTATTCCTGACCCTATGTGTTCCTTTAAACCATTTTAGTAATGAATTGACTGATTATCTGGGATGTGTTGGGCACTGCTCCATACCGTCTCTCTGCCTGAAGCGCACTACTTAAGATCAGATGAAGGCTCTCAGTACAATAACCACTACAGCTTGCTTTAGTGTTTTATGATGCCAGGAGTACCCTATCCCCTCTGTATAAGCATACCTCACTGACGATGCCTAGCAAGGTGGAAACTATTGTCTGGGGTTGATGTATCTCTCGTGCAGAGAGAGCTGGCCTGCATTTTGGTTCTGTTGTGATATGCAAATTGCCCTGGTTCTGCTTGTAAGGGCACAAGATGAGCTAAAAGCAGCTTGAGATCTAAATAAAGACCCACCGAAGGACAAGCTTTTTGAGCTGTTGTCTGTTCTCAGTAGTCTCTTGCTCAGTAGTCTCTTACACCTTGTTTAGCTCTCCCCAGTATACATAGTTTGGCGAAGTTTTAATGTTCTACCATGTGTCTGCTGGTCACTGCTCCCTACCTGGTAGGAGCGTATGTTCACTTTCTGGGGCTAAAACCTGCAGTGCAGCTCAACTTTGTAAAACACTTCACTGCCTTGATCGCATACACATTGTAACCACAATAAAAAATAAATACATAAATCCTGGTTTTCACATTTCTCTCAGGATCTCTCTTCGCCTACATGTGAAACTTGTTATACAGGCAGAAGCCACACTGAGAAGTAGAGGTTCAATAACAAAGTAGGGTGTATAATTCATACAAGAATTTCTATAGCCAGGGCAAGCATAACATTTTGTGATATATGTATTGAAGGGGCGTGTAAGTCTATAACTGCACCAGTTGTTGTTCAAAAAAATATGGCATTTGGAATGTTCCTTTTAAAATGGCTCTGTCACTTGGTTGAGCGAGCATCCCTCTCGCTTTGCATGTCTCCTTACATGGAGGCATTGGTGTGGGGTGGTGATTGAAGGGAGTGCACCAGCTTCTGGCAGATGATGCTGTTGAAAACATAGGTTTAAGAAAGTTAAACCTGCTCCATACATAAAGCATCAAATATTGGATTCAAATATTTAAACATGGGGTTTACCTTTAAGTTACATGTGAACACCATGAGGTTTAATGGAATGTGCCAAGCAAAGGCCATATTACTTTCATCAAAGTACTGAATAGAAGTGCTTTTTGTGAAATAAAATAAATAAAACTACAGTTTCATGGATCTGGTATCTCACAAATGTGCTGCAAAGAATGGTCTGATCTTAGTGTTTCAAAGAATTCCGGTTTATTCTTTTGATACAGTGCAGCAGAGTGCATGAAGATTAGTGGTTGGCTGGGCTCAGAACACAGTCGTTTGTTCTAGTCTAGTAATACTAGCAAGGACTGTTCGGTAGATTTTTATCCCCTAGTCCGTTCCCTTCTGCTGCCTTTTGGAGTCTTTTGCAGTAGATGTGATACCATAAACTTTTCTTGATGAGTAAATTTAAAAAGTAATTTTTGGTACCTTAATATCTCCTTTACCTGCATCCTGAAGTCCATTCACACCCTTTTTATTTTTTTTTACCTTCCACTCTTCCTTCTATGACACCTTTTTAAAATTTTTTTATTAATGTCTGGATTGTTTAATAAGCCGAAAAAAAGTTAATCTTCCCAAAATGCATACCTGTTACAGTGTGCTTAAAGGTATTATTTTTTTTTTTGGCCGTGACTTCCTGCATAGCTAGTGTGGCATACATTTATCGAAGCTTACATATAGGAGTTTTTTTTTTTTTTTTTAATATATATAATTTTTTTTTGTACCATATGTGCATTACCAGAAGTTTTGTAAAAACAATGCCTATGTACATTATTTGATACCAAGTTTGTCTTTAAGCATACTACTTTCTAAATTCAAAATCAGTAGTGAGAGCACTGTAAAAGTGAGATTTGTGTGGTAAAAGCAAGTCTTATGGATTGCCTGGTGTGTATTTGTATTTCACATTGCATTAACATATATAGAATTTTTTTTGTTTTCTGAAGATGTTTGTGCTAGGTGGATTTACAGGTGTGAATTTAAAAAACAAAACACAAAAAGCATAAAGTGGTATTACAAAGCTTGGGGCCCCTGTCTAGACCTGCACACTGAGAGGGCTATTTGCTGACAGCATTTTTCACAAATGGAAAAATTGAGGCAAATGGCTGATCTGGTAATATTCTATAAATTTGCTTCAGTTTTGCATTTGGATTTATTTGCAAAAATTTTGTTTCGTAAATTGCGCAGAGCCAACACACCTCTGCCGCCCCAATACATTTTTTTTTTTTGGTGTGTGTTGGCTTTATATAATGTGTTTTTAGTCTGTGCTGACAGTATGTAGTGTGTGTGTGTGTCCCGTATTTTTAAACTGTGATTCAGATTTTTATTCTCCTTAATTTTAGTGAATTGTGCATATTTGGGATGTTTATAATATATACATTTCTATTTAATATTCATATAATACACATATATTATTGTAATGTACTGAATTTTTTTAATCAAGCTTTGTAAACACACACTTACTTTATCTTACTTTCTGGACACACACGCACACTCCATGCTTGCATATAAACTAATGCACACTGACCCACTTACACAAAACTACATCTGACCCACATATTGTACAGTTCCATTGCTTCTTTCACATTGCCAGCAGCCTTCATAGTTCTTCACTCTGTCTGAAGCTTGCCCCTTCTCTTCCCTCCCTACCCAGCGTTTCGCCTGTGGAATTTGACGACATGCTGTATCCCAGCTGCAATCCGATCTGTACTTTGCATGAAGCAACTCCTACTCCTCGCGCCTCCCTATACCTGGCCGTCTACTGCAGTTCTCCATCCATCTGTAGGCTATGCCAGCCCACCAGGAAATTTCCTGGTCGGCCAATCCTTTTACTGCGCTAACCTCCCACGGACAAAGGCAGGGATTAAAGAATAGGAAAACTGCTCACGTGGCACATAGAACTTAGTCTCCCACATCCCTGGTACCCTTGAATATGCATCTTTTATTTTTTTTATTTTTTTTCCCTTCCTCTAATAATTCCTTGCTTCCCATATTCATAAAGAAGTGGCATATTAAATTTATAAGGTCAGATGTAGGACGTTGCCTGTTATGGGACTTGTTCTAATAAATCACTTCCTGAAAGCTTTTTCATTACTTTACTAATTGCTATCCAAGCGAAGAACTGTAATACTATTTTCTCTGTATATTTGTTACTATTCATAAGAGATTTGTCATGACAAAGTACATTAATGGGCTTGTTTTCAGGGCTTTCTCTCTGTTTAATATTCCTTTAAAGTTAATAGCCTGGACTTGAACGGGTTTCAGGAATGGTTTTAAAAAGCCACGGAAGACTGGCCATGGCCAGTTAGTATGTCCGTACTTGAGCTTAAAGTCACTGAGACCATGTTTGCATGATCCATTGCTTGACCTACTTAAATTGTTACTCCAGGCATCATTTACACTGGTTATTATACCAGGAATAACCTTGCCCTTTATCCTGGTAATGGGATAGACTGTTTTGCAACAGTTTCTCATACTTGAGCACCTGGTGGCCAGTCACTTCTGGCATTTGCAGAACTTCTGAAGGTAGAAGTCAATCACACCAGCCATCCATTGGCTGAACAAGGATAAAGTATAGAATTAACACTAACTTTTGTTTTGGGCTTGTTGGTGACGTCCCTATGACCCTGCCAGAGATTGAGTTACACCTGCAGTGGCAAACTGGGTCATCTCCGTATGTGCAGTGGTTCAAAGAGAAATGTTGTACATACATACTCTAGGCAGGGAGTCATGGTGTTTGGAGTTACCCTTTAAATAGCGAGTAGTAGTTTTTTTTTAATTATTTAAAGTAATATATTTATTGAGATTCTGGAATGCCTAAATGTGTTTTTTTTCTTCTTTCTAATTTTGTGACAAGGAGGAATGCTGCTTTTTTTCCCATTTGGTATCTCCTTGTAGACACTGGAAACATTACTATCTGTTCCTTTTCTATAATTTAAATGGGCTATATTTTATCTACAAAAAAAGTACATTTCAAATGACTAATCTGTCTGACCTCGGTTCCTTGTTTCATTTCAGTGTAATGCGTATTGCATGTTATTTGGAGCATAAAATGACATGTCCTGCTGCTAATCTTTCCCCTCCCAAAGCTAGTCATACTATGAGGCTGTTACAGAGAACACTTCTTTCTTTAGCCCGGTGGAAGCGTGTCATATCTTTTTCTCAGGGGGTTCTGAGCTACATCTGGGTATAAAATAGCTCAAATCAACCTTCATAAATGTATAAAAATGTGAAAATGAGTTTGTGACAGAATACAAGTGACCTTATCTTGGTATTGGTTGGTTTGTTACAACAAATACTACTTTTATTGCTGATATTGTAAGGAGAAGTGGTCATACCACCTTTTTGTGAGTTAGGGAGAAAAAAGAAATAAAGCAAACGTTGATTTGTTAAAATATTTCCATTTAAAAACACATTTAATGTAAAATAACACGCTAGGACACCAATTATGCTGCTTTTATAAGCTTGGGCCATGTCTGACTTCAATAAAGATACAGTAAGTCAGTGGCTCACCTGTTTTGGTTGTATTGCTAAATTATATGTGTATGCATTGTGACCGGTTTGCTGCTGAGAATTTTTCTGTTTTGGGCAGAATCTTCACTTGATTACTTGCCAGTTAGTGATGCCCTGGAGCCAGGGAATAGGTGGACATATTGTGACTGCTATACATTCTGGAAGGACCACTAAAGGAACCAAGATCACTTCATTTCAATGATGTGTTCTGCTGCAGTGGTCCTGTCATTTTAACTCTAAAACTCTAGTCCTGACCACCACTAAAGGCGCATCCACGTCTATAACGGAGTCCAACTCTGTCCTAAACTCAAATGCTGCTGATAGCCACATTTAGATTTTGACCACGGATATCTATTTCCAGTCCACTGCTTCTCTATGAGAAGCATTGGATTGGAGGAGATTCCGGTAAAGGAGGGGACTATATTTAAAAGCAGAAACTACCACAACAAGAGGACATGGTCTTAAATTAGAGGGGCAAAGATTTAAAAATATCAGGAAGTATTTCTTTACCAAGAGGGTAGTGGACGCGTGAAATAGCTATCCAGCTGAAGTGGTAGAGGTTAACACAGTAAAGGAGTTTAAGCATGCATGGGATAGGCATAAGGCTATCCTAGCTATAAAATAAGGCCAGGGACTAATTGGGCAGACTAGATGGGCCGAATGGTTCTTATCTGCCGTCACGTTTCTATGTTTTGTCAATCTTTCTTTAACTTTCATTTTTTTTTTTGTACCAAAGTTGGGTGGACATAAGGGAATATAACGTTTATTTCAGGGGCTATGGTTTCCATTTAAGAAAGACTACCATGCTCATCTGGGTCCTGTGCACCAAAATGAAAGTCTTTAGACCACATTACTAATCTAAAGTGGCATGATCGCATACACTCCTGGAATACCAATATTACTTTTCTTTTTTTGCAAATTTTTCATCTTTAATAGCTTTTGATTTAGCCATGAAAGACTGTAACTCAAGTACTGGCAAGACGCACAACACATACACTCAGACTTATTGCTTAACTTGTTTACTTGCAAGTCACTAAAATGAATTAATTTACATGTGAAGGGAATTGCGTGAATACTTGCTAGAAATAATGCAGGTTAGGTGTAAGGCTAGAGTTTCAGCCTATATGTCTATAGATACATAGAAAATAAATGCCAGCAGTGCTATAAATTTAATTTGCATGCAGGGAGAAGGTAGCTATGTGCACCATAACCTCTGCAAAGATTATTGGTTATGTTGCCTGTAGTGGTTTAAACTGTTCCTTTTTAGCCTTCAATTACTTTATTAACCACCAGTTCATCTTACAGGACACAAGAAGACTAATGTAGGAAAAATGCTTAATTGGCATTAAAATAACCTCACACAGTCTCAGATTTCTGGTTAATAAAATTAAAGTAAAAAATGGAATGATGAATGGTCTTTTGTTTGCTGGGTGAGTTTAACTCAATTAGAATCTAAAGAATAGATCATGTAAACACTGGTTGTAGCTATTGGTTTTATGTTAACATTTCCTATGGATACATTTGGGGGACTGTTAATTTAGCTTCCAGTACTCAAGTTTGGGTTCCAGTGATGTTATCTAGTGGTGAAAAAAGAAAAGATAATACAACTCAGATGTTCCTTGAGTTCCATGTTTTATTATAAATTATGTCACAGGCTCCATTTTCTTGGAATAAAAAAAACCTTTGTTTAAATGCACCGGCTTATTACCCCTTTGCTTGCTACTCCCTAAAATAAATAAAACTATAAATAGCATGTTACCATACACATCAATATTTATCCCTTTTTTATTCTAATAATCTTATGTTATATTATTGGTCATTGCCCACAGATAATGGAGCACTATAGGGTCAGTAACACAAACCTGTATTCCTGATCTTATAGGGTTAATATCACCATCTTGCCACCCTGGTCCCCTCATGCTGATATATAGTAAAATATTACTTGTATTCAAGTCTGCAGCTGCTTACATTGTCACTGTTTCCTTTAGACCCGCCTACTGCCTGCTGACCTCATCAGAAGTGGTAGCCTGATCTAATCACAATGCTTCCCCATAGGATTGGCTGAGACTGACAAAGAGGCAGATCAGGGGCAGAGCCAGCACAATTCAAACACAGCCCTGGCCAATCAGCATCTCCTCATAGAGATGAACTGAATCAGTGAATATCTATGAGGAACGTTCAGTGTCTGCATGCAGAGGGTGGAGACACTGAATGTTTGGATGCATTTTAGGCAGACATGACCCAGGAAGGATCTCTAACAGCCATCTGAGGAGTGGCCAGTGAAGATATCACTAGGCTGTAATGTAAACACTGCATTTTCTCTGAAAAGACTGTGTTTACTGCAAAAAGCCTAAAGGGAATGATTCTACTCAACAGAACAAATTCAATTAGCTGTAGTTGTTTTGGTGACATCTCTGCTTTTGACATTTTTGATATCTTACTTCCCATGCACCTTCATTGCATCTTACCTCCTTTGTAGGTCAACTATTCTTATTGTTGTATTATTTGTGGTCTAGATCAATGGTTCCCAACCCAGTCCTCAAGTCCCCCTAACAGTCCAAGATTTAGGGATTACACAGTTGTGTCTAAGGTGTTTGTAGATAGAAAAACAAAAAAACACTTGAGGACTGGGTTGGGAACCCCTTGTCTAAATGATCTAGAATTTGGAATTGCATTATTTGTTCCCTGGCAATTGTTGATATTATTGGTGAACATTTATAGACTTAAAAAAAAATAAAAATAAAATAGTACAGTACTTGGTTTGGGGCTGCTAGAGCACTACTAGAATGCAAAAAAATTGTAGTAATTAGTATAAAGGACTACATCAAGCACGATAACTATTACAGCACACAGGAGTGCCATGGAGCCACTTAAGTATAAGTAGTTAAAGTGAGTGCTGATGATTTGATGTGTAACCTGTGGACCGCTGAGCGCTGACCACTTCCATCATTAAAAGGTGCAAGGCCAACTTCTTGGCTGAGTGCATCAGCTGATATCAGTCAGCCAATTAGCTAAGCCCTGCAATTTCAGGCTTGGTTCAATGCATAGAGCTTCTCAGGACCCAGGTAATTTGTCAAACTGTTAACATTACCTAGCACAGGGCTAGGCAACCTTCATCAGTCCGGATGTTGTGGACTGTGTCTCCCCTGATGTTTTCACAGCATTATTGCTGTTAAAGGCATTATGGGTAACGTATTGCACATCATCTGGAGTGCCAAAGCTTACATAGCCCTGACCTAGCATATGGGGGTGTACTCTAGGTTAGCATGTGACTTAGATGTGGGGCATCATCCAATGCAGCCATTCCAGATGTCGAAGTATGTAGAATTGATTTCATACATATAAGTACTTCTCTTTCCTCCTTTAACATTTTTAATGTAGCAAGAATCACTGCATTTAATAAGAGCATAGAATAAAGGTTCAAGGAGAGGCAGTAAAAACAAGAATGGGTTATGTAGCACCTAAAATGAAATATGGATATATTTTAAAAACCGAACAATTTTATCTTAAAATTAAAGAAGTGATTAGCAAATAACAAGTATATAAAAAGTCCAATACTTGAAGGTGCGGTAACTGCGAGGTTCTTGTTAAAAATTTATTTTCTTCATAAAATCCGAAGAATCCGTTGTAATTTTGAATAGGTGTGAATATATATAAAAAAAATAAAAAATAATCACAGTATAGTTTGTAATAGTTCAGTAATAAGTAGTGTGCAGATCTTTATAGTCTTTCACATTTAGCAGAGCTTAGACCAGCTCTAGTGTTGTGCACATGCAATGGTGTTGATCCTCCACTGCTAGGATATACGTGAGGGTACGGGCAGTGGATGTCTCAGTGATGTAATGTTCCAAGAGCCAAAAGAGAAAAAGAGACCACAATAGGGCTGTCTATATAAATTTTATGTTCTATATTATTACTGAACTATTACATTCTATACCATAGAGGTGTTCCTCTACCCCCCATATTCACACCTATTCAAAATTACAGTGGATTCTTCTGATTTTATGAAGTAAAGAAATGTCTAACAAGAGCCTCGCCGTTACCGCACCTACTACACCTTCAAGTATTTGACTTTTTATATATTTATTTGCTTATGACTTCTTTAATTTTAAGATAAAATTATTCTGTTTTTAAATATATCCATATTTCATTTTAGACGCTACCTAACCCATTATTGTTTTTATTGTAATTTACTATTGCATTGGGGTCTGTAGAGAGAACCTGATTCCATTAGGTGGGCTGCCTTTCTTTCTCTGTGTTTTCTAATTTTTATTCTCGTTCAATACCTCTAGTAATACTTTTTTTTTTTGCCCAAATTCCCCTTTAACTAAATCATATTTAGTCCAAAGGGTTAATAATCTGTGATCCCAAATATTGCACTATCCGTTTAATTTTACCCAATTGCTTTACTGCATTTTCATATGGTTCATACAGCTTTTTAGTAGATTTGTACATCAGGATTTATTAAAATGCGAAAATCGTTAAATGTTTTTGCAATTTTTTACAAACCTACCTAGACTATATACTCATCCTTTTGTACTGGACATCAGTCTTGTATATGTTATGTATGTTGATGTTAAGAAATTTTAAAACACTTTCTTAACATTTGAAGATAACTCGTGTTTTTTGGAAAGAATAGTACATTACTGCAACATCTATGTGAATTGCACTTTTGCAGAATGTAGCTTCCCCCCTCCCCTCCTATATTGTAGCAAATGTCACTATGTTGTAATCCTGTCCGCTATATTAAGTTTCACAATGCATTTAGTTTATTTACCATTTTATTTACAGATCTTTGGTTGAGGAGGAAGATCCTCACTTGAAAGTCTCTCTTGGGAACAACGATATGGGTGTGTCTGCTCACCTTCAGTCCTCAAAGACTGGGACCACTAGATTCTTCACCAGCAATACTCACAGCTCAGTGGTGTTACAGGTATGACGTGTCTCTGTATTAATTGCTGCTAAATTCTGTACTTAAATTCAGCATATTCCTTTAATTTTCAGGTGTGCTATTTTGCATAAACTGCATACTATATACAAGACAGGACAGGTTATCTGCTATAGTTTTAAGATAAAAGAGTAGTGGCACCTAAAAATATATATTTTAGAGCAATAAAAAGGATAAAGAACACCTTAGTCCCATGGCAGAAATGTGTACATAAGGAGCACTTTAAAACCATGCTACAACTGTACAATAAAGCCCCTGGAGAATCATAACCCTGTATTGTATAATGAACCTGCATATATTAAAGTGGAACTCTAGAACATGCATAATACAGAGAATATTAGAATACTTTACTTTATTTTTGCATGCTAATTAATTAGAAAAAGCAGGAGAATACACATAATTTAGCATGGCTTATTCCCCACCAATATCTTTTACATACTTTCTTCATTGTACGTTTTCTATTGTGTGCCTTCAACTCTACACAGTCGATGGAGCGCAAACGCCACTGTCCCTTGAGTAGGAGATATCAAGAGTAAAAATCTATTGCTCTTTGTATACAGCATATACTCCACAATAAAGTGATTGCATTCACATGCATTTTGCTTCCTCTCCATTTCCGTGTTATGCAAATCAAAACCTGAGGAGTATTTTGCATATGTTAATGGAGACATAAATAGTTACATAGCTGAAAAGAGACTTGCGTCCATCAACTTCAGCCTTCCTAAAAAAGTGTTTTTATAAGTTCTGTTCAACTTGCTAAATGTGTGTCTTTAATACTGTGCACACATTTAAATTACTGGAAATCTCACAAGCTGTATAACTGTCAACTGACAATCTTGATGCATCATAATCCGCAAACCAAGCCATGAGATTGGTTTATGGATGTCATTTTGTACAATTTGTTTGTGACACTGGTCATGACTTTCGTAGACCTCACAATGTTGATGCGTAACTGAGTTTGTGTTCAATTACCTTGCATAATATGGCAACAATTTGATCCCACTGGATTTTTAAAAAGTTACTTCAATAACCATGACCTCTTCAGTGATGTGAAATGATCATTGTGCCTGGAGTCTACATGTGCAGCATTTCACTGCAAAACACACACACATCCATATCTAACCCCTTGGCTGTTGGATTGTTGGAGTTGTAATTCCACCTCCAGCTTCAAGGGCTGTCATCAGCCATTTCAAGACTGGCTAATGATTCTGTGCAAGTTGGTATTTAAAAAATAAATAAATAAAATGTCATTCATTGGCTGAGAGCAGTCATCGTACTTTCTCAGCCAATGGATTGTGCCCGGATAGGCTTCTATGTAAGCTGAAAGTGCGTCACTACTTTAGCAGGAGCCTGGTGGGGACCAAGGTAATATTGCAAACTCTTACATGGCTAAAACCAGAATCTCCTTTTGAGAGAATGTGCGTTACAACAGATGTGTTTGTGATGAGATTTGTGTATAGCCGCTCTGTACACTAATGTAGATTATCCTTTTTTTCCCACATGCAATTAACACAGAAAAAGAATTTGGTATATAATATACATATACCTCAAGTGGAGCGCTATAGGGATTACTTCACAAGCTCTTGAGTGAATCGTATACGTAGCATAAAGATATAAAGGATATAAAAGATAAATATATAATATAGTACATATTGTAAAAATATATAATAGATGCCTAGAGAATTGTATAAATATTGTAAAACACAATTCAGGTGAGGTAACCAGGATTTTAATTTTTAAATACAATATTTAATTTTATTTATTTTTTAGACTGTTTGTATTAATATATCAGATTTTATACAAAGTCCATTGAAGCCTCAAGTACCTTCATTTGGGGAAAGTGCCATCCCCCTTAGAGTGGCACAAAGCCTGCTACCCTCAGAGCCAGGACCTTAAGGCTCTGAAAAAGGTGAGCATAATACCTATTCATATTTTATCCAAGATACCTTTGAATTGATTATACTACACATTGGATGTTCCTATTGTTTTTATCTTCCTGGAAGAAAACTTTCAGCAGGAAATAGTGGTTGGATGCTGCCATAAAAAGCATGCCAGTCCAGTTTACAGAGCCAATAATATCGGCTCTTATAAATGTGAGTGATCCATTTATCTCTCACCTGAATTGCACAGTGTTTTACAATCTTCACTAGATTATATATTTATCTTTTATATCTGTATGCGACGTATACGATTCAATCAAGATCTTGTGAGGTAATCCCTCAACACCTATAGCGCTCCATTTGAGGTATATGTATATTTTACACCAAATTCTTTTTCTCTTTCACAGCTGGCTGTAGTGGGTATGATGCTTGGAGTAACCTTTTAAGTAATGTTAGTCATTAGTGTGGCATCCGAATTAAGCTCCAAGAGCACAGTTGGCTATTTGCATTGGCTTTGTTTTTGTTTTTATTGCATGTTATGAGTATGGGACCTTTAGACTTACTTGATTCATAATAGTCTCTTTGTAGACACAAACGCATGAGAGGTATAATGTAAACAAAAATCACTAATTTGCAACACTTGTCTGTTACACAACAAATCGACACTACACTGATTTTTTTTAAAAATTTTTTTTTTACATTTATTAAATATTATTTTTTTTGCATAAGGTCCAGTCATTTTATTGTAACTCTAAGCTAGCTATTAACTTAGAGAAGGATTAATTTATCAATATAAAATTGAATACAACTGATACTTGTGGATAATTAATTTTGCTGCTGTTTAAATATTTAAATGGCTTAGTTTGATATATAAAAATTTTCTAAATATTCAGCCCTTTCTTTGATATTGTGTATACCTTGTCTTGATTTGTTTCTCACTCTTAAAGTGGACCTGCCAATCGTATAATGCTTCAGGTGAGTCTCACAATTTAATAGATACATTGTGCTTATGAAATAGTCAGCAAATGTGTAAAGAAATTAATAAAAAGTCTCTCTCAATAAATCCCCAAGTATAATATACTGTACTTTCATTAAGTATCAGGCATGCTAGCACAATGGTCAGATAAACTTTAATTACCCACAAAGTGCTACCATGTCATGTATGCAGGACAGGAATTTTTATTTTATAAAAGCCCATGCTTTTCTTTTTGTATAAAACAAGTTGCACAAACGGTTACTTGTGTGTGTGAAATTTTTGTTGAGTTTAAGTTCATCCTGATTGTGACGCTCGCTTGGGAAAGTAGCTTTTAAGGTCTAGCTAATAGCACAGGACTTAAAATTGTAAGCACTGTAAGTAAAATCATTTTAAATGTTTCTATTTTTTCCAAAGGGCTTTGACCAGTTAAGACTAGAGGGCTTACTTTGCGATGTGACCTTGGTACCAGGTGATGGGGATGAGATTTTTCCAGTTCACAGAGCTATGATGGCCTCATCCAGTGATTACTTCAAAGCCATGTTCACAGGTAATACATTTATTTTTTCTTTATATGCAATTCGGTTGTATTAAAAAAAAAAAAAAAAAAAAAATTAGTACCTTTGCACATATGTTTAATGGAAATGTTATGATGACATAATATACATGATGATTCATGTTTTCCTGCAAAGGCAGTTAGTTTGCCTTTTATTGTGTATCTCTTTTCAGAGACAATGCATAGTATAGCAACTCTTTAGTTTTTTTTTCTTTTCTACAGTAGAGCTTTTGCCTATCAAACAGACTTGCATGTGTTTTGAAATGGATAAGTGCCTACTTCTGAACTAAAACATCATAAGAGTATTGCATTAACAGTGTGTTTATGTGCACACGCTGAGCCGTACACATAATGTCCTTTTGATTCTAGGTTCATTCCTTGAATTGGTGGGGCAGGTGAAACAAAATTTTCAAAGCTAACATTGAATTGATGCAAATTGTGATGGGATTTATTATTTAACCTCCTATCCTTATTTGCTGATTCTTTAAAGGTTAACATTAGTACCATTTCTGACACATCACACCCGTTAATGGTTTACTTAGAAAGTATTGCATAAGTCATCTAACTTTTAAAGGGCACCTATCATGCATGACATTCTTGTCTCCTGTTTAATCTGCAAATAATTGTTTCTAAATTTTTGTGCGACCACAAGGTCAATCTACCAAATTCCGTTGAGATGGCTATAGATATAAATCTATTTATATTGAGGCCAAGCAATGACTTTAGTAGCCAGACTCAAGTGTGCCACTGTGTAATTTAAGCTACAGCCACAAGTTATTATTATTGGCATTTAAATAGAACCAACAAATTCCATCCAAATGCAAAAGTACTCTTGCCATTTAACTGTGTTTACATATTCTTACGTTTAGATTAAGGTCAGATACCAGTCATGTTCTGCACAGCAGAATTCCTATTAACAGTTCTCCTACAATGAGTTTTTGAGCATTGTTTACATATTCAATAGAAAATAAAGGTTGTATGTACTACATTTATAAAAACTTGCACATCGTACAGGTAATTAAAATTTGTCCTGATTTCTTGTCTAGGTGGAATGAAAGAACAAGACTTAATGTGCATTAAATTACACGGCGTGAACAAAATTGGATTGAAGAAAATTATTGATTTCATTTACACTGCAAAACTTTCCCTAAACATGGATAATCTTCAAGACACGCTGGAAGCCGCTAGTTTTTTACAGATATTGCCTGTGTTGGACTTCTGTAAAGTGTTTCTAATATCGGGGGTAAGAACAAGCATTTAACATAGTTCTGTCTTGAATATGTATGCAGTGCTATGGAAGACCGGGTTTAGCAAATATAATGGCTGTTCGACCCGGACCACTACACAGCAAGTAAAGATTGGGTTCAAGACCCATCTGAGTGGTTGTTATAGTATAGGGAAGTATTTGGTGCTTTAGCTTGAGATCTGTAAATTGACAAGAAAATCAAAATAAAATGCTTGATATTGGTATGTTCTAGCCTTTTAAACCACGTCACTTTGGTATCATTTTAGTCTTGCTTAACTTTCAAGGGAAACATTCAAAATGTTGGTTTGTAAGTGTTGAAGTAATCAGGGTTTTTTACAAAAGTGAGAATGTAAGTGGATAGAGATTATCTCAACTAAATTCCTTTCAGATAAGAATGCTTTCACCTGTCTTTCAAACCTAGTGCTTCTAGGTGGAACACTTTTCCATGATAGGATACCACAGGGACACACGTAGGTTAGGTTGCAATTAGTTACTCTGTTTTTGTTTTTTCGGTTCTAGAAATTCTGCTGTATAGAATATGTATTTCTAGGAGTAATAGTCTGTTATCTTTCTAAAGTAGAAAGCGAAGACTTAAACTACAATTGCTAAAAAACATTGTTGCACTTCTAAATCACAGTTTACAGGATAATCTCAGCAGTGTTGTAGAATGTTAATGGCCACAATTTAATTTGGCAGCTCATCAATGGGGATTTGCAGCAAATTATAGAACTTTAATTTTGAGTATCTTTTAGAGTATTTGAAATGCTGCTGCATGTTTGTATTGTAGCATCTAGTGATGAAATTTACTGCCAGCTTCTGTACACATTCAACAAGCATCACATGCTTCTAGCTGTTTGAATAACTAAGTGCATGCATTCAGTGGTATAGTATATCTCTTTTGGTCAAAGTCTCTGTATATCTCTTGGAAGTGAAACTCTTGGGTTGAGGAAACATATTAATTTTTTTAAATTAGTTTTATTTTTTATTTTTCTAGAACACTCATGTCTAGCATATAAAAATATTTTTGTGTGGGTGTGTTGTATTGTACTTTTTTTTTTTTTTTTAATACTCTGAATTTTGAGAGTCAATTAAAAGGGCACTCTGGGTACCATTAACTCTTTATCATATTGAAGTAGACATGGTATCCCAATACTGTCCCAGCTGCCCTTGCCCTAAAATCCATTTTATTTGCTGTCTGTAGGCAATTGCACCAATCAGTGAGTTAATACGTCAGCATGCATAACCTGCTTACTCAGATGGGTTTTCAGGGGCAGCTTCATGAGCTAGTACCTTTTAAGTTCAGTCACTGTCCATATATCTGTGATGACTAGTACTGTACCTGTATTCTTCTACAAGCCCAGCACTTATCGTTTCTGAACTGATTCTTCTCTATAAGAAATATTTGGTGGTGTGCATGACAAGTATTGTGTGTCTATTAGAAGCTACAACAGATAAAGGTAAGTTTGAATGCTTTTTTTTCCTCACTAATACTTTAGAAAACAAACTGACTGTGAGGCATAGTTAATCTAATACTACACTCCTACTGGTACTAAAAGATTAAAGGACCACTATAGTGCCAGGAAAACATACTCGTTTTCCTGGCACTATAGTGCCCTGAGGGTGCCCCCACCCTCAGGGACCCCCTCCCGCCCGGCTCTGGAAGGGGGAAAGGGGTAAAAACTTACCTTTTTCCAGCGCTGGGCGGAGAGCTCTCTCCTCCTTCTCTCCTCGTTCCTCTCCTAAATGCGACGCTGCAGCGAGCTGAGCTGCGCGCGATTCAGATTGTCATAGGAAAGCATTTTACAAAGCTTTCCTATGAGCCATGTTCTCACTGAAAACTACAGTGAGATAGCGCCTAGTGGCTGCCAGAGACAGCCACTAGTGATAGGGGAAGGCTTAACCCATTAATAAACATAGCAGTTTCTCTAAAACTGCTATGTTTATAAAAAAAATGGGTTAACCCTAGAAGGACCTGGCACCCAGACCACTTCATTAAGCTGAAGTGGTCTGGGTGCCTAGAGTGGTCCTTTAAATACATGATTTTGCCTTTTAGCAATTTACTTATTTTTTAACACTATTTGCATAAACTAGTTGTATTACTTATTTTGTTATATTGTTGACAGGTGTAGTTTTGGCGACAAGCTCTAGTATGAGCATAGCCTGTAGACAGTCTTTAGAAGACTACTCGCACCCACCATAAATCCTCTTATACAGCAGTATATGACCCTTTGGGTGTCCGATTATGTGATCTGAAAATTGCAAAACACTGTGTGTGTGATAAGTCAGGCACTGAAAATGTTAAAACTGTGAAAGTACTGAGGATATTAAGTGTACATCAAGCATGTCAAACTTGCGGCCTACACTGAATATATTTGCGGCCCACCTGCCCTCGGGCCGCTTTGTGTTGTGGCTGCAACCAGCCGCAAGACAGGAAAGATCTTTCCTGTCTGATCCTTGTCTTCTCTGCCACAGAGCGGGCCAGCCACTCACTCTTCCCCCCTGTTTGCAGTGCAGGAGGAGCCTCTGGCCTGCTTGCAGAGAAGATCAGAGCTGGAACTGGAGGATGGGCGGCTCATTTTAAGGTAGGAGAAGAGGGGCTTGGGGGATTTTCTTGTGTGTTTTAATTGGGGATGGGGGACAGTGTATTACTTTGGGGAGGGAGGGGGTAGTGTATTAATTTGAGGGAGGGAGGGGGTAGTGTATTAATTTGGGTAAGTGGGAGTGAGGGATGTGGGCCAGGGTATTAATTTTGGGGAGGGAGGGGAGGTGGCCAGGGGCACACTTGGGGGTGGAGGAGGAAAAGAGTGTCAGTAGTGCTACCTCTCAGGGGGAGGGAGGTGGCCAGGTATTAATTTGGGGAGGTGGCCAAAAGGGCTAATTTGGGGAGGTGGGCTAGGGTATTAATTTGGGGGAGGGAGGAGGTGGCCAGGTACACTTGGGGGAGGGGAGGGAGGTGGGCTAGGCATAATTTGGGGGAGGGAGGAGAAATAAGCAGGGGTATGAATTTGGGGGAGGGAGGGAGGTGGGCCAGGGTAATAATTTGGGGGGAGGGGAGGGAGGCCAGTGGCTAATGTAGGAGGAGGGAGGTGGCCAGGTATTAATTTGGGGGAGGGAGGCAGGTGGCCAGGTATTAATTTGGGGGAGGGAGTGGGAGGTGGCCAGGCAGCTAATTTGGGGGAGGGAGGAGGTGGCCAGGGCATTAATTTGGGGGAGGCTGCAGGTATTAATTTGGGGGGGAGGAGGCCAGGGTATAATTTGGGGGAGGGGCCAGGTATTAATTTGGGAGGGGCCAGGTGTATAATTTTACCGTGGAGGGGTGCATAATTTGGGGGAGGGGGCCAGGGTATTAATTTGGGGGAGGGGGCCAGGGTATTAATTTGGGGGAGGGGGCCAGGGTATTATATTGGATGAGCTAGTGGGCAGTGTATTAGTGGTGGGTGGGGGGTAGTGTGTTAAATTTAATGGCAGTGTATTAATTTGGTGGAGATGGGAAGTGTATTGGATCTTGGCCAAAGTGAAAAACTCATAGGACTTCAACAAGATAATGTTTTTGTTTTTTGTTTTTTGTTTTTTACAGCTTTGCAACAGCATACATTCACCATTTCAGTCCCATTAGCAAGCTTTTCTTAAAGGATCACTATATCCTATAGTGTTAACACCATCATCTAGTGGCTGTTAGACTCAGAAAAACAAGCAGTCTGCTGACACGTGGTAGCCTGATCCAATCACAATGCTTCCCCATAGGATTGGCTGAGACTGACAAAGAGGCAGAGCCAGCATGATTCAAGCACAGCCCTGGCCAATCAGCATCCCCTTATAGAGATGAATTGAATCTCTATGAGGAAAGTTCAGTGTCTGCATGCAGAGGGAGGAGATACTGAATCACAGGATGCTGTGCACAGTGCTGCCCTGTGCTCTGCTGACAGCAGATCTGAGTGGATGGAGGCATATTATGCCTCCATCAACTCCAAAGTCCCTCTGGTTCACCCTGAGTGACTGCAACTGGAGGTGTTCCTAGTTTTCAATGTAAACACTGTATTTTCTCAGAAAATACAGTGTTTACATGAGAAAGGCTGCAGGGAGCTATAGTTCTCACCTGAACAACCTCATTAAGCTGAAGTTGTTCAGGTGACTATAGTGTCCCTTTAATATGTCAAAGACTGGACATTGGTTATATGCAAGTGCACGTCTCCTTAAAATAAATTTGCTCTCTTGTTTATGTTGAAGCCCTATGTGCGTGAAGACATCCAGTGTCAGGCAACTTTTTTTTTACTGTACTTTTCTAAATAAACGTACGTTTCTATGAAAACTAAAGGTTGGTTTTTTTTTGCAGCCCACATAAACCTTATTTATTTGGCCTGTGTTGGCCTTTGAGTTTGCCATGCTTGGTGTACATGCTAGAGATCATCCTTATGTTGAAAATAAACTAAAACTTTATAGAAATTAAGTGTCATCCTTGCCACCATCATGTTTTGATGTATTTGTTTGCATTCTTCTTATGGTATCATAATAATGCTACTAGTGGTTATTGTACAAGTAAAATTTGATAGTATATTAACATTGTTAGAAAGCAGGGGTCTCCAAGTACCTGCCTGTGGATAGTTTCCGGCCTCCTAAATTTACTGCAGCCTGTGGCCAGTTATCCTGGTATAGAGCGATACTGTTTGTCAGAGTCCCGGGCATACCTCTTTGTCTTGTAGTGCTGGTGGCCTGGTCCACATCAGGGCTGTGATCATTCACTTATTAGCTGCTGTTGTTGAGGAGGCTGTTCTGCTGGGTGAGTATTGTTTGCATGCACTGGGGCAGCATCATTATTATGTTGTATAGCTCCCATGACGAGTGGCCTCCATGTAATTTTACTTTGCTGCAAGGCGATGCAAAACATGAAATCTAAATATTTGTTTTATTTACTGCTATGTATACAAGTTGTCTTTTCAGAAAAATGTGCTTAATATCTAGCTTCTAATTAAAATATTCAGGCTACCTCAGTTTACTTAATTTTAGTAAATCATGAAGGCTGCTCACAGGTTTTGGTGCTTCTTTGTGTACATATGTAGTTGTTTCTGTACTTAAAGTCTACTTATTAATAATTGCAACTTAAGTTCTCTGAGTAAGTGTTCATGGGCAAGTATTTTGTTTTCATATTTGATGTCCATTGACACCACTTATTTTCAATTACTTTTAAATCATTCACTCAGCCCACCTTTTAATGCTCTCAATCACCTTTCATTGTAAGTGGTTTTTATCCTGCTGCTAAAATGATGGTCTTTTATATTGCAAAGATGCTCTTGATTGAATCTCACGTAATGCATGCAGAAAAGCCTTACACTAGCACAGAGGGGAAAGAATGTAAAATGTTAATACTTAAATATTCAAATGAGTGTCCGTAATTAAGCTTTGATAATGCCATTTCTACTTCATTACTTTAAAGTGACACCCCAGGCTTGTGTTTACCATCTCCCATCATTTTATCATCTTTGGAGCTATTGCATTAATAAAACCATTCATAAAAAAAAAAAGTAGGACATATTCCTTGCTGATTTGGAATACACACACTCACTCGCACTCTTTGTAAATATTCCACCTCTTCTCTCACTATTGCTAATCCCTGTCCATGTTAAGGAAGGATAGGAGACTGGAAGTTTACATCGAAGTTGGAAATTGGCTTATTATGCATTCTCTGAAAGCAGAGTCTACTATAGGGTTCTTCTTAAATTCTCATGCAGCATCTTGATTCACACCGCTGAGGGGATATGACATCGTATCATACTACGTGATGCTGTTAGTGAGTGAGCTGGGGAGGCACTCCCAGCTGCCAGACCATGCAGAGACATCCTACCTCCTTGCAACCAAAGGCCTGAATTGGAATGCTTTTCATTTACTCTAACAGGAGTGGAGTCATCTTGGTGCCAGGTTCTATTTCTCTATGACTTATCTACTTGGATTTGTCAAGCACTAGTTTGTGGCATTTGCAGTTTGGATATCATGAATAATAAACTTTTTGCACCTACAATAAACAGGGGAACATTCTTGGACTATTACTTACCTGAGTGGTGTAGATAGTTCTGGTGCTTGACGTGTCTATGTTCCTTTTTTGAATTGAATATTCTATTTTCAGGTGTAGCTCCCTTGCCTATAGTGCACCTTTCCTGTGTGAGTCCAATAATGTACCCAGCTGTCATAAAGATTGTATGGAGAGAGCCTTTATGTGAGCTACCAATGGATGTGTGTGTATACAAGGCAGAGTGACCAAGAAGGCATGTGAAAAGCTCTGTCAGCATTTCTGAGAGTAATTCAAAAGACCCCCAAGCACTGAACAAATTCTGATTGAGACTTGGTTAGGTTGGCAGAGTCTGTTTATGCCGGTAGAATTTCTGTAATATTCTTTGTCCTTCACTACTGCATTCTTTAAATCTAGTTATCTAGCTCAGTGACTTTCTTGTTACCGTTGAATGCCTTATTTTAATGATCTTTGGATATCTAGATCTTCCTCACTGGAGTCCATGGGATAATTTTTAGGCCTTGCTTTGTTGTGTCTAATTGAGCATAAGCTATCAGTCGGACGTGTTTTACAGCAGGCACTCTACGCATTGGGATCAATTCCATGTTGATAAAACCTGAATAAGCTGGCAGCCTGGGAAAATATCTTTACTGCAAACATAAAATTACAGATATTATAGATTTGCTTTTTTAGTGTTCAATCATTGGGCCTGTGAAAATATTCAAAATCTTACTCTGTGTATATACCACTTTATGCACATGTATCTCCACAATCCCTTTTACTTTTTATCACCCTATCTCCATTTTCTTTCATGTGATGCTGAGAGTCCAAGAGAGCCATAACATCTAAGAAATTAGTTCCAAATCTGCCAGAGTAGTGCTTTGGGCCTGTCTTCCCTTGTGTTGTGCCTCTCTCATGAATGTCTAAATATGTAATGCCAGCGTTATATTAATGCATTTTACACTTGGCAGAAGTTAATTTGAGTAGCTTTCTATGAAATATACACTTGACGTTCAATGTACAGACAGCAATGTTGGCCTACCATGCAGTGATTAACTTGTGAGAAAATGAAAGTGATGGGGAGACAAGATGGATGTACATGTTCATGGCTATATATATGTATTGCATAGTGTAACTGCTCCTCAAGTAGAAATTACTTTTATCACTTTGTATTTTACATAAAGTGGTGATTATCTGTGCAGCTTTGTGCGTGGAATAAAGCTATTTGATGGAGGTTTTTTTTGTTTATTAATATATAATTTTTTCTTCTTCTTCTTTAAAAGGTTACTTTGGAAAATTGTGTTGAAGTTGGACGGATTGCAAATACTTATAATCTCACTGAAGTTGATAAGTACGTAAATAACTTTATCTTGAAGAATTTCCCACCATTATTAACTACTGGGGAGTTTGTGAAACTCCCATTTGATCGTCTTGCCTTTGTGCTTTCCAGTAATAGCCTTAAGCAATGTTCTGAGCTCGAACTCTTCAAGGCTGCCTGCCGATGGCTACGTTATGAAGACTCTCGGATGGAACATGCAGCAAAAATAATGAAGAATATCCGATTCCCACTAATGACACCGCAAGACCTTATAAACCATGTTCAGACTGTGGATTTCATGAGAACTGATAATACGTGTGTAAATTTGCTTTTGGAAGCTAGCAATTACCAAATGATGCCCTTCATGCAGCCTGTTATGCAGTCTGAAAGAACTGCTATTCGCTCAGACAATACACATCTGGTCACTTTGGGAGGAGTATTAAGACAGCAGTTGGTTGTTAGTAAAGAGTTGCGGATGTACGATGAGAAGGGGCATGAATGGAAAGCTTTAGCTCCTATGGATGCTCCGAGATACCAGCATGGAATTGCCGTCATTGGAAATTTTCTTTACGTGGTTGGTGGCCAAAGCAATTATGACACAAAAGGAAAAACCGCTGTAGACACAGTATTTAGGTTTGATCCCCGATACAATAAGTGGATGCAGGTGGCCTCTTTAAATGAAAAGCGAACCTTTTTCCACCTAAGTGCCCTGAAAGGTCATCTGTATGCAGTTGGCGGTCGAAATGCAGCTGGTGAACTTGGTAAGAAATTTTGATATGAATAATGAATATTTTATGTATGTTTAATTATAATGCGCCAACAAATTCCGCAGCTCTGTACTATGAGATAAGTCATTATATTTCTCAAGACTGTTCAATGGGGAGTCTGAGCACTGTGTGCCAATTTAGAGTCTAGACTGCAGACATCAGTCCTTTGTTAATGGTCAAACCGTTCTCGAGTGGTATAAATGCATAATACAATTAACCATTTGAAAAGTGTCAGTTCTATAACAAGTTGGACAGACAATAAAAACTCAGTATGGCCAATGAACTGTGGATAAAAAAAAATTAGTTTTATCACCTTGTGCTGCAGGGTTGTTTCCGCTTGGAATAAAGCCTTTTGTGTGTGATGTCTGCTATAATATGGCACAAACCATTAGTCTAACACCATAAGTACAGAATGAGATATGATACTATTAAACAGGCAGAACTGGTAAAATCTCGTGGAGCAGATGCTCTACAGATTTATGCTGGCCTCCTTTTCGGACTGTATTAAAGGGCTTCAAGTTGAAGACCGAATTGAAGCCAATATTAGAGGGACACTCCAGGCATTAAAACAACTTAAACTAAAATATTATTGTTATGGTGCCACCTTCAGTCTGAAAGAACTGCTATTCGCTCAGACAAAACACATCTGGTCACTTGGGGGGCACGGGGGGGAGGGTGGCAGTATTAAGACAGCCGTTTGTTAGTAAAGTGGTTCAATCTTTCACGGACTGTTTAAGTTACCTCCAGCGCAAATCTCTCCACTCCACCCACAGATGGCTTCTGAATTTTCATTTTCAGAAATTGCAAAATGAATGTCAGCAGGGGTGCTGCTAATTGGTTCAGAGTGGTCAGCTGGCGCACTCAGCCAATCGGTGACTCTTCACTCACAAAAATGGCTTGGAAAGAAACATACCCTTTCCAAGCCTGACCTGCGCTTCCTGAAACTAAAATTTCACCTGGGGGCAGTGGAGATTGGTGCTGGCAACTTTGGGTTTAAACTGTTCAAGAATGGTTTAACCTATGAAGGTGAAAGAGAGGGACAGGGGGCATTCTGACACCATAACAACTTAATTTAGATGAAATTGTTATGGTGCCTTAAGCAGCCTCAACCGTCTCTTTAAGGTTTCGTTCTACTCTTTATCTGCAAAGGTGTATAAATTGCATGCCTACTACTCACATCATAGCATTCCACTGTGCAAGGAAATAATGAACAGCTCTTATAACATGCATGTAGTCAACTGAAAAAAGCAACAGTAACATAAAACATGTAAAACAGAACACTCTTACACTTACAAACATCTGAAGGCGCTCAGCCAGTGAACAGTGAAACACCCTAAATTGGTATGCTAATGTGGAAGTATGAACTTCTGCTTTAGCATATCAATGCAGCCAGAGCCAGAATAGTGTCAAACAGCTCATAAACAGTTTGACGTTTTACCCTAGGGAAACTCCCGGAGACTTGGCACCGTAACATAACCATACAGTACACCGTGGTAATTTTGGTGCGCAAAGTATCCTTTTAATGTGATGAATAACAGGATTGTCTGTAATCAATGTCACTTGTATTAAGAACAATTGTCAAGGTTTACTTACAACCAGGCTTCTTTATCATACACTGTCCACATGCTGATAAGTAGAGGTTTGTCCCCAATAAAAGTTAGCTTTTTGTTTTCTGAAGGAAGGCCTGTTTAGGGGCTGGATAATGGGTTCTGGTAGACAATGCCACGCTTATTGATACTAACATGGGTAGTAGTGGGTATAGAATCTGGTTTCTGGACATGTGCTGGATGGTAGTATACAGACCGGTTTCATTTAGTTTTCCATTCCATTTAACCTTCGACACCACACTTCTAAAACGCCTACAAATGGCATATAAGACTAACCTAGACACTCACCAATATCCTCCTAAATGTGGCCCAGTTGTTGTAAAGATGTCCCATACTCTATAAAGGCTAGCTAAAATAACCTTAAACCCCAGTTTTATATTTACCCTCAGTATTATTTATTGTACATATGGTTTTATTAGACTTTTCAGTTTTTAAAACACTCAGAAGACTCGTAGTTCTCCAACAGAATACATCTGTAACCATTGAGATACGTAGATCTTTAGAAGAGAACAAGGCATTAGAGAAGCGCAGGTCTCTGTAATGTATGAGGCAGAGCATAAAAGTACTACTAGTAGAGACACCGTACAAAGGCAAAGTGTGTGCTTCACATGTGGATATCCAGTGGCTACCAGGAGATGGAACTATGAGGTTGTTGTGTGGGCAAGATAAAGCCTCAGAATCCATGTTAACTGTTGGGGCACTTTGTCTCCAATCAGTGGCCTCTGCAGAGCGAGGGGAGTAAAGAAATCCGTTTTGATAACGAGGATGAAGCAAAAAGAGAAGGAAATGGGGGAAAAAAAGAATTTAGATTTAAATAAAAGAATTTTGCTAAGATGCAAGTTGGTAACTTTGGTAGACATGGCTAAGACGGCAACGTTTATGTGTATCACTATAGTAGTGCTTGTGTACTGGGCTGTCCCAGTCTTTCACCTGCTTGGAAGGTATATGCCATCAGGTTACTGTTAGAGGGCTCGAAAGTCTATTGATTACGTGGATAGGATCCACGATGTCCAAATGGTTATTTACACTTGAGGTCGTCTGATAGCCTAGTATTATTTTTGCACTATGCTTGGGCAACCACCACCAAATATATAGATTTAAAACAATACTCCAAGCACCATAACCGCAACCGCTCACTGTAGTGTTTTTAGTTGCCAGAATTGTCCTAGCACCTCACCCATTGTAAGGAGTCAAACTGTTTTTACCAGGTGCTGCTCCCCGCCTCCTATAACATCGCCAGAGAGCTGAAATAGAAACTTCTGTTAGGGCTTCACTACCTGGCTAAGAGTGTCAGCTTTTGCTTTTCTATTGCCTACATCAAAATACGTATAAATTAGCTTACCGGTAAGTGCTTTTGCAGGTTTTAATTAGATGTCCTAATAATTCATGAAACAGGCAGGTGATTTTCCACTTTAAAGGACCACTATAGTGCCAGGAAAACATACTCGTTTTCCTGGCACTATAGTGCCCTGAGGGTGCCCCCACCCTCAGGGGCCCCCTCCCGCCGGGCTGGATGGTGAGGAAGGGGTTAAACTCACTTCTTTCTCCAGTGCCGGGGCGGGGAGCTCTCCTCTTCGGCTGAATGCGCATGCACGGCAGGAGCTGCGCATGCGCGGCAGGAGCTGCGCACGCATTCAGCCAGTCTCATAGGAAAGCATTTCCTATGGACGCTGGCGTCTTCCCACTGTGAAAATCACAGTGAGAAGCACGCAAGCGCCTCTAGCGGCTGTCAAGAGACAGCCACTAGAGGCTGGATTAACCATAACATAAACATAGTACTGCTATGTTTATTTAAAAAAAAAAGGGGTTAACCCTAGCTGGACCTGGCACACAGACCACTTCATTAAGCTTAAGTGGTCTGGGTGCCTATAGTGGTCCTTTACGTAGAAACTGTCATGCTTATGTTCCATATTCTGTTCATTAGTGTTTTGTATAGGGCTTTGTCAAAAAACAAGCACAATAAACTTATGCTTACTCACTGACCTGGTTAATATGCCTCGTCAATTTTCATACTTGTTATGCAAATTGTCTTATTTTTTCCATTATTCCTTCTCATGTTGAAAATTGTCAGCTTAGGGCAGCAAATCTCCATTTGCTTCTATGGGGGTTCATTGGGGATTCTTTTTCAGCTGTTTGTTCTGTTTACCTGAAAAACATCTTTTTTTTTTTTTTTTTTTATATATATAAATTTTTATTTTTCGTTTTAAAAGTTTCATCCAAATGCATTTTCAAAAATAGATTTTACAATATGGTGCAATATATTACTTTACAGTAAATTATGTAATTATACATATATTTAGTGTAGCCATATTTCATACATTTGAACATTATCTACATTGTCTACAATCAAACAAAAAGAAGAGAAAATATCATACAATTCCTCTTCCTTACAATCATTTCACATTGGTGCTACCTAATAGTGGCTATCTGTGGGAGGGGAGTTGAGTTTTTACAGCTAAGATATCTAACCCAAGGGGCCCAGATTTCATCATATTTCTCTCTGGATAACTTATTTGAGGCTAACCCAGCTTCCATCCTACATTGATAATCTATTTGTATACATATATCATGCCAGTTTAACGAACCCATATTTCTCCAATTTCTGGCCATAACAATTTTTATTGCCATAAAGGAGTGAATCATAAGAATTTTTTCCTGTATATTCACCCCATGTATATATCTTTTTACTGATTGTAGGCCAAAAATCCAATCTTCAACCGAGGATGAAAAGTGGAGTTCCTGCTCCCATTTATTCATTGCCAACGCTTTAACTATTTGCCTTTGGCTTGTTATAAATTGATAAAATCTGGATGCGATTTTTTTTTTAATGGAATGCTACAAACTGGTCAATTGGAGAAGTTTCCGAAAAAACGTTTCCCATAATAAGATTTTATTCTTAAGTAATTAAATATTTCCTTCGAAGGGAGGTTATAATTGAGCTGTAACATTGCGAATGACAATATTTTGTTATCATTTAGAAGTTGCACAATTTTTGCAATTCCACGTTTTTCCCATTCTTGAATATTTATATCTTTTATATAAAGTTTTAGACCTGTTAATGGGGCGTTTCTTGATATATGTTTAGTTCCATATTTTTTCTTTAAGTATTTTACAATATAGATCATTGTGTTGGAAAAACATCCTTTATTTTAATGTCACATGTTCACAGAGTTTGTTTTAATTGAACAAGATCCTCACTGACTTAAGTGCAGACTTCAGCTAGTTCATGGAGGTTGTCGAAGAGGAGTATGTGGGAAAATGGTAAATCGGAGTGGATTTTTATGAAACGTTCTGGGTGTGCCTGTTCAGAGGGAAGCTGTGATATGAGTGAAATTATACCAATCTAAACTATATTTAAAAAAAAAAAAAAAAGGTTGTATGCTCTATTTGATTGAACGAACACTACCACACCTTTCCAATCTGCTGTAAAGTTTTTCCATTATAATTGGGATTAATGAAACCAATGGGGTTCCAATGGCACATGCATTTTATAACTGGGTCCTGTGCTATTTGGTTAGATATTTAAAATCCGTTTTGACCTGCACTGGTCTTGGCATGCCTTAAAATAAATGACTAATTCATGGGAGCTCTGGCAGAATCTTCCCAGATAATTTTCATGTGTTATTTATGTTTGTGGGAGTATATTTTGTCACCTGTTCTCACTACAAATGTCCTGTGCATCTGCTAGGAGGGCGTATTTTAGCTTCACACAATGCGTTAGAAGAAATCAGCTGTACAACCCACTAACAACCAGATGGTCAACATGACTGTCATAACTACGTTTTGTTGCGTTGACGGTCATTGCCATTTAGATAGTGATGAAGCCTTATGGCAAGTCTAGATTAAAAATTTCTCATCTCTGAATAGTGTATTCATGATGCAAATTGCTTAACCTGATCAGGATAGACCGTCTCAAAATGTTTGCTTTTACCTTCCAGAATTATGAACATAATCGTAATCTGACCTATTTTCCACACATTGTTGCCCTCAAATTTATATGTATTTAATATTTTATAATACTTTTGTATGTGTGCTTCAGAGATTTTTGTATGCTGCAATCTATAATAATTCTGAACAGTACATACCCAAACTACACTTATAAGGACTCTCCAGTGCCAGGAAAGCATATCGGTTTTCCTGGCACTACAGGACCCTGTAGTGCCCCTCTCACTCCCATCCCATGTTGGTGAAGAAGTTAAAACCCCTTCAGCTGCTTGCCTGAATCCAGCGCTGATGTCCCTTGTCGCAGGGTCAGGCTCCCCCACGCTCCTCCCCCACCGACATCCGCCTGTGTGGCAGACCTAATTCGACCATTAGACCTCCCCATAGGAAAGCATTATTCAATGTTTCCTATGGGGATTCCGGCGACGCTGGAGGTACTCATGCATAGCGTGAGGACGTCCAGCGTCCTTTAAAACACTTTTCGTGTTCTAAGAACATGAAAGTCCCTCTAGTGGCTGTCCGAGGCCTTAACCCTGCAAGGTAATTATTGCAGTTTATAAAAACTGCAATAATTAACCTTGCATGGTTAAGGGTGGTGGGAGTTGTCACCCAGACTACTCCAATAGTCTGGGTGCCTGGAGTGTCCCTTTAATATTTAAAAAAAGTTTCAGCCTTTATAAACTAAATGAATCTTCTTACATAGCTTATGGTGCAAGGAGGTGCTCTGTCATATTGTCCTTGCACATTTAGTTTGTTAAAGTTGCCTTGATTGCCCCAAATTAAATGCCCCGTTAAAGATTTATGTACCAATCACTGATGAGGGTGCTTATTTGACAGCAACCTCTACAGCTGTCATCTTGGTAAAAGGAAGATCAATTAGAGATGGAGCATAGAAACATAGAATGTGACGGCAGATAAGAACCATTCGGCCCATCTAGTCTGCCCAATTTTCTAAATACTTTCATTAGTCCCTAGCCTTATCTTATAGTTAGGATAGCCTTATGCCTATCTCACGCATGCTTAAACTCCTTTACTGTGTTAACCTCTACCACTTTAGCTGGAAGGCTATTCCATGCATCCACTACCCTCTCAGTAAAGTAATACTTCCTGATATTATTTTTAAACCTTTGTCCCTCTAATTTAAGACTATGTCCTCTTGTTGTGGTAGTTTTTCTTCTTTTAAATATAGTCTCCTCCTTTACTGTGTTGATTCCCTTTATATACTTAAATGTTTCTATCATATCCCCCCTGTCTCGTCTTTCCTCCAAGCTATCCATGTTAAGATCATTTAACCTTTCCTGGTAAGTTTTATCCCGCAATCCATGAACCAGTTTAGTAGCCCTTCTCTGAACCCTCTCTAAGGTATCAATATCCTTCTGAAGATACGGTCTCCAGTACTGTGTACAATACTCCAAGTGAGGTCTCACCAGTGTTCTGTACAATGGCATGAGCACTTCCCTCTTTCTACTGCTAATACCTCTCCCTATACAACCAAGCATTCTGCTAGCATTTCCTGCTGCTCTATTACATTGTCTGCCTACCTTTAAGTCATCAGAAATAATCACCCCTAAATCCCTTTCCTCATATGTTGAGGTTAGAACTCTATCAAATATTCTGTACTCTGCCCTTGGGTTTTTACGTCCAAGATGCATTATCTTGCACTTATCCACATTAAATGTCAGTTGCCACAATTCTGACCATTTTTCTAGTTTACCTAAATCATTTGTCATTTGGCTTATCCCTCCTGGAACATCAACCCTGTTACATATCTTAGTATCATCAGCAAAAGACATACCTTACCATCAAGACCTTCTGCAATATCACTAATAAAAATATTAAAGAGAATGGGTCCAAGTACAGATCCCTGAGGTACCCCACTGGTGACAAGTCCAAGCTTCGAATATATTCCATTAACTACAACCCTTTGTTGCTTGTCACTCAGCCACTGCCTTACCCATTCAACAATATTGGAATCCAAACTTAAAGATTGCAGTTTATTGATAAGCCTTCTATGTGCAACAGTGTCAAAAGCCTTACTGAAATCTAGGTAAGCAATGTCTACTGCACCACCCTGATCTATAATTTTAGTTACCCAATCAAAAAAATCAATAAGATTAGTTTGGCATGATCTCCCTGAAGTAAACCCATGTTGTCTCTGATCTTGAAATCCATGTGTTTTTAGATGTTCATCAATCCTATCCTTTAACATGGTTTCCATCACTTTCCCCACTACTGAAGTAAGGCTTACTGGCCTATAGTTGCCCGACTCCTCCCTATTACCTTTCTTGTAAATGGGCACAACATTCACTAACTTCCAATCTTCTGGGACTACTCCTGTTAACAATGATTGGTTAAATAAATCTGTTAATGGTTTTTCTAGTACACCACTAAGCTCTTTTAATAGCTTTGGGTGTATTCCATCAGGTCCCATTGACTTATTTGTCTTTACTTTTGACAGTTGAAATAGAACCTCTTCCTCTGTAAACTCACGTGTAATAAATGACTCATTTATCCTTTTTCTCAACTGAGGTCCCTTTCCTTCATTTTCTTCTGTAAATACAGAACAAAAATATTCATTGAGGCAGTCAACCTGACCTTTATCCTCTTCTACATACCTTCCTTCTTTTGTTTTTAATCTAACTAATCCTTGTTTTACTTTTCTTTTCTCATTTATGTATCTAAAAAATGTTTTATCCCCTTTTTTTACTGACTGTGCTATTTTCTCTTCTGTGTGTGATTTGGAAGCTCTTATAACTTGCTTAGCCTCTTTCTGCCTAATCTTATAGATCATTTTGTCTTCCTCATTCTGGGTTTTTTTATAATTCCTAAATGCTAACTTTTTGTTTTTAACTATTTTGGCCACATCTGCGGAGTACCACAGTGGTTTCTTGAATTTTTTGCTTTTACTGACTAGCCTAATGCAATTTTCTGTTGCCTTCAATGGTGCAACTTTTAAATAATCCCATTTTTCTTGGACTCCATTTAAATTGCTCCAGTCTGATAATGACTCCTCTACCCATATTCTAATTTTAGAAAAGTCTGTTTTTCTAAAGTCTAAAACTTTTGTTTTTTGTGTGGTGTGACTCAGTCACTGTTCTTATATTAAACCACACTGACTGATGATCACTGGATCCTAAACTTTCACCTACAGTAATATCTGATACCAAATCTCCATTTGTTAACACTAAATCTAGTATGGCCTCTTTACGAGTTTGCTCCTCAACAACTTGTTTTAGAGACAATCCCAGTAGGGAGTTTAGAATATGTGTGCTCCTGGCACAAGTAGCTAATTTTGTTTTCCAATTTACATCAGGAAGATTAAAGTCACCCATGATGATAACTTCCCCCTTCATTGTCATTTTAGCTATTTCCTCAACTGGTAGATTATCTAACTCTTCAATTTGTCCTGGGGGCCTATAAATCACACCTACACGAGTTACTGTGTGATTACCAAATTCTAACGTAGCCCAAACGGACTCTATGTTTGCCTCACTAACTTTTATTAGGCTAGATTTTATGCTATCCTTCACATACAAGGCCACCCCTCCCCCTTTCTTGCCTTCCCTATCTTTCCTATATAAAGAGTACCCTGGTATTGCTATGTCCCAGTCATTTTCTCATTGTACCATGTCTCAGTAACAGCGACTAAATCTACACTATCAGTTGCCATTATTGCCACAAGTTCATGGATCTTATTCCCTAAACTGCGAGCATTTGTAGACATGACTCTAAGCTTATCATTTTTTAACACACTTGCGACAGGCACCTTCTGTCCTTCTTTTGGGGCACAATTGGATTGATGTTTTATCCCCCTTTTGCATAACTTTCAATCTATACATTTGCTACTATCTTTTGTTTCCTAACAGACCTTTCCACACATTTTGTTGGAGACAGGTCTACTAAAATGTTTCTTGTTGTAAAGAACTAATGTGTTAATACAATTCTGACTACCTATAAGAATAAGCTATAAGGACCTGTGAGTGGTGAGTATAAAACAAACTGAAAATGTAGTCAGAATCCTAGAAAACTTTGTTGGGTACAGTTTATATCTTAACTACAGTAAAACAGAAAGCTAAAAGCTGGTTATCAAGAAGCATAAATGAGAAATAGATCAGACTCCCTGCAGGAAGGAGGTCTCTTCAGCCTACGTGCCAATGACAATTCTATACCCAAGAACAAATTGACAGGTGGGAGACTAAAAGAAGTTTATTACATTTTTTATTTTGTGTTAATAAAGCTATAGTTTTTACTACTTTATTTGCTGTTCCTGATACACTTTGAATCCTGACCTATATCCTTTGGTTGGGATTATACCATCACATGCTGTCTATACCAGAGCAAGATATTTGCTCTGAAATTTGTAAGTAGGATACTTTTCCTTTATTTGCTCATTTTTTAATAGATATACTATACCATTGGATTTTATCTCTATTTTTTCTATATACCACTGTGGAGGATTGGACACCGCATTATACCATCACTTGATATCCTGAGACGGGGATTGTACCGTCTAGGCGCTATACGGCAGAGCTCTGAATAGCTCTGCAAAGTGTGAGTGAGTCCTTTTATAAGTTTATATATATTCTTATTTCGCTTGACATACTTCACTATTATTGTTCTGTACTTTTTTGCCTTGATGGTTTTATACATTCCTAACCACAAGATTTTTTGTATGTATATATTTTAATTATCACTTGCACTGTCTGGGCGCGATCTATGTTGCTTAGCTTACTAAAGTATTCTTGCCTGTACCGTAATGAACACACTTTAAAAGACACTGTTAAAGGAACACTATAGGGTCAGGAACACAAACATATATGCCTGACCCTATAGTGTGTTTAAAAAAAAAAAAAAAAAAAAAATCTAGCCCCTCATGCCTTCCTAAAAATGGTAAAATCTTACTTGTATTCAAGACAGAAGCTGCTGCTCTGCCCTGTCTGCCTCAGACCAGCAAGCAGTCTGCTGACATCATCAGAAGTGGTAGCCTGATCCTATCACAGTGCTTCTCATTAGGATTGGCAGAGACTGACAAGGAGGCAGATCAGGGGCAGAGCCAGCACAATTCAAACACAGCCGTGGCCAATCAGCATCTCCTCATAGAGCTGAATTTAATCAACTAATCTCTATGAGGACAATTCAGGGTCTGCATGCAGAGGGAGGAGATACTGAATGTTTGGATGCATTTTAGGCAGCCATGACCCAGGAAGGATCTCCAACAGCCATCTGAGGAGTGGCCAGTGACGTTATCACTAGGCTGTAATGTAAACACTGCATTTTCTCTAAAAAGACAGTGTTTACAACAAAAAGCGTGAAGGTAATGATTCTACTCACCAGAACAAATTCAATTAGCTGTAGTTGTTCTGGTGACTACAGTAAAGTGTCCCTTTCACTTAGGAAGTTTGAGTGTATGTGTATTTATTTCTTATTTCTGCTTATTGAAAACCAGCTTTTAGCTTTCTGTTTTACTGTAGCCAAAGCTTTCAAGGAATCTGACTACATTTCCAGTTTGTTTTATACTCTCCATTCACAGGTCCTTATAGTTCATTCTTATAGGTATTCAGACTTTTAGAATCACATTCTTTACAACAAGAAACCTTTTAGTAGACCTGTCTCCAACAAAATGTGTGGAAAGGTCTGTTGGGAAACAAGATATTCGTAGCAAATGTATAGGTTAAAAGTTACACTTGATCCTCTCTAATGGATCTTCCTTTTACCAAGATGACAGCTGTAGAGGCTGCTATCAATTCCCTCACCCAGTGATTGGTGCATAAATCTTTCATTTGGGCTGCATGCCACAAATTGGTATTGTGCGCTCAACATTATAGTGATGAGAAGATCCTTAGAATTGTTACCTCTATTAGTAAACCCTTGCACAAGAACTAATGTACCACCTGTTGGTTCAGAAAACAAAAATCTTTTTTTACACAAATGGTTGGCAATAGAGCCTCTATTTTTATTTATCTATTTTTTTTTTTTCTTCAAAACATTAACCCCTTAAGGACCGAGGACGGTTCAGGACCGTCATCGGCATTTTTGCGTTGCCGACCGATGACGGTCCTGAACCGTCCTAACGGTCAGAGCTACTTACCTGATCGCCGTCGTTCCCCCGGCGGCAATCAGCGTGGCTCCGGTTGTGGGGAGACTGCCTGCAGCCCAGACAGTCTCCCCACGGCAGATTAAGACCCCTGTGGCCATGTGATCGCTTAACACAGCGATCACATGGTCACAATAGGTGTCCATGTGTCTGCCTGCAGGGGGACTGCCTGTGCTGACAGGCAGTCTCCCTGCATGTGTAAAATAAAAAAAAATAAAATAAAGTTAATGTTTATAAAAAATAAATAAATAATTATATATGTGTATATATGATATATATAGACCTATATTATATCTATATAATATAAGTCTATATATCATATATATATATAATGCCATACTAAGTGTATTTTTATATTAATATAAAAATACACTTATTAAATTACACACGTGTATATATAATATATATAATAACTATATATTGTATATATATTATTATAAAATATAAATAATAAGTAATTTAAATTAAATAAAAAAAATTTTAAATAAAAAATTTAAAAAAAATTATATAGCTATATGAAATTTTATTCTAACTGTATTTTAAAATTAATATATATATATATCAAAATACACTTAGAATGAATTTGTATATATATCTATGTATATAAAAATAAATAAAAATAAGAAATATACATACGTCCATATACAAAATTACATAAATAATTATATAAATATACACGTAGACTTCAAATATATAAATATGCATATATATTTAAATTCTACATGCGTATTTATGTAATATTTTTACATAATTAAGTAATTTTATTAATTGCAATTTGAGGGACCTGCCTGCCAACCCAGGCCGAAAGTTCAGAGAATTTATTTTGCTAGCACTGTATTTTACCCTGTAACTTTCTATGACACCCTAAAACCTGTACATGGGGGGTACCGTTTTACTCAGGAGACTTAGCTGAACACAAATATTAGTGATTCAAAACAGTAAAACCTATCACAGCGATGATATTGTCAGTGAAAGTGACTTTTTTTGCATTTTTCACACACAAACAGCACTTTTACTGATGATATAATTGTTGTGATACGTTTTCCAGTTTTTAAACACTAATATTTGTGTTCAGCGATGTCTCCCGAGTAAAACAGTAACCCCCATGTACAGGTTTTATAGCATTTTTGAAAGTTACAAGGTCAAATATATGGGTCAAATATTTTACATTGAAAATGGCCAGGTTGGTTACGTTGCCTTTGAGAGCGTATGGTAGCCCAGGAATGAGAATTACCCCATGATGGCATACCATTTGCAAAAGAAGACAACCCAAGGTATTGCAAATGGGGTATGTCCAGTCTTTTTTAGTAACCACTTAGTCACAAACACTGGCCAAAATTAGCGTTCAATTTAGTTTTTTTTACTTTTTTCACACACAAACAAATATGAATGCTTACTTTGGCCAGTGTTTTCGACTAAGTGGCTACTAAAAAAGACTGGACATACCCCATATTGAATACCCTGGGTTGTCTACTTTAAAAAAAATATGTACATATGGGGTGTTGTTCAGAGATTTATGACAGATAATAGTGTTACAATGTCACTATTGATAAATTTAAAAAATTTATGTTTTGAAACCGCAATATCCTACTTGTACCTATAGCCCTATAACATGCAAAAAAAAGCAAAAAAGCACGTAAACACTAGGTATTTTTAAACTCAGGACAAAATTTTGAATCTATTTAGCAGTTTTTTTCATTCGCTTTTGTAGATGAGTAAAAGTCAAAAAACATGTATTTTTTTCAATTTTTTCATCAGATTTTTGTATTTTTTTTAAATTAAAATACATGAGATTATATAAATAATGGTATGTAAAGAAAGCCCCTTTTGTCCTGAAAAAAAAATATATAATTTGTATGGGAACAGTAAATGAGAAATGGGAAAATTACAGCCAAACACAAACACCACAAAAGTGTAAAAATATGCCTGGTCGCAAATGTACAACATCGCAAAAACAGTCCAGTCCTTAAGGGGTTAAAACACAAACAAGTTGGGATGGTAGTTGACCACAGAGTCTTATGCATTGGTGTAGACTACATTTTTCAGGAGACTCCATGTCTCCTTGAGTACATTTTCATTCATTTATTTTGAATTAGCAGGGAGTGCTGTGTGTATGACTGTCAGTGTTCTTCTGAGTTGCAGTGAGAGCAGGCACCCTCTTTTTACATTATCTGCAGGTAATTTTGTGATCTTTTTTTATTTTTTGAAGTGGTTGTCATGTGTGGAATCTGTAAGTGTAGGGTTTAACATTTGAAATTCTGCATATACGGTGTTAAAGCAGCTCTGACAGAATTATTAGTCCGTCTGTAACAAGCATTTCAGGTAAAGTTAAATGTGCATATTTGATATCTGCCATGCGCAGGTCCTGCTGTCTGTCCTCTGTGAAGTCCCCCTTCAGTGAAAGGGAGTGACGTCACCAGTGTATCATCCGGCTGCAGGGAAAACTTGGACTCTGCTCTCAATCGAAGGTCAATTTCATGCTTTCTTTCATTTTTGTTAAAAAGGGTCAGAGGATCGCATTCAGCCAGTAAGTTAGCTCAGCACTGCAGGTTCAGCTCATGAGAGCTAACTGAAGCTCCTGTTTAGCATTGTAGAAGTGGCTGAGATCATCATATCTAATGATGTCCACAAAGGAGGTAGATCAGGGGCAGCGCTGGCAGACCTGCACGGTTCTGGAAAGAGGAGTTTTCCTAGCAGCTAAATAGTGGTTTTAACAATATAGGGTCAGGAATACATGTTTGTTCCTATACCTATAATGTTACTTTAAATATTTTGTGTTCTAGGATAGCCAAAGAAATGCTAAATTGTTATCAATCAAGATGTCAAATCATAGGGGCTCATGATATAATGGCATTTATTAAAGATACATTTTACACAACTTCCCCTTTGTATACAACATTATTTTGCGACTGTTTTGCAGTTGGAAATGTTTCATATATAAGTAACTAAATATTCTGTAGATTATGATCAATAGAATTTTAAAAAGCCTCCAAAAAAGTGAAAATAAGTTACACACTGGACATTTATTTATTTTTTTACCGACCATGCTAAAGTCTGTATATTTTGCATGATGCAACATGCCAGAACTGTCAATAGAATTATTTTGGCAAGGTATGATAATTTTATCAGTGTTGGGCATACACTAGCCTATCCCAAAGCACTCACATCCTTACAATGCATTTTTTTTTTTTTCTGTTTACTTGTTTAGTCCTTTTTATTTTATAAATTTGCATGTGTATTAAAAAAGGAAGCTGTTTTTCTGTAAAGATTCAATCTCTACACAAGACAAAGTAGGAAAAATAAAGGCCAAAGGGCAGACCATTTAACGGTCTCCTAAGATTCAATTAGATTCTTTTTTTCTTTTCTTTAAAATAGCTTCTTTTTTTTCTTTTTTTTTGTGTGCATATTTTGCAAAGCTCCCTGAATGTGGCAACCTTGGGGTGAAACTGATAGTAGTTACTTAGCTGACACTTTCCCTCATGGCGCTGCCATGTTGTTTTTCAGCTCCTGGTACATGTGTGAGAGTACAACACATGTCCAGTGTGCTTTTCTGTGGTGACCGTGTATGTGATACTTGTATCTTTAAATAGCAGTAGAATGTAAGTAGGATGGAAGTCAAAACTATTTTTTTTTATATGAGATTAGAGTCCAAATTGTCAATCAAGTCCTTAGATGTTTTATACGAGTAATCATGTTTGTTTACAGAATGCAACGTTCATTCATTTTTATATATATATATACTAAGCATTTGATTGGATGCATGCATCTCATCCCCAATGCTCCTCTGTGATGCAGGGAGGAAAGTAGTGAGGATACAGTCCACAGAAGGCTAGTGCATGTTATGTCCAATGGTCAGTCAACATAAAAACCAGTAGCTGCGGCTAAACAAAATGTATTTTAAAATTAATGTATGTCAGTGACTGCTTTTCTGAATATGGTACTGGGTGCTGAACACCCGCTGTGCCTAATTTTAGCACATCTCTGCTAAGCGTTATATTGGCCGACCAAAGATCCAGGTATAGTTAGACCGTGTTGGGATGTCAAGGTTTTTTTTTTTAATGGTGTTTTTTTTGAATACTGATTCATTTATTAAGATTTTTAACCATGTAATAATCCACAGCCTGCATATATCAAATAAGTAGCAAACAAGTGTAATAAATGATCCATTATTTAGTTCACCTGACTTTAATTTGTACTCAACTGAATAACCTATTGAATAATGAGATTAGAGTATTGGCTCCAAGCTCTGTTGTAAAGGACATGTGCATGTTTCTAGGTGACACGTTGGCTTGAGGATGGAAAAAAAAATATACTTCAAAACAAATCTGAGAAGACAGAACTGCAACATCAATTTAGTGTAAAAGTTATATATGTTGAAAAACTGAAATATGGTCCCTTCACCCTTAGGAAAAAGAGCACCTGCCCCTTTATTAAAGGGCTTTTTTTGTGAAGAACACATGTACTTTTTATTACTGTGCAGGTGACAGTTACAGCTTTGAAACAATGCCTACCTGCTTGCTCACTGCTTCCATGATCCATAGTATTTCATTTTGTTTGAAGTGTACATGCATTGAAGGCTCTGACTGGTCTTTTTCAAACTCAATAAAACATAGGGATGTAAACTTCAATCTACCATTTAGTCAATAACGCTTGCACCGTTTGGAATCCTGAAACTGTTGCATCTGTAAACCTAATGAAAGTGGAAAAAATAGATTCCCCTTTTTAATTGTTTACTTTTTCAGTAAACATATCTGTATATATCATATATGTACTATTGTACCTACTGCTAGACTGTTTTTAATATTTTTGAAAGCAACACAGTAGCATTAGGAATATAAAAAAACGATTTGCCAATCAGCAGCATCTTGAGTAAGTGCGTCTCTATGGCAGGCATTCAATGTCTTCACTCTTTGCAGGACCAAACCCAGGAAGTCCCTCTAGTGGCTTTCTAAGTGACCGCCACTGGAGCAGAATTAGGCAGCAATAGAAACTGCATTTCCTCTGAAAAGAAACGTTTACACTGCTCAATCACAGGGGCAGGCTCTAGATACCAAAACCACTAAATTAAACTTGTAGTGGTTCTGGTTAGGGATCGACCGATCTTGTTTTTTTTTGTTTGTTTTTTTTGAGCCGATTCCGATAATCTGAACTTTCATGCCAATAGCCAATAATTTACCGATATTCTGTTCATTTACTGTATTTAAAAGAAAAAGAAACCATTTCTACACAAATATACTATTAACAGAACATGTTTGTTTAATATTATTTTTTTTTTTTGCACAATTATTTTTAAGTGGTAAATGCACAAAATATGCAATCAGATTTTTTATTTTTTCCTATTTAGTGTTAGTCTCCCCTCCCCTCCCTTCCCTGTCCCTAAGTGGTCCTCTCCCCTCCCTTCCCTGTTCCTTAGTGTTTCTTTCCCCTCAACTCCCCTCCCTGTCCCTTAGTGTACCTCTCCCCTTCCTGTCCCTTAGTGGTCCTTTCCCCTCCCCTCTCTCCCAATACCCTTAGTGTTTCTCTCCCTCCCTTTCCTTTAGTGTCCTTCCACCTAAGTGGTCCTCTCCCGTCCTTGGTGTGCCGGTCTTGTAGCATGGCCAAGCGCAGCAGACCACGGTACAGGAGCTTCAGTTTCCTGTACCCGGCCGGGGTGACAGGAAGTGCACTCTTACTAAACACTTCCTGTTAGTCCAGCTGGGTACAGGAAACTGAAGCTCCTGTACCGCGGTCTACTCTTCTCTGCTCAACCACACTACACTGCGTGACTGGTAGGGGGGAGCACTGTGCGCTTCCATTCTGCCAGCCCCTTGATTCTTGCGTCCCCAGAGCCGGTGCACCCTAAGACTGCTGCCTGTGCCGCCTTATAGATGCGCCGGCCCTGCATGCACTGGGTCACGACCGGCTCTCACATTATCGTCAATAGTGGCCGATACCGATACTTGCCAAAATAATCGGTCTATCCCTAGTTCTGGTGCCTGTAGTATTTTTTTTAAAAGACCCATCCAGGAACCTCTAATTCGGAAATATATTCTGTTATATTGTGTGCCTGATACCACCTGTCACTGACTTTTGGGCAAGAAGAAAAATTGTGGAGTGATTTGCTGCCAATGTTTTTCCTCTAAATCAAGCTTGTAGAATAAGTGGCTTTACAGCTTGTCTGATCTTTGAAGTTCAGTTTATATCTTGGGGTTTTGTTTATTGCAGTACTACTTGCAAAGTAATATTTTAACCGCTCTCAATATAGATTTACAGTTTTTGCACTAGGAAGCTGGCAGAGTGCCATTTGTATTTGGATTTTTTTTTGTGTGTGTATCAGTCTGTCAAAGAGGAGTCTCTTTGCTTCTCTAAACTGGTGTAGAATAGACTGCACCACGATGTTTAAATCTCTAAAATTTGCATCCATGATTTGGGGTATTGAAAGGGCAAAGTCATGTTTCATTAGTCCCGTGTCCATTCTCATTTTCATCACATTGAGGATGTAACTTCCCTAGTGAACATAATGCAAAGCTTGCTGGAGTTGTTGTTGTTTATCCTATAATGCATTCTTTGCAGGGTAATACTATTGAAACCGTGATTTTGAAAGGGTGTGTTAATGAAATGTATGAGCACGGTCGCTCTAATAACCTGTCATTTAAATAAGACAAAATGGCCATTTGTAGAGAATATAACTGTTACATTGTGACAGCACAAAATCATGCATTTTAATTTAGAAGTTTATAATAAAGCATATATTAATTTTATTGCAGATTTTAGTTTTTTTTATTGCATCTTTTGTCTTGTGGCATGTGCAAATATGCACACAATATAAAAGAAGCAAGTATGTGTCAGGCAAGTACTGTATAACATGTATATTAGTCTAACATTTCCAGCTAAAACAGAATTTATCTTTAAACATTAACCTGAAACAGACCGCACTAATTATTGTCATTTTAAACAATACACTATAGTCACCAAAACAACTTTAGCTTAATGAAGCAGTATTGGTGTATAGATCAAGCCCCTGCAATCTCATTGCTCAGTTCTCTGCCATTTAGGATCTAAATCACTTATTTATTTATTTCTTTTTATACAGCCCTAGTCGCACCTGCATGTGACTTGCATGATATTCACAAACTCTTCATCTAAAGCGAGATCTAATGTTTGAACTTCCTTTATTGCAAAATCTGTTTGTTTAGTTTAGAATGTATCTTCTGCATTGATAATACTGATCAAGACTCTCTGTAATGTCAACACAGTCCAAAGGATACCATATGACAAAGTAGGGACTTCTTTGTCTTTAGGACGAGCATGAGTTTGGCAAAAGGCAGAGCTCCGCTGTCCACGTTTGTCCAATCCCAGCAAGTGATGGCTGTGGGATTTCGGCATTGATCTATCTGGGCTCCTGCGGCATTGCAGGATCATTCATAGATTCCCTTGATATAGTTTTGTGGCTCCTGGCAACAGATGCGCCAGAAGCTGAAGAGGATCTGCAAGACTAAGATGTTGGCGTCTGCCAGGGATAGCTTGAGGTAAGTAAAACTTACCTTGACCTGGACCCACGTCAGATCTGTCACTTTCAGGGATCTTTGTGAAATATGCTGATATCCGCTTTAAGTGTAACAATCCTCATTAATGTTTGCCACCGTGTGTTCCTCAGTAATTAAGTAATGACGTATAGTTGGGTAGATATTACTGTTATTTGAGTAATTTTTAAAATGCATTCGTGATCCTAACATAAGGAACAAATAAAGAGGAACTGTCACTTCTGTGTAATTTACACAAGTGAATAAAACCGTGAAAATAACCTATGTTATGTCAACTTTTTGTTCATAAGATGTTCCATCTTCTTTTAATTTACTATAAAAAATTCAAAATACTTAATAATCCAGTTCAGACAAAGCAAAGCCAGGGCAAACATTTAAAATGAAGTTAAACAGAAACAATGTTTTGTTCTCTTCTCTGTTTGCTTTCTCTATGCTGACTTATGGGTGCAAAGGACAGACCTTATAGTGATGATTGACAGGGAGTGTAGATGGAGGTGACCAATTGCAGGATAAAGTATGGATTTGTACATTTAATGTTTTCTCACAACACACATCTATTTTTTTTATTATTTATTTTATTTTTTTATGGGATGTGAAGCACTTTTAAACAAATATACAAACTAAAATAAAGCAAATAATGTTTTTGCACTTACTATACGCTTGGTCAGCTTGCACTGTCTGGCACACTTCTCAGGTAGGGGAATTTCTTCAGCCTCCCCTCTTGCCTCTCACCCACCCATCTCCGTTTCACGTGCACTAGTTATTCATGAGAAGCTTTGCGCACACTCATGGATTTGGCAATTAAAACCAAAATATACAGCACCAGAACAACTACTTGCCTGTGTTCTAAAACCTACTGCTGTTACATAGCAAAGTATATATGCAACTTACAAAGCATCATGGGACAATTAATATGTACATAGACCATGCCAGGGGTAGGTAGCCTTTGGCATTCCAGATGCTGTGGACTACATCTCCCCTGATGCTTTACCAGCCTAATGGCTGGAAGATCATTATGGGAGATGTAGCCACAACATCTGGAGTGCCAAAGGCTGCTTGTCCCTGGACTAAGCTATACAAGCAGGTTCTTCTTGTATCATTTTTAATGTTTGATGTCACTAGTGTTTAGGAATACTTGAAGAAGGACTGATGTCAAAATTACTTGATTGGACAAATCTAGCAACAGTTAGAAAAAGGCAGATGTTAAACTGGCTAACCTTATTTACACATATGATTAAATTTACAAACTTCTCTGGCAGACGTGAGAGGCCGTGGATGGACAGGCAGTCTGCTTCACCACCATACCAGAGCCTAGGCAAAAAGGCACTAGGGTAAAAGTATGTGTCAATAGGATATTTGCTAATGACAAGTATGCAGAGATTTTAAAAATGAGAATCCAAGGTGGATTTACAGTTGTACTGGCTCTGACTCCCTTTTCTATTTGTATTGATTTTGCTTTTTGGCTGCAGGGACCGCTGGCCGTACACATGCAGTTATGTGCATATACAACCGGTAATTGTACTAGGGACTCTGTTGCACATTCATGATTGCTTTTCCAGTGTTCATAGGAACACTGACGAGTCCTCCTAGGAGGGGGCATGGGAAGTTGAAGGAAAAAGCTGGTGAACATGAAAAAAAGTGTATAGGGAAAGGGTACATTCTGTTTACATTTAATTTACTTGTTTGCTTTTAACAAGACAACATTTGTCAGGCTTAAAACCATAAACATTTTTCCTGGTTAGGATGACAATAACGGTGGCTTAAGGGATATCAGAGAAACCATCCACTCTCCACCATCAATAATAAAAATAATAATTGTAACTAGCTTTGGGTAATCTGACTTGTGAAGTATGGTTTAGCAAAAAGAGGGGAAAAAAACCTTAAAAGAAACAAAAGGAAAATAAAACAGAACTCTGTATAGCATTTAGGTCTCATCTCTCAAAAATACTATAGAAAGTCATAAGATCACTTAGTAAGTGAAAAGGAATTCCCCTCTATTGTACCATTAATTAAAAGGACACTATAAGCAAAAAACAACTTTAGCATGTTTAATGTATATATCATGCCCCTGCAGTCAATCTGTGCAATTCTGTACAATTTAGGAAGTAAATCACTTTGTGCAGTAAAGTAATTTTAAACAGATCTCTTTTTACCGGGATTGTGTGGGGAGAGGTGGCTAGGGCCTGCAGGAGTCTCCTGTGTATAATTTTAAGTTCAATTAACAGATCAGAAGATTAAAAAAAGTCTAAAGTTACACAATGTGCTGTCAGAACTGATTGGAAATAAAACAATTGGCCTATGATCGAGAACTGAACCATGAAACTTCAGGGGCATGATCTATACACTAAACTGTTTAAGCTAAAGTTGTTTTGCTAAATGTATTCCTTTAAGTGTGAAGTGGGTTATGGACAGCTATTATTTTATCTGATTACCATGTACTATATTCTGATATTCTAATCTCTCGTACTGTAGTTTGTAAAGTTGCATCTAACTTAGATATATATTTTCACTTTGCTGTAAATGTGTTACCCATTCGTTCCTTATTCTGTAAAGTAAATATCCAATGCAACTTAAACAAATAGTAAAGCTTATTCTCAAAAATGGACAAGGAAGGAGAACCTTGTTGATTCCAATGATCAAGTCATCAGATTAAAAGGGAGGGGCCAAAAAAAAGCAAAGTCTGTAGTACAAGTTAAATTATGGGTCTGGAAGTATTGCTATACTTTTTGAATCTGGTGACAATCTCAGAAGCACTCTCACAAGGACATTCAAAGAAAGCCAATGAATCCCTCATATCCATTTTAAATCACCTAAGGGGTATATTATAATCCTGGAGTAGGATTGTTGGTCATCTCCGTATTTTACAAGATGCAGCAGCTTAGTTAAATTATTTGTGTTTGAGGAGATCATCCATGGTCAAGCCAGAAAAATGATGTAACCATTGAGATGGACCAGATTTAAGATGACCCCAATTTTGCAACATATCTGAGAAGGAAATCAAGCCGAGAAATGGAGTAGGGGGGTTATAGCGTAATAGAACATCTATAGGCTTTTTGACAATCCTCTTCTACAAAATCAGTTATAATTGTTGATTAGTGATGTCCCGAACTGTTCGCCGCGGACTCATCAGGTTTAAGAACAAAAATAAGTAATCGTGTTGTAGATTTTTGCAAATTAATTGCATATAACTTTAGCAGTTTACAAATATCACTACAGCTATACCGCCACCTTCGCAGTGAAACTTTTTTTTGTTTATTGAAATACTTGTCATGCATGCACTGCGTGCATTTTGTAAATAAATGTGAGTGAGCCTGAGTTATGGCTGTGAGCATGCACAGTTGCATCTGATGGCACCATAAACAAAACTGTGAATAGACCTACCTGTCTGCAAGCTGAGAGCAACCAAAGTACAGATGCCATAGACTTAAGAAGCAGTTCTTTCTTATCATTAACTACCTTTCCCATATACCTCTGCTGAGCAAGTGTCTAAGGCAACTTTCTGCACTCCAGATGTGGTGGACTACATCTCTAACAATGCTCTTATAGCGATAATGCCGGCAAAGCTTCAGGAGAGGTATAGTTCACATCATCTGGTGTGCCGAAGATTGCCTACCCATGGTCTATGGGGTATGCTGGGCTCAGTGCAAATAATGAAGTACAGTATTAGGACTGGATGAACCACACTGAGCAGACCGCATAAGCAGCAAATGCAGGAATATTTTTTTAATTTTTTTTTATCATTAATTTTTGGTTTCATTGGTTTTAAATGATTTTTTTCCCCTTGCTATACATTATTCACAAATTCTAACAATATTGGTGTGGTGTGTGGTGTTTTAATTCTATTATTATCTTTGCAGCCACAGTAGAATGTTATAATCCAAGGACAAATGAATGGAGTTATGTTGCGAAAATGAATGAACCGCACTATGGCCATGCTGGAACTGTTTTTGGTGGATTAATGTACATTTCAGGTATGTAAAGCAAACTAGCACTTTTTCCTGCATCACTAAAGTTCTACCTTCAAAGCATTTGTATGATTGCCTTTCAGCATGTGACTTTTGATGTTTTCAGATGATTACTTTGCATCTGTGATATAGAAGTACTTACCGAAGGGATCATTAATATCACTTTTTTGAGTTTTGACTTTAAGGTTATCAGAATTTGTGTGTGATGAAACAATTGCGTTGTGACCTTTTTAATTTCATGCTTCTCGTTATTGGATCCATAATAAATATATATATAAATATAAAATATATATATTAGTATGTATGTATATATGTTTTTTTGTGGGTGTTTTAAAGGACACATTTTATTTTTTTACCAGAGGGCAGCCTCTGACGAGGTTTTGTATTTTGGCATTTTCCAGGTCAGCGGCAAATCGTTCAAGTTGTTATTCACTTGCAAATAGCATCCAATGTTACAGAATCGGCTGGATCGACTGAATCCTTGACCACATTTGGCTTTGTTAAATATAAGCATTGCCATTGCGGTCGGAATTCGGTCGTTCTTACTGGACTGTGAATAAACCTGTAACAACCCTGCTGCTAGCTTGAGCTCCTAATGTTAAATAAACCTGATAATTTCTCATTGCTGATTTTTGGAAATCTGCTTATGTCTAAAATAGTTTCACTTGTTTTAATAGACTGTTCCTAATTGACATGTTTCCAGTAGTTTCATGTGTTAAATCAATTAAACGTTACAAGGTTTAACAAATAAAAAACTTTAAATATATAAGTAGAAAAACGGTCTCTTACAGCATTGAAATAAATTAAACTTTTATTGCAAGGCAGAACAAGCAGACTTTAGAAAATCAGCAATGAGAAGTCATCAGAGCTATTTAACTGTAGTAGCTCAAACAAGCAGCCAGCCATGTGAAGTAGACTATATTATGGAGCTTCTAAATCAAGAAAGACTGCTTAGGAGGAAAAGGGACCAGGCACCCATGTACAGACACAGCAGCTCTGCTCTGCTTAGAAGAGCACACAGGGCGATGACTGATGACATCGCTGCTAATGGTCGACCAGTGGTGTATGAGTATGGTCTAGTTTTCTCTGGAAGTAGTGGGCAGGTTTTCAGGTATTTTTACATCTAATTAATCAAAAATTGAATAAATAAAAAAGCCATGTTTTCACTACATGCTGCATGGATTCTTATCATTAAAAAATATAAATCTGGAGACTGTCATTTTTTTTAAGGTTGCAACAACCTATAAATGCACATCATTTGCACATGGCACTCTTTACACAACATTGATTTTTAATTGCTGCAGTAGTGGTAGCTGTATTTTAATTTACCGGAATAATTAGTTTTTTACTCTAACAGTGCACTCAAAACAAAAGCATATATGGGAGCATTTGGTTTATAACACTTAAAATTTGTGGTAATTCTATATAGTTGCTCACTTTTCTTTTTGCCTTTAACAATCCTAGCTAGCTTCCATATATACATTAAGACAGAATGTGTTAGTTGCTCCTATTTATGTCAGACTAAGAAGCTCATCAAAGGAAGAATATTCATCCCCACAATCAGAAAGTCAATAGACCACAGCTGCGGCTGTATTGCTCTTTTTATAGTGGCCTAATCGCAGTGAGATGGATGTCCTTCCTGAAAGTGAGTGAACAGGATTTCTGTTCTGTGTTTAGTGCATTACAAATACTCTTTCACTAATTATTTAATCCATGGACAACAGAATGCCATTGAATGATTTCCTTTGTGTAATAGTACAATCGCTTAAGGAGGATAACTCTATCTGTATTGCCTCATTAACCCTCTGAATGCATCTTCAAGCATGTGCGTACTTATTGAAATATATGGACACATCTGTCAAGTTGCTGATATTCTTTTATTAGGGCACCAGTGTTCTGTACAGAACAAGTAGTTTTATAATAATGTGAATAATGTTACTTTATTACATTTTATGGCATTTAAAACCTTTTTGTTAATGTGAAGACGTTGCAAAGCTTCCATGCAACCAGGAACAAACAGGTCAAAACCAGACTCTGCAGGTGCATTTACTGGTCTGTTAAGCTGTGTATTTAAGCTGCAGACAAAAGGTTATTAAAATGTATCCATTAAAATGTATTTTTAATCAAAGAATTGTTCTATGTGGTGTCTTCGCGTATATGTCCTTGTGTGTAATCCCTGAAATCTATAATATATAAAAATGGTGTGGGGTTGTACAGTATACATTTTAGTGACCAATGATGCATGGAAATAAGATGGTGTCTAATAATTGTACTTTGTTATACCAGGTGGGATTACACATGATACCTTCCAGAAAGAATTGATGTGTTTTGACCCAGACACTGACAAATGGACTCAAAAAGCTCCCATGACCACAGTTCGAGGTCTACATTGCATGTGTACTGTTGGAGACAAACTTTATGTCATCGGAGGCAATCATTTCAGAGGAACTAGTGATTACGATGATGTCCTGAGCTGTGAATACTACTCACCATCTTTGGATCAATGGACACCAATCGCTGCAATGTTACGTGGACAGAGTGACGTTGGGGTAGCTGTCTTTGAAAATAAAATTTACGTGGTTGGAGGATATTCTTGGAATAACAGATGTATGGTTGAAATAGTTCAGAAGTACGATCCTGAGAAAGATGAATGGCACAAAGTTTTTGACCTGCCAGAATCGCTTGGGGGAATCAGAGCTTGTACTCTAACAGTTTTTCCACCAGACGATAACAGTTGTTCACCTTCTCGGGAATCTCCACTTTCAGCACCTTGAGGACTAGAGATACTGTAATATCTTTTGCACTGCAACAATATGGATATTTTAATTATCTGCTGGTAGTATCAGCCGAACCTGACCAACTGGAATTGGCAAACTTACTTTGAGAAAGACTATCACATGATTTGTACTATTCATTTGGCTTTGGGTATTTATCAAAAATGTTAACATTATTAAATCTATTTAAAATAGCCAAATGTTTAATAAAGCAAACAAAAACTAGTCTTTCAAAGTTGAATTAGGTACTTATGTAATGTGGGAAATAAATTAAACGTCAAGAAGACGCAAATGTGGTGACCGTTAACTCTTTAAAACCACAGACCTATTTGATACATTCTTTCCTAACTGCAAATGAAAATGAACATTTTATTTTCAATTTGAAGATCAGTTACTCTACCATGAAATGTGTGCTGCCCTATCTATATGAGAACTTAATATGCCTCTTTAAGACCGCAAAGTCCCTATGTTTAAAATTTGGTGCAACATAAAACAAACGTTTGTTAAAAATTGTCGATCAAAATTTTCATTTCTTAAGCTACACCACGTTTAGGTACTTAATCTTTCAATAGAGACATAAAATGTTTTTATTTCTGCTCGTAAAATGAAATTAAGACCTGCTGTATACAAAATTCATCTCAGAAGCTCCTTTTATGAATATAATTAAAATAAGAACAAGACATGTTAACAATGAACAAAATCAATTCTCGTGGCTAAGAATTCTATTTAGTCTAAGGTCTCAAGCCCCCTCTAATTCCTTCCATGTTGGAAAAAACATGCATATGATTTGTTCAATGTATAGTCTCTATTAAGGTTATTTAGCACAAAATGCAGCTGGGGCTGGGAAGCTGCTTTTGCTCAGTGGACTGAATCCCATGTTTTATCTTCCTTTGTTCAATAAAAAAAAATAACTTTTAACTGCAATTATTGAGAGTGAGATACTTCATTAATATTGTTTTTCTGTCTGCTTCTTGGCTGTTGCCTAGTTACATTCTTTCCTGTATGTTTGTGGGTTAGTTCGCTGTATGTGCTAGGAAACCAAAGCACAAATGGGTACTGTGACCTACATTTTTTTGAGTTTTATTTTTTATTTTTTTATTTTTCTCCTTCTGCTGTGCTTGGCTTTCCAAACACTGCAGAATGCAGCATAGAGAACAGTGATAGAAAGAATTTTAGAACCAATGTGTGCATTTTGCGAAATATTGCAATAGAGATATAACATTTTATGTTACATTCTAAAGAGTTGATGGCTACGCTTGGCACCCTCGATGTTTGTAAACTATATTTCCCATTAGCCAACATTAGCCTTTTTCTATCTTAAAGGGATATGTATGCTTAAATTCTGGCAAGGTTGAATTGTTCATTTATTTTAGAAATCTAGACCTATCTGAGAAGTAACATGAATCTTTCCTTGGTAAACTTTTTATTGCAAAAGGTAAGATAAATACTGCATTCTCACAACGGTACTGATTTGCATTTTCATGGGAATATCATGGTATCATTTTTCAGAGAATATTTTATCAGTTGATAGTGTACTACAAATGTTGTTGGCAAATGTATGTAGGCAGGCATTCATTTCACAGCAGAACCATGTGTTCAGTATTATGGTAGGCTGCACTAAGCCTTTTTGGGAATGATCTTGCCTACTCGTCAGCTTTGGAAGCCATCATACATTTTTCATGTGTACCACCTACATATCTCAAGATTGACTCTTTGGAAAGTCTCCCTTGGGCAGGGAGACTTGTTCTCTCAGCTTATTTGTAAATGTGAATAGTATTTCTCAGGAAGACTTGGCTGCAAAAAGTTACACATGGATATTAGTTTAAAATGGTTCTGGGGATCGTGGCCTAGTTAAATGGCTACTTTTTAAAATGTGCTCTCTCACAACCTGGGCCACAGTTTACAAAATGAAGCACTTAAGACTAAATATTGTAAATAAAAAACCAGTATGTATTGTGAGATGGCACAGCAAAGCTATAAGCAAGAAAAAAAAAAAAGAGGGATCTACCCCAAGTACGAAAGGAAGGCAATCTGCTCTGGAGTAGGCTGCAGCCTCATTGTAAAGAAATGTGCGTAACCTAGCCACATGACGCAGGAGCATCTATAACTCTACCTCAAATGGAGAACCTCTATTCAAGCCAATGTACAGGCAGGCTTGGTCAATATAAGTAGAGAGGTGGCAGAAATAGGGTTCCAAACATTGCGAAACAAAACAAAAAACATTGATTAGCTTGCAGAGGCTTACAACACTTTAAGATTTTAATCAGTTCCTACTCCTTGCCTATTAAACTGCTTTCTTCCAAATGTCTAACACAAAAGTACAGATCCCTAGGAATATTAGAATCTAAAGGTCACTGGAAACTGTGTCCCTGGCTGAGCTCTTCTCATAACTTCAAGATGTCTTCCAGCAGATCCTACCAGATGTTACTGAACATGATGCATTCATAGACATGGCCCATTGGCTCCAAATCCAACATTTCAACCACAGAAAAGACCTAGAGGGGCATGTGCCTGAGGATGTAATATTGTACTTTCCCCATATATAAGATGATGTAATGCAACAATCTAGAAAGAAAAAAAAGTAAAGCAATATAGAGCAATGACTGCACAGTGTCAGAATATTGGATAGATAAAACCGCTTATATTCTGAAGTGGAACGCATGAAATTTGATCAGTGCTGGAAAAAGTTAACTGACATTAGATCTGATAGCATGTTAGATTTAGAGAGTTCCAAAGAGAAGAATGTGTTTGCTTGAAACAGTTGAATATTCTGATCGTTATACCTGATTCTGGCTGACTCCTTTCCACCAGTCATGAAATGTAGCTTTTCTCATGCATTATTAGACACTTGTAAGGTTTTTTTTTTCTTTAACTGTATATATGGTATAAGAAGTTCAAGATATATATTTATCTTTGTTCATATTGTACAGCCTAAATGTGCTTCATTTAAATCACTTATATCCCAACCAATAGATATAATCAATGGCTCATTGCAGGAATGCTCTATAATGCTAAATTATAGTATCGCTGCTGCCTTCGTGCCTATATAAGCCAGGCTCCTGTGTGATGCAGCAAGGACCCAATCAAGGGTTTTCACAACAGGACAGAATAATTGGGTAAAAACGAGAACAAAATATAGAGCACAGAGAGTCCAGCTGCCACTCGAGATACCAGTTTCAATCGAGTAACTAACTATAAATTGTATCAACGGCCTAAACATGCCCCTGTGTGCTGTACTGTCAAATCAACACATTCTGTCCAATGATCTGACCCTATTGTTGCTGTATAAAACATTTTAACGCTTTCCGGTCTGTCTTTTTATATGTACACACCTTGGTTTAATTTTCTCTTTTGCGTTTTTGCTTGTCAAAATGTAATACATTTTACAGTAGACATTGCATATTTTAAACTTTAACCCCTTAAGGACACATGACATGTGTGACATGTCATGATTCCCTTTTATTCCAGAAGTTTGGTCCTTGATTCCATTTTATTCCAGAAGCTTGGTCCTTAAGGGGTTAAGGACCAAGCTTCTGAAATAAAATGGAATCATGACATGTCAGACATGCCATGTGTCCTTAAGGGTTTAAACTATCATCTTGCAAAAATCTGTCAAAAATAGGTAAGCTATTTTATTTTACTATGAGCTTTAATGTGCATCAAATTCTTCCATGGGGCTCAGGTGTACCTGAAAATGCAGCGGTGATATGCCTAAATGTAAAAATTGAGGAACCCCATTGCCCACTCTGGGCTACATGATTGCTGAAAAGGCAGAAAATAGCTGACCATATGAAAGGGGATACTGAGCAATGTTGTCAGAATGGATGATGAGCCTAGCATAAATTAAGCTTGCTTTTCTAAAATAGGTATCTAGAGATTGTTGAATAGTGGTAATGTTATTCTTCTAAGAACTGCGATAGAATGTGAACATTGCTTTTTTTTTTTTTTTTTAAATCTATTTTTTATTGAGGCATTTGTTTTATGGGGTACAGAACAAAAACAAGGGGATGTACATTACAGCTTAGGGTTACGTTAACATAGTTCAACATCTCCTTTGAGTAACTGTCTCATTTTTATGTTATTCAAGCTGACAAACTAGATTGGCATAATATTAGTTAATTATGTAACCATATGTAGTGCTAGTGAGTGTGTCGTAATAATAGTTAGAGTAGTTTGATTTCAGTGTGATAACAGGCGTAAATATAACAGGTGTGTGAAAGTTGTGGTGAGTCGCTTGTAGTTTATGCTGTGGGGATGTGCCTCTCTGTCGTGCCATGAACCGGCCAGCCTGTGCCCGATATTGCCCTGTAAGTTGTGCCCTTTGTGCGTGCAGTATTTTCCATTAGATTTTGGTGTCACCCATCAGGTTAGACTGAGGGCTTGTCTTTGCTCCTCGAGTTATGTGTGCTGTGGTATGTAGGAATGAGGGTTTGTGGCACATATCAAGCAAGTACAATTTTAAACATTAAACATTAAGCAGATAGTAATCATTGAGCAAGTTAACCCTCTCCCCACCCCCTCCTTAAGATCAGATGCTGTACAGTGCTTGTACTACTGAGCAAGAAAGGGTAGGGTGAGCTACCGGAGTACAGTGGGCACTCAACATTTAACCAGCTATGTGCTGCTTCGGTCCTAGTCGGACGTGTGAGAGGCTCAGTTTGTTCATGGTGAGGCCTAAGCTGACCCAGGGTAAAGGGTGCATGAAAAAAAAAAAAAAAGTCCCGTTTTGGGTTTTACTTGCTCGGCTTCGCAGCCCGACTGCACAGCGTCCATTGGTGACTGTGTGAAGGTAGGCCGCCTGCGTTCCGCTGGGTCATCCTATACCTCTGGGTGGGAGCTGCAGCGGCTGTGTCGGGTAAGTCCAGATGGTGGCGGGCAGCCAGGGATAAGCTGGGTTCACCCCCCTGCTCCAGGATTGTTGTAAGGCCAGTATCGTTTCTCCACGAGCTCGGGGTCTTTTAAAGGTTGGGCCCTTCCCCATTGGGGTAGGTCTGGGGGCTGTGGTGGTGTTCCGCCGCCTGCGGCGTATGGGCCTCCGCCTGTGTCGGGGATATCTCGGGGCCTTAAGCCCGGATGGGCTCATTTGTTGAGAGGTTGTCAGATTTCTCGGGTTTATGCCCGGGGGTCCACTGGGCTCTCTCCGGCTGTCGCTTTCTTGTGTCTGCTTTGCGCCCCGGTTTGCCTGTGCCCGTATCTGTGTGGCAGCGTGTCGAGCTTCCACCTTCACCCAGAAGTATTCAAGCAGCTTTTGCAGGCGAGTGTTTAAGGATTCATCTGGGCTAAGCCAGTATTCTGGCTGCGCATGGTCTTCGATAGGTTGAGCATCCGCCATTTTAGTGCTGCTTGCGGCCTGCTGGTTTGGCACATAGTGTGGGTTGTCGGCTTCATTTGCAGGCCGTGTGAGTATACAGGATTTGTTGATTGAGACCGGGATAACCCCCACCGGTCCCAAGGGGGGGGGGGGGCAGCCCGATACTGCGGGTGCTGCATGCTTTAGTGTGCAGAGAGAGCGGCCGCCTCTCCCTTGCTCTGTGAGATGTAGGCCTCGATCCTCTAATCTGGGTTCCCTGCAAGCGATCAGGTCGTGTAAGGTATTCCCCGGTTCCTCAACTTCTGTGGCACAGGGTGAGGTAGGCTGGGGTTCAATATTAGACGGGTTCCCCTCGTTTTTGCTGGTATTTGGGTTCAGGATCGGGAGCCCACAGATATCGTGTCTGTTCAGCTCCCCGGTCAGGCTCCGCCCCCGTGAACATTGCTTTTGTGACTAGAATTGCATTGTTATTAATGTTCCCCTTTTGTTGACCAGCTTGCTGGCTGGACAGAAACTATTGGCAAGGGAGAAACACACCGGTTTTTCAGAGAAGATTTTGTTCTCCTAATGTGGAGACAGTCAAGGGTCTTTGTATGTGTGACTCTGTGTGAAA